CAGTGGGATTCTGGATGCGAGGTGTGCACAGACCGCAGCACTATTTGCCAGGTGAGAGAGGATCCTGCGACAACTAAGCACACAACAAGGCTTACACACATACATACTTATGCGGAAAGGGAGCCTGGCTAAAGTAGCTAAGGACATACACACACATACGCGATGGAGAGGACAGGCACCCAGGCAGTTTTGCCCACTTAACACTTCATTGAAAAACCACTTGGAAAGCCACTCCACCCTCGAGGGCAGAACCTACGAGAAAGGGAGCGCAACACTTGAAGAAAATATTGCATATGTGATAGCATTTTCTATATTATATAGTTCTGTCTATTTGGTCTGGTATTTCTATAATAAGAAACATAATTTTTAATATTTCTTTCAAGTTGTTACTTTAAACTTTTCTCATAAGTGTTGTTTTCAAATTTCGTTCTCTGTATTCTCCGCTAGCACTGTCGAGAAAATAAACTGTTTGCTCTGGATGGGAATGTGACGTTGTCCCTTTTTTTGTATGGCTATCCCGTCTCATGCCCTTGGCCAGTTGAAGCCACCTCACGATCCTGGCTTGACTTTGACATTCCGCAGGTTAATCGCGAGAGAGCGGACCAAAAGCATAGCCCGGCCAATTCCGCTCTGGCTCAAAGCATTCCGGAAAGCCAAGCTGGCCGAGAGAACGAGCGTGCGCGCACTGTCCACTGCAGGCATGTGCATATAGTACGGTATGGTATACAAAAAAAATCCACAAGAACGGGTTGTTGATACAAAAATGAAACACACACACACACACACAAACAAAATGCTTGACATTTTCGCATAGCTCAGAAATTTGCTACTGCTGCTGCTGCTGCGTTGCCTTTGAGCTGCTGTCGGCAGCAGATTTGTTTCACTTTTGGCATGCCGGTTTATTACACAAATTTGCACAAATTTATATTAAGCGGAGAGCAAGTGGCACTGGACATGGCCAGGCACTTCTGGAATCTCCAACACAACTGGCTTGCCAGGTGAGCGTGTGAGAGTGGATGGAGGGGTGTGGGGCAAATGTGGTGGGTCAGGCGGTTGAGTGCGGTCGGTGCATGCTCCGTGTTATTGTGGTGGCCACCCCGTTGCCATGACAGCCAAAATGGCCACTTGCTGGCTCATGCGTTCGAGCTTAATACCTCCACTTGCGTGTCTGGCTGGTCCAATCAGCAGGTGAAGTTTACAAAAGTTCGGTGGCATAATTGGGTTGATTCCCTCACCATTTATTGGTTTTCGATTCGTGGCAATCATGGCCAACTGAACTGTATAGTTTACAGTGGGCACTAGCTACAGTCGCTGTGTTTGTCGATTTAGATGTTACAGCTTGCAGTTGCTGAGCAAATTGAAATGGCCAAGTGTCAGTTGCATGAAACACTCTCTCAACTGCCAAAACAAAGGACTTAACTGCTGACACCGAGGGTTAAACGTTTAAATTTCAATTAAGCCAAAAGCCCCACACGCTTGGCAACACACACACTCATGGACTCATGGACTCAGACTCATCCCCATCGGCACTCAGCAGCACCAGCCAACGTTACAGCTCATAAATTTCTTGACTTGTGTCAGGATGTGTTAGCTTGGCCGACATTCCACTCGTCCTAGCGGCGAAAGCCAGAAAAAAGTTCCCAGTCGTCGTGGCCCGTCAAAGGCAGTCGGCAACTAGAACTACTGCTAACCGGAGGGGTTCCAGTTTTCGGGCTGGAGATGCAGGAGAAGGAGCATCATCAGAGAAGAGCATCTGAAGTAACCCCTGCTAAGGCGGCCAGTCACTTAAATGCCCCAGAAATAAACTGAAACTGCACACAGTGTGCTAAAGTTAAGACAACTTTTGGCAGCTGCATTTGAACACTCACAAAGGGCCAAATGTGGTTGTTGAAAAACGAACTTGCCATGCCCTTTGTCAGCAGCTGATTGGCAAGGGATTTAGATATATATGGATATATAAAATATAGAATATACTGCAAAATCTTAAACTAATTATACAAAAAGTTATTTATTTTTCTAATGTTTTAAATGCTAATTAACAATATTTCCTTTCTACTTAAACTCTAAACCTTCTAACGAAAATCAGGCAAATTATGTTAACTTTTAAAAGTTTTCTCTCTTATTTTTGGAACAAACTTTAGACACTCTTAAATTTTCTCAGCTTGCAGATTGCATTAGGGCCTTTTTGGCATTGCCTGAGGCACAGAGACCTTAATTAAAGTGGGTCTCCAGCCAGAATCTTGGATTCTCTGCCTTCTGGTGGTTCACCATCCCACCCATTCCGTGTGCGACGTGATTATCTGGCTGCCCACCTGCCATCGCCTTGCCCACATATGTATGCGTGCTGCGGCTTATGCATTTATGCGACTGAACTTGGCAGCTCATTGTGGACCCTTGTACTGGCACTCGTACTCGGGCTTTTGTACTTGTTGATGATGTTCCAGCCGGTGCTGGTGCTGGCGAGCAGCTCCATTTGCATGTCGGCCCAGGAAACAGGTACAGGAGCTAGAGCAGGAGCAGAAGCGATGGCAGGACTAGGACAAGAGAGCATAAGCCACCCGCATGGCCGACCTAGTGAGAAGACTCCATTTGTTTGTTTATTCTGGCGATCTGGACTGCTAAACGGGCCAACTGCTGGTTCTGCTGCGACTGGGGACTTTAGACTTTGGACTTTGGACTGGTTTCCAAGAAGTGGTGCCTCTACCATGGCTGTCAAGTTGTCAGTTGTTGGGCTCACGAACAGAGCCAGCTATGACTGGGTGGATGACTTAAAAGCCCTGACAGGTGCACTCAGGCACGCACTTGCCGCATGCATACTCATACTCGCAGCCCGCTACTTTGTTGTGCTAATCCTATTGGCATGGTGTTGGCGAACTCCATCGGATACATTGTTGGCCCAGCAGGAGCAACACATGCCCCATTAATACCCACACGGACAGAAAAAAAAGGTGCTTATCGGGGGTGCCATGAAAATCTCTTCGAGCGAACTGAAAATAAAGTCTGAGTGCTAAAAAAGGGAAAACCCTTTTAATTCGAAACAGATTGTGCCCTTTAAACAATTTGCCTAATGCCTAAATTTAAATGGGGAAACTTTACTTTCGTTTATATCGAATAATATAAATTTTATTTAGTTAAACTTTTCCCTCTGTAAAGATGTAAATCACCTGCCTGCAATGGAGTTTTTAATACTTCCATCTAACTGGTGGAACATTAATTGCCTGAAGCTGAAGCAACACAATGGGATCAGAGCTGCACAGACAACAAACTCATTTTCCTTGGCCCTTAATTGAAATCGATAAGTGGCGTGTCTTAATTAATACAAAGGAGGGTGCGACAGTGTCAGTGCCGGCAGCTTAAAGATTAATTATCCATTATATGCACACATCCTGATTGGGCCTCACCTGTCCTGTTCCCACTGCAATTCATTCCCCAGTCGATGGCAATGGCAAGTGCTGAATTCACTTAATTGCCGACACCTTTCAGTGCCGCTGGCCAACTCGGTGTGTGTCCTTTGAACTGTACGGCATCCGTCTTCCTTTGGCGACACAATTAATTCGTCCTGCCAGGCATTGCAGTTTAATTTTTATTTCATTAACGTAACATCACTACACCCAACATCCCTCCTTACCCACCAGTCAACATCCCACCGCCACATCAACCGCATCAAGGGCGTCCGTGCAACGCTAAGCGGCTTTGTCTCATTATCTGCCAGGTGCACGTAGTACATATGCGTCGCATTCGAGTGGTGAGTGAGTGAGCGGGGTGGCAAATTGCTAGCAAATTAAGTGTTTCAATTCCGTCGAGATTTCCATTTCATGGAGTTCTCATTCCTTTGGGTTTGTTACCCATGGATCCATGGGATCCCAGCCGTTTGCCTTCTTTCGGGCGGGTTTATAGTGCGTAACGCCATCAAAAATAGTTAACAGCATTGAAATGCTTTTAGCTAAAATGCGTTGCGAGAGTCCTGGCTATGCGTAAAAAGTTTTGTTCAACTCTCAGGACGAGAATGGGTTGGTGGCCTGCTGCACGTCTGCCATAATGTGTGGCAAATAAAATTATTTTAGATTTTATACGCCATCCGCTAGAGAAACCAGGTGATAATATTAAACATCTTGGAAGCGCTTTAATTTCCCCCACAGCGCTCTACGAAAAAGTTTAAACTTTTCAATGTTTTTTCACTTTTTTTTTGTTCAGCGTGGTTGCTGCCTCGGAAAAACCCAAACTTTTATGAAAAATTGCAACGAGCGAAATAAATATTTGTTTGTATATATACAAAATATTTGTGTTAATATACGTACACTTTTTTAGGCATAAATTTTATCAGCATAAAATTCATAAAGCGTCTTTGCAAGATTTTTTAAGCAGCCGCTGGCTTATTTAAGAGAAAATCATATGAGAGTTTAAACACCTTTTATGGCGCCTGAAAAACTTTTGCACAAAAGTTGGAATGCAACTTTTTAGGTGCAAGGCGCTTAGCTTATTTCTAAATTACTTTATTAAGATTAACACTTTCTTAAAACTTTCTTACTGTCATATTTGTTCTACGTGGGCTTTATATTAAAAAGAAACAAAAACAAGATGAAAGAAGTTTTGTATATTTTTATAAAGGTTTTTGTAGGTATTAAATCGAAAAACTTTTGACTTAAATTTTTCATTCAAAGATATATGAAAAGCAACTAGTTACATTTATTATCCAGGTATTTTGCGATTCTGGTCAATATTGAATTACGAATATAGACAAGAATTTTATGAAAAATACTTACAAAGAGATGATAAGTCAAAGGATAAGATTGGAAATATGTTACCTTAAAAACGACCAACTTTGCCAATATTAAACAAAATTCCTTTACGTTTGGTTTTACAAATTAACAGTATATATCGGCAACTAGTTCGATTCAATATGCAAAAATATCTTCTTTAAGTTAAGGCATTTAAATGCCTAGCCCCAAAGGACTGCAAATACCCCCACTTAAATCAAAGAAACACCCACATTTGCTTACCCTGGGGAACGGTTTAGTGTCTTTAAAAATCTCGTTTCGCAGGGTGCGGCTGGAAAAACCCTGTTCGGCTTTGTTCACTGGTAATTGCTTTTCCTTTCAGCCATTGTGTTGCCAGGATAAACGCATCCTCTTTCGCTGAGCGATTCCTTGTGGGCCGGCGTATGGCAAATGGCGAATGGCGGACACGCGAATGGGCGCAAGGTGACCGCAGAGTGAGAGCTGGGAAAAATTCAGGAAAACCGCAGCACATACGGCCAAACAAAGGTGTTTGCCGAAGGACCTTCTTTCACTTTCTGTTTTTTGTTTTTCTCGTTTGCCAAATAGCCAGTTGCAGGAGCTGCGCGTCGCGTTACTGGCCAACTTCAAATCCAAACTGACCGCAAAACATTTGCACTTTGGACTTTATGCCAAGACGGCAAACCAAAACCAAGTCGTCGGCAGCGACGTTAAATAATAACAATAAAAACCCAACCAAAGGCAGTAAAACCCCAAAACGCGAATCGAAGGCAATGCAAATGTGTGGGGTAAAATTCCAAATCCCAGTAAGAATGGCAGTGTTGCAAAAGAAATTATGGACGCTTCGCTATGGCTGTTGTTGTTGTTGTTGTTGTTGCCACCGATGTTGCTGCTGTTGTGCTAATTTGTGTTTGCGGCTTTCGCACATCAAACAGCAACAATGCTGTTGTTATTGTGGTTGTGGGTCAGCACGAAAAATGAAGTTGACCCGCTTTCCGATGCCATCGCCATCGCCGCCGTCGCTGCCGCTGCCGCGTAAAATGTGGAGCAACGACAGCGGCACCGCCGCCACTTTTTCGAAGCAGAACACTTCCGAGCAAATTTACATAGGCTCGGCCAAGAAATTATGCATGCCTCTGTTGATATTGAAATGCCGAGCAGGTTGAACTCAAACCCACCCACTCATGCTAAAGCCGGGAAAAGCCTGGGAAAGCCAGAGGCGAGACTGGTTTCACTTTCGGCCAGAATCGCCATTTGCAGGCGATAAACACGTAAGGCACGAAAAGCCAACAGAATAAACAAGGCGTGGCTACGGCGGCGTAGGTTTGAGCCAAGTTAACTAAGGACCAAGTGTTTGTGTGTGTGTGCAACGTCTCAGGAAGTCGTTAGAGCGGGAAAGGATATGGCAAAGACCTAAGCGGCAACCTTTGTGGGTCAAAAAAAAATAGTAAAAAAAAAAACAGCCGACAGAAGTATGCCACCTCAAAGTCAAACGCAACACAAAGGCAAAAGAAAAAACAGTGTCCCGCTTTTGACCACGAATAAATCAGTGAACCAACAATGTACGGCGAGAACTTGGCACAAATCCATTAACATTAACACTCACATTTTCAAGTCGCATGCAGAAGCCCATTTACCTAAACTTGGCCAACATGGCAAGTTGGGACCCAAGACAAACGTTTTGTTAGCTAAACAAAATGAACTTTTAATAAATTCATTACCCTGCCACTTTATGGCTCCAGTGACCCAGCCCCATGCCTCCTCAGCCATACCAATCGCTAGATTCGATGCACATTGCATTGCTTTACTGTAGTGCACTGCCTGACATTACGTATACGCCCCGTACATTTATGAACAATCAACTTTATAGCCCACAAGCAACGGCTGTGTGTGTGCATGCACTAGTTTATATGTTGTAGCTTCTCCAGCCCCCAAGCTCTGCTCTCCCCCTTCCCTCTCTCTCTCCCTATTTTATTGGCATTTGCACTTGTGTCTGACTTTTCCAAGATATTTTCAATTGGAAGTTATGTGTCGCAGGGAATTGTCTGTGTCTTCCCTAGTGGGTGGTATCTTATTGATGGGATGTGTGCAACACAACAATTTAATGGCTGCCAACTGACGGATGTTGAAGATGCCCGCACTCGCATTCGCATTCGCCTTCTCCCAATATAAATGCTGAAATAAAGACATGCCACGGGTATTGAATTGTAAATACGATGGGGCAAGAATGCAAGGATCAATCATTTAATTGAAGGACAATAGCATAAACTATAAGCTGAATAGCTTTATGGCTTACCGAATAAAAAAATTTCTGGTGATTCCTTTATTAACTTACATAATGTGCCGCAATCACAGACCAAGGTCAGCAGTGTCCAAGAGGGCATTTAAAAATGTGTTAGCCAACGCAAAACAAACGACACGACAAACTAAAATGTTCCGATTACATCTTGAAATGAAATAAATTATTGTGCACATCGCAACGAGCTGACCCAAATACACAAAGAGAAATGGGTGGAGAGTCGTAATCGGAATGGGAATGTGAATAGGAATGGGGAGAACGAATGCGAATGGGAAGAGCGAAGGACCAGCGACAAAATGCTGGCTGCTAGCGCCAGCTGATTATCGCTAATTGTGCCCAAGGAAATAGAAATTAAACGAGTCGGGTTCGAGGACGGCCTTTATTTCCTGGCCAGCCACTCGTATGGACGGCTGTACGGCTATTTCGCTGGCAGCGTTTAATTTAATTTGGAACAAGTCTTTAAATATTCACTGCAATTTATTTGATCGATAATTGAGCAGGGCAAGGTTGACGATTTGCCGGCAAATTGCCTAGGTCTTTGATTGGCAAGAAAATGAGATTAATTGAGCCACCAAATCAGGTAGCCCTGCTTTCAATGTCACCGTATTTGACCTTTACTTTTGGCTGGGGTAGAACAGGCTCACGCGATAGGAAAGGAATCTGTCCTAAAATATGAATTTAAAAATTATCCCTCAGGTAGGCTATGAAATTTGAGTCACAACCTTTTGATACCCAGAACAGACATATATCGGCATTTTACTTTCGTATATCCATCAGAAACATTCACAGCCTGATAAGGTAAACAAAATTTCGGTATTACGTAAAATGATAGGCATTCATAAAAAACGACCAGCTGCCGGAGACTACGTAGTGCCCAATAATTCGGTTCTAAATCTGCAGCACAAGCCCGGTACCTACGATCCCACGATCAACGCCATGGAGAAGGCCACCAAGTGTCGCTACTGCGAGAACATGGCCAAGAACTTTCTGTATTTGGAGAGCCTGATCCGGAATAACAAGGACACTGAGAAGAATCCCAAATGCAGTCTATGCAACTCATCGCTGAAGTTTTTGGAGTATGTAAACCGCAATATCCGTCAGGTTTTCGGCAACTTTGATGCAATCGTCCAAGCGGATCGTGCTTTGGCAGCCAAGCCGGCTATGATGCCGAAATACTCGGTGGGCCAGCCCCTGGACAAGGTCGATATGCGTGCCAAAGGTGGTGCTATCGTCTCGCTTCAGAAGTCGTCTAAAAGTCTGAAGACCAAGGCCTCATCACCGAAGACCAAGTCCAAAGAGAAGGGCATCAACGGTCTGAAGTCATTGAAATCCATCAAATCGCACAAATCTTCCAAATCACTGAAGTCGGCCAAGTCGAGTAAGTCTCAAAAGTCATCCTTGAAGCTTTCCAAGAAAGCTATCACCAAACCGAAGAGTCCCAAAAGTCAAATCAGCCATGGCAAGAAGATATTGAAGCGCAAATTCCGGAACAAGCTGGCCAGCAAGTTGGCCGGCAATAAGGTAGTTCGCAGTGTCAGTCAATACCGAAGTCTAGGCACCACAAGATCCAAACTCTCGAAGGGATCGAGCCACAAGAAACTGGTCAAACCTACTCCTCCGCCGACCAGCATCAACTGGCAGCTGCTCAAACGCAACCTGCCCAAGCGTCCCACTGCGGTAAAGTAGAGGACGCGGCGAGCGTGGGGTCGACTGAATAAGCTCCACACCAAAAATAATCTCGTTTGTCAAAACTTTCTTAGTGATATTTTGCATGGATGAACTGAGGCATCTATATAAACAAATTTAGGTCGAGATTAAATTATTAGTTCATGTTAAAGGCAAATTTACATAAATATATAGACAAATAAAACTTAATAATATGTACATATGTTTGGATGTTGGCTAGAACTTTTTTATTTTAATAGAAACATAAAAACTTTTGGTGACAATAATGCGAACTTCCGGTAATTTTTGGCACATGACTCATACTCATTCCAGCTTATCAACGTTATATTAAATATATGTGCTAGTATGTGCTGATTATAAATTGGTTAGAATTTCTTTCCGATAAACTAATTATAATAATACAACAAAGTTTCTCATGTACACAAATACAATAAGAATGAGCAAGCCGGTAAAACCGAAATGCATATAACACTTGCTCCGATCCAAAGCTCAGAGATGTTGATAAGAATTTACAAACTCTCTACATATGTATAGGAGGTCTTATCAACGATACTTTATACTTTCTCGCTTCGTTAATGGCCCAGCTTCAGTTCTCTTAAAACTCTCGGCTTGTGAGGTTTGAATAAGTAAAAATGCTTAAGCTGGCAATTTGTTATTTGTGTGTCATTTTTGTCGGGAATTCCCTTGGAGCATTGAATGGTTTTCAAGATGTTAGAATGAACTCTCAAATTCAGTGTCCATTTGACGCTTTTTTCACCGACATAAAAGCCCAGTTAAACAAGATCGAGAGTGAGCAGAAGATCATGCAGGAAAACATCCTAGCTTTACAACGCCAACAAGAATCTCAGATGGTGGAAACTCAAATTGCACTCGACGCCCAGCTCCATGCTGTTCAGACTGAGCTGGAAAACCCAACTTGCCAGAATGCAACAACGCGAAAAGACATCGAAAAGGAACTGCTTGTGTTTCAGAACAAAATAGTCGACCGGGTGGACCTAACAAATACTATACTTTATGAAAATACCAAATTTTTGGAAGTGGTGCAAAGAAGTGTCCAAAGGCAGACAGACCTCCAAAACTCTTTGAATTCAATTATCGCAAAGCAAGACCATGCGAAGTCATCTAAGCAGAGCATCTCCAAGGACGAACTCGAGATGCTTTTGAAGGAATTTGAGGTCAACTTGGAGGCAAAATTTCTTACGGTTGACAAAATTATTAATATTCTGGATATTTTTCTTTAAAAGTAAACCTAAAAACACGTGAAAATATAAATATAAAACATAGTTTATCAATTTATGACTCTAAAACTTCAGGAACAACAATTAAATACTCAAGATTTTTCCCAGTTTACCATATTAATAATGAAAAAATGTTGTACAGATGAAATTTATAAGACTAAATAGCACGAATTTGAGGTCAAGTGTAAGCCAAGTCAAATGTTATTTAAATATTGTTTATTATTCCTTTTTTTAACAATTGTTCATGCTTAAAAAAATATATCCTAACTGATTAAAAAATTTATTTTATGCATTTTATAAATGAAAACTGAAATAAAAATAAATCAAAATTTTTCACATTAAAATAATTGTTTTTTTAACCATTTCCTGCCACATAAAACGAAACGTAAAAAACAGTTTCTTCATTCATTTACTTTGATTTTAGCATAATTGGCTGTTTCTTCCTTTGTTAAAAGAGTTGTCCCTTTTTTATAATTTTTTAATTTGAATAATTTAAAAAATTATGCACCAGGTGGTATGTGCCATTGGGAAGCCCTTCGTCCTTTTCATTTTGGGCCTCTGTCTTTGAATCACTCGAAACGGTTGACTCTTTTGTTGGCGGAGGCGCTTTTTTAATTGTTGCAAATATTATTTTTATTTCGAGTGTTGACAAGCACGCAATTAGTGTCCCTTAACTGCCCCTTCCATCAAAACAGAAAAAAAAAACAAAAAATACCATGGCTGACCTCGTTTGTTTAAAGATTTTCTGCGTGCAGGACGGGACAAACGGGTCAAATGGGCGACCTAGCTTCAATTTTCATTTAACGACCGGACGACAGCGTCCAAATATTTTCACAATTTAAATGCAAGTGGATTGCGGCGATGGATGGGCATGGGCTTGATACGGGGTGCTGGGTTGTGGTGGCGGGGGAGGGAGAGATGCCGGGTGGTGGGCAGCGGCTAAGCAGATTGCCAACCTAACTGACTTTGGGGCCGCGGCCGGCAGTTTGACAATTTTTCGCCATGCCCGCTCAAATATGCCGCATACGCAGCTGGGTCCACCGAAGCACGACCCTTCATTTGTTTATGGTCCACCCAACGCCCCTTGGCCTCTTGGCCCCTTGACACCCATGGAGTTGCAGAAAGAGAAAGGAATAAAAATATATATTTGGTTTTAAATATAAAAATAATAATAAAAAATATAATAATATTAATGAGCAGATGTCAAGATTTTTCGCTTAATTTCTTTTTCTTTAGATGATTCATATATATTAAATCTTCCCTTTTTCTCAGTGTACTAAAACTGTGGTCCGTCCTTGTGTTTGTGTGGGTGCACGCCTCGTTGACCGTTCGGATAAAACTTATTAGACACAAGTGTATTTAGCGCATGTGTGTGCGTGTGGGGTGCTCCCCCGTGTGCGACTGGCTGTGTGAGTGAGTAACTGACTGCGGGCTGTTCTGTTCTACGGGCGGACCGAGATACCCGGACTGCGAGTACGCATCTGCATATATCAATCGGATGCCCGCAGCCAGCCTTCCCGGGCATCCATGGCAGCACCCATGTTGTGCATTTGAACAGAAATAATATTTTGCCGTAGTCGTAGTTTTGGATGGGTATGTTGGAAGGGAGGGGGTTCGGTATTTTTAAGGGGGATGTCAGAGAAGGGATAGTGGCGGGATCGGTGGACCGGCAACTGTGTGACGTTGCCGCACAATTCCTTTGTAATTAGATAACGTAACAAAGCAACAACACGGCGACCACTGCACTTCCGCTCCCGCAGGCGTTTACGGCCCGCCTGGCATTGCATTTTTGCCACACCCCTTCCCGCCCCCAAAAACGTACTGCACATTTCCCGTGCATTTTCGTTTTACGTAAAATGTTGAGAGCCTTTTCTGATTATTTGGCAAAATCGCAACATTTACCGCTGCCACACAGCGTCACTCCCCTGACCGTTGGCAGTATAATTAGCCGCAGTTATATACCCTCCTCACTTCCCTGTCCCCTCATGCTCTTCTACCCTGCAAGCAAAAATCCGGCCTTCGATGTTCAATTTCCACAGCGTGCACACTCGACTGCCTTTTCAAGCGATGCGTTCGCAATTGCAGGACAGGACGGGACAGGACAGGATCCGATAGTGGAACTCCACGTTCCCAGGACCTCGTATTCACCATCGGCAAAAGCCCTACTTCAGTTTTTCGGCAAGGACCACTTCATCCGCCATTTCATGCCGCTTAATCAGACCGAGGAGAATTCACTTCGTATTTCGTGTCCTGCCGTATTGAGTGTCCTTCAATTAGTACCTCATAATTGACTACTCCTAGAATACGGAATTCCCCGTATTTCGAGCACCGGTATTCCCTTTGCCCCCACGCGAAGACAAAGGATATGAAGAGGATTGTCATCAATCAATAGCCAATTATTGTGGTTGGCATGTTGGAGGTATTCTTCGAATTACTCCTGACCAACAAAGTGTGCTTAAACAAGCATACAAATATTTAAAAATATACGGAACTCTGTTAATTCTTAAGAGATTTCATAAAAACTTGATTCATAATATATAGCGTTAGCTCCATATTCTTATTCTACCTCTCTAGATTTAAAAATCACAAGCTCTTTCCCTTTGATTGGCCAGATAATGACGGAAACTAAGTCCTTGGAGAAGGCACGTCTGTTGAGAATTTATGACCCACCTCCACTGGGTTTAGCTTCAGGTTAAAAACCCTTAACCATACCCCATTCCCCATCAGCTATAATTAGGTACCACATTGGATGCCACTAAAATGCGCCAGCCGACAAATGACCTACAATAAGATTTAGTGTGCTCTCAAGCAGCTAAACTTAATATTTCACGTGCACTTAACCTACGGGTTTAAATGTCGTAATTTTCTCATTGGCACCCGACCGTTTCCATCTCCAAAGCTCTTTCTGCCCGAGGAGCTACTCGAATGTTTTACTGTCTAAAAGTTTGTCTCAATTACGTGCGTGCCAGACTGAGTCAGCTCATCCCGATCCGGATCCCAAGACCTACACCCATTCGCCATACGCCATATACCATATCCCATTGGCCGAACCGAATATTTCTGGGTGAGATGACTACGGCGCATTTCTCAGCAGGGTCGCAGGGAAGCGACCCGCAAACCTCGTCCCGTTTGTCATTGGCAACTTTTTAATTAAAAGTTTCATCCGAGTAATGGGATATTTGCACTGCGAAATGCCACGGCGGCCAGCTACGATACTTGATACTTGTGCAATATTTGTGGGCGTCCCTCGCGTCCGTCCTGTCCTTCCAGTCCTTCCTGTCCCCGGCTACAAGTATCTAATTGCCAAAAGGATTTGCAAAACTTCAGCCTTACATAACGTTGTGCTGACCTCCATCGCTATCTTTATCTGGCCGTTGTTGTTGCGCTGCAAACTTTTGGCCAGCAATTGCCAAACTATGCCCAACACGGGACTACGTGAGTCGAGCTAATGAGCTGCAAGAGTCACGCGCACAATTAGCCGGGCAGGGATTTTAATTAGGACCCACCTAACGATCCAAAAGCGTCCCGAAGATCGGCTAATTAATATTCCCTAGGCCATAACTTCTAAAGTTTTTCTGTTTATAGGTCAAATAGTCAATGAACAAAAAAAGCCAAAGCGATCTGCAGTTTAAAGCTGTTAAAGAGCTTTAGTTAATATTATTAGCCTTTTTCTTAAACAATCGAACCCTTTATTAAAGACTTTTCTTATCTCCTATATTTTTTAATATTAGTTTAATATAAATAATGACAAAGTAAAAAGTGGCAAACTTTCTGACAATTTTGGCTGTTGTTTATTTTTAAGTCCCTAGGGAGAACATAGGGAGAACATAAACTGAAACGTGACCGAAATGATAGAGGAAGACCTCTCCAGAAATCAGCATATAATTCGCCGTAGATCCACCTACATCAAAGTCAGATTTTTCTTGTGAGTCCCTCTTGGGAAGTGCTGATGTCCCGGCAGATAAATAAAACTGGAAACTCCCACCCAACCACAATCGATTACCACCGGGCAGTGTTTAGAGTCCGTTGTTCACTTTTCACTGTTCACTGCTCAGTGTCCACGTCTAATCGCCGCCGGATGTCCGCACAGAAATTTGCTTTCATTGTTTTTGTTCCAGCAGCCGGACTCTCGTTATATTTGCCTGTTTTTCGGACGGGGGATTCTGTTGCCTATTCTGCTCTATTTTAGCTTTTCCTTTCTATTTATTTTTTTTTCGTTGGTTGGTTTTTTGGTTTGAGCCAACTTTGTTGTTGTCAGCATTCGCTTTCAATTTCCTCATCCACTCGAACTAACATCCTTCCGCCGACTTGTCGTGGTTGCTCATTCATGGCCGTTTTCACAGTGTACGCCGGACAGCTAGCTAGCTAGTCCTTCTGGTCAGTCGTCAATCGGCAGTCGTCAGCAGTGAATCCGAATAACACAGGACCTCCCGTCCGTTTGTCAATCAATTGTGAATTGTTTATTGAATGTTGTCGTTAGACTGCACACAATGCCGCTAACAGCCAGGCAGGAGTTGTCGGTTTGGCTTCGTTTGCTTTTCCTTTCTGGCGATTTTTTCGGTTTTCATAAGGGGTATTTGTTAAGGGTTTAGGGTATATATCATGCGATAGAGTATTTTGTTCTTCGAAGCAGACCTGAAAGGTGATTGTCTTATCTATCCATCAACAAAATAGAATAAGGAAATATAACAAATAGCCAATATCCCTTATATAAGTAAGGTATCCCTTAGCCTAATCCTATGAAAATAGTTTTCTTTCTAGTTTTTTTCTTCCATCAATTTTGTTTGTTTCAAGTTTGGACATTGGCGGATGGCTTAGGACTGACATTGTTTGCCCTGTCAAACGTTCCATTTTGTATTTATCTTTTTGTGCGCTGATCGATTTGCTGTTGGAGCGGCTTTTCATTGAGTGCCACGGCCATTTTGCTAACGCATTTCTTTTTTAAGAGCCATGCCCGCTGCATGCCCGTGCTCTCATAAATTTGGCCAAATGGAAATGGTCTTTGTCCGTAATGAAATAGTGTTGACTTTCCTCACACTGGCACTCGCACACACACATATATACATACACCGAATCGCGTGTCCTTAACAAATGCACGAAATTGCTTTTAAACGAGGACGACGCCGTGCAGTCTGCCGCCCAGCCTCTGAGCTTCTCCATTTTCCAACAGCCTCCTCAGATTTTACCACCCAACCCAAACCAACCCAGTGGCATGTGATGATTTGTTCGCACATAATGAAACTCATCAGCAGCTGCAGCCCGGAAAAAGTCGGAAAAGTCGGGAGGGGCAAGGAAGGGTTCGCTCATAAAGTACAAGCCAACTTGTTCGGATCGAGGCTTGGCATAAATTCAAAAAATAAAAAAAAAAGGAACCAGAACCCAACAGCCACTCGGCGGGAAAATGTAGTAAAAGCATTTTACAGTTTCATTTTCCACGACTCAGTGCCGGCCACTGTCCAGCCGTCCAACCGTCCGCCATCCACAGCTCAGCTTTTGTGTGATTTACTTAATTTGAAGTGTGCCGGGGCCATCGAGGCATTCCTTTTAAAATCAATTCGAAGTTTATTTTTCTTGCGGCTTCCTCCGGTTTCTGGCCAACCACCATCGCATATTTTCTTCGTTTGCTTTCAATGTTTGACTTGGACTGTCGCACTATTTATGCACGTCTTTGCTCCGCAGACAGCAAGGACCCACTTTGGCCAAGACATTATGGCCGATGAGCAGGTCGAGGGCAGGCAAATGGACCTTCCAGGACCTGGAGTCCCCATCTGCCTGCTATGCAAACTATGTAAAATAATCTCTTTTATTGCTGAAATGTTTATTCAAATATATTTTTATATTAACAAGTTTATGGATCAAACGGGAGCAAGATGGGATTTATGCAGTGACAAAAATTATATATATGTTGAATGTCCCAAAAATATTGTAAATTTAAAGTTTACCTAACAATCTATATCATCAAAACGCTTTAAAAATGAATAAAATAAAAGTATTGAAAACGAAAATTCTTCTTTGTAAAGTTTCTAGCCGTGTATCTTCGTATCCTAGCTGCCAGCCTGGGGCAAGAGTGAATTTTAAGCTGCGCGCAAACAGCTTGAGCAAATTCATTAACAACAGAACCACCGCCCTCGATCCAAATCCAAAATCCCCGCCCAACTCAAAAGAGAGCTCAGTGCTACAGTTGCGGTTGCCTCCGAAAATGAGGGCAATGCATTTGTCCCGAGGGTGCCAGAGACCAATCCCAACCAGAAACGGGACTAGAGCAGAGCACAGCAGAGCTGCGGGTTGCCAAGCACTTGTTTTTGATGTGACGCTGATATTTAAAAGTGGAGTTCACATCAAAGTTACACAGCGGTCCAGAATGGCCGACATCAACGTGCTGCCATCATCCCTGTCATCATCATCCCCATCATCATAATACACAGTCAGCAGGTTTCCAGTTGGGGTAGGTACATTAGCAGCATGACAAAGGATGGGATTGGTGGACAGGAACCCACTTTAGTTTAGTTGTCAATGCAACATAAGCTACTTATGACGAACTAGAAATAAAAGAGCGTAACAACTCACAAGTTGAAAGTTATGGTAAAGTCGTGGTCAGAAAATAAATATTTTAAAATGCGGTAGGGCATCATTTGGGTCGGGTACTGTCTCCAGCAAAAGGATACCATATGTACTTGCGGTAATTGCAGAGCGTTTTAACTATACTACTCGGCCTTTGTTGGTGCGGGTGCAATTGCAATTGCAACTGCAACGGCAACTACTTGCTGCTGTTACTTGACACATGTCAGTCACTCACTCACAGCGCTTGACTCTTGAAGGGAAAAGGGTGGGGTGGAAGGGATAACCAGGATGTGCTACCATAAATTCTGCTGTTTGTGATACACTGATACTCTGACTTTTGCTGATGATGATAATGACTTGGCACTTAAACTGCCAAGAGACCAAGTGCCAGGACATTCGATCAGCTGCGCCCATTAAGCATACGCCGTGTTGGACACTGAAAATCAGCAGCACATCATTTGCATGCACCGTGGCCTTAACCAAACCATCTGATGTTGACTTATGAGCACACAGTTCTGAGCTTGGAACTTTCAGAAAAACGGAAATTACATTTCGCTTACTTCGTGTGCAATTAAAGTTGGCCAGGTGGAAAGAGGGAGAAAGTGGGCTAAACTTTACCCTCTTGCATTTTGCATTTGAAATCGCTGCGCGAGCACACACTTTAAAGTGTTTCTGTTAATGCGAATTTGAAGTTTGATCGATATGTGGGGCGTGGCTGAAGCTCCGACCGCCGCCCACTGGCCGCCCGGCATTAGAGGTCACACGAAGCGGGTCCCATCATCATTTTAACGCCAGTTGCCGCGGCGAGTTGTTTGATTTGCCGCATCGCAGCCGCTTAAACACAAGGCCGCTGATTTTTCCCAGTTCGTTTCCTGACCAATGTCCGATGCGGCGGGAATGGCCAGTAGCGATGAAGAGGGTCTCCCCACCGGCAGCGGCAGCGGTCGCCAGCGCGTCCAGCGCGACTACAGTGATGCCAGGTTGGAACGGGTGGCCGGCTATACAACGACCACAATGCGCCTCAAACCCGATAAATGGACCAAAATGATGGCCAATGATGAGTTGCGGGTGAGTTGCCACTGCTACACGGTTAAAAATGGGGAAAAAAAGTATTAATATGAATATAAATAGGAAAATAAATGAAAAATAATAGGTAAAACACTTTTTCCTGATGATATATCTATAAAAAGTTTTTTATTCAATTAAAGTGAAGTTTTTTCTCTGTGTATTTCTGATTTCATTATACTATTGCCTTTTCGTCCAGCGCATTGTTTTGGAATGGCAGCATGGCCACAGTCGCGTCCTGGTGATGACTCTCAGTCCGGGCGGAGATCTGGTGCCCAGGAGTTGCCTCAGTGATTTGTACTTGCCGTATTCGGTGCAGAGCACTCGTGGTTCCATCCTATCCACCATGCAACCGCTCGAAGATGAAGCCATGGCCAGTGTCACGGCAGCCGTATCGGCCGTGGTGTCTGCAACACCCGGAGCCATGCTTATTCCATTGCCACCCGCCTCGTCCAGTTTTACAACTTTGGACGGAGTGCCGCGCGGCAAGTGCGCCTACTTTGTCCGCCGTAATACTTCCGATGGATCTTTGACGGCAACCAATTTCGCGGAGAGCGTTCTATACGGAGACTTCCCGGTGCACAGCAAAATCGAAACCATGTCGCTGCTGTTCGACGAAGTGTTGCAACCGCTCTTGGAGCAGGCACAAAGTCAATGGCCCGCCATTGTTCGGAAGGATCTGCAAGCGCGCATCAAGGAAGTGCGGAATACACTGACCGAGGTGGGTGATTTGTTTGACTGGAGCTGCTACACTCAGAGAAATATCTACTTAATAATCAGAAATGATTTCCATTACCACACAACTTTAGTCATTTAAATTTACTATATATATGGTTAAAGGATACTTTGACTTGAACCTTTTTTTCAGATTTTAAAATACTTTTAAAAAAGAAGGTAGATTTTTTGTCGAGTGCAGCTGGCAGCTGTGCTATCTCATCAAATTAATCTAATTGAGTGCAGTGGGGCAGAGGCTTGGAGTGGGTTTGGTTGGGTCTCCCCTCAGCCGATCCCATTTGGAGCTACTCCGACCATTGTCTTGGAAGTATTTCGCTTAATTGGCAAAACTTTTCATGTGTCTACGGGCGATACGTATACATTTTGTCTGTATATACTTTATTGTTATCCCCACAGATTAAGGGCAAAACCAACAATCGCACAATTTTATCGTTATTAGTTTCGCCAACAATCGTCGAGGAAGTGTTTGCCCACGTGAGTCAAGGGTAAGTTCCAGCCATTGGATGGCCATTGTCTTAGGGTTTCGCCTTGTCCTCCGGCATCTCCGGCTTCTTCGATTCGAAGATGTCGCCCCACCATCTATCTGGTATTGTTTATGTGGACAGAAAGAGAAAGGCTTATTCATGATACCAAATTGATTTTCATTGGCATAACTTTTCGCATGAATTGATCGAAATTTATTTAGCTTGCAATTCCGGGCAAATTCAAGTTGTTTACCCCTTGGCCACAGAAAACTGGTGGCATACTTCGATTATTTTCCCATCGTACAAATGCTTTTAATTAAATTACAAATATTAAAGAAAAAGAAAAAGCAATCGTGAGCCTGGCCATCGACATTCTTAAGAAAATTGTTCAGAAAATTGCCGTCGATACGCATATCAAGAGCCTTTAAAATGTATTAAGAGATTTTTGCTTCAGTAAATCGCAATATATATTCATATCAATAAGGACGAAATGAAAAGCCAACGAATGGCAAAAATCAAAATAAACCATAAAGTCAATTTGATTGCTATCAGTTTCGTATTAAAAACTATAGAAGGAAAAATGTTTAAAAACAAATAGCAACATGAAAAGGGGGGAAGTCAAGTGCAAATTTTCTGAGAATTAGGTCAATAAATGTTTCCGCTCATTATAAAAGTTTACCCCATGAACCAAAGCTTAGTTGAATAGAAATTCAAATGAATTGCGATAATAAAACTAGAAATTGAGCAACTTAAGTCCTGGCAAAAAAGGGATGTAAATTTAAAGCAAATAAAAGTATAAATCAGCTTAAACTTATAATTTTAAGGTTTTAGTAAAGTTATTATTTATATATTAAACTAATTTACAGACAATTAAGACCTGCCCTGGATCCAAAGTTCCGCAACCTGCTGGAAGAGATGTTTATTAACTGGACTACCCAGATGCACGACATAGTCATGGAGCGTTCCGAGTGCCAACCCTTGGGATCGGCCACCATGTCATCCGGTCATCAACCAAAGCACCTAACATTCGTTTCTCTGCCTGCGCAGGAGATTGGTTTCTGGACAAACCGGAAGTTAAACTTGCAGAATATCTACGAGCAGCTGCGAGAGTCCACGCACAAGACTCTAGCCCAGATTCTGGAGCGGATCGAGTCAGTTTATTATGTGCCATATTCCACTGCATTCAGAAAGCTAGTGGCAGCCTGGCTGGAGGCCCAAGATGTGTCCCTTTGGCTGCAGCCCCTTCTCCGCCAGACTTCAGCCTTCAATTCGGTTCAGTTCAGCAATGGTCACGATTTGGTGGCACCACTGGTTCACGTATTGCACCTGGTGTGGAGCAATGCCAGGTACTATCGCAGCACCCAAAGGATGAGTGTCCTGCTGCGCTGTATCTGTAACATGTTGGTGCACCGCGCCGCCGAGGACCTTGAACTGCAGCTTCTTTTCCAGGGAGACGCCGACGAGGGGCTGCTGAAAATCAATCGAACCACCCAAATTCTGGACCTATTCAAGTGAGAAAATACTAAACATTTGACAATAAATAAGTCAGAGAAGTTAAAGAATGTGTGAAATTTGTGCAAAGCTGAAAATGTTCACCTTTTATTAAAGCACATAACTAGCATAATTTGAGTAATATTCAATCCTTTTTCCTTAATTGTTAGCAATTTGCACAAAATTCGATTACAAATTTAAGTTCAATTAGGTTTTCCTTTGTGGTGTTATTATACATATTTAATATGAAATTATAACAACCAAACTTCTTCATAAGGCAACGAGTGCTGGAGTACAAGGAACGCTATAGCGGCAATCAGATAGTTTTGCCACCACTTCCTGAAGGAGCAGCAGCGGTGGCTCCCTCTCCTTCACCCGATGACCAGCAACAGCTCTGGCGCTTCTGCCACGAGGATGTGTTTGGCCAGACACTCGATAGTTTCTCGTCTCAATTGGTGGAGTTGCGTCAGGTCTTTGAGGCGGCTGTGCAGTTTCAGCAGCTAGAAAAGCTTGAAGTTGGCGGATTGAGGGGTAAAATACTAACAGAACGAGTTAGAGAGGTGAACTTAAGGCTTAGGAAAATGTTTAATCCTAGAGTTATGTAACAATTTGGTTTTTCCCAGATCTTTGGCGAATTTAAAGTACTTTTTGAGCAATGGAGCAACGTGGACATCGATCTCACAGCTACGGTAGCCAGCAAATGGAAATGTTTCCGTCGGGAACAAGCCCTCTTCTTCAGTCGCATGCAACTTCTTGAGCAAAAGCTGGCCACCGTTTTACTTCAGGCCTTCGAACAATGTCACAGCTGGACGCACTTGCTCCGATTAACTTTAATGTTCGGCTGCCTCTTGCAACGTGATGCCGTAAGACCAGAACTGGCGAGAGTCCTTCCGCATATCCTTTTCATCTACGACACGGAAATCGAACAGCTGGAGGAGAGTGTGACGGAGGTTCTTCTGGGCTACGAAATACGTGGCTTGGCAGCCTTACCTATGGCCAACAACTTTCCGCCCATTGCCAATGCCATGATGTGGCTAGAGCAGCATATCAGTCGCTGCGATGAATTTGGAGCCAAGGAGTTAAATCAATTCATTGAGCAATTGTAAGTTCACTCAAGGGGAAACCTTGAAATATATTTAAGATTATTTAAATTTATTTAAAAACTTAGACTAAAGGAGAAATCAGAGCTTCAGACATTGCCCCTTCAGTGGGCATCTCTCCTTTCGCGTCGTAATATTTTGACGACAAAACTAAGTAATCTTCAGATGAAAATCTGGACCACCTGGCATGAGTGCATCGATAAGCTAATCGTCCGTGGGCTAGATGAATCCGTGCTTTCCCAGTCAGAGGATAATAGTCAACTTTATCTAAACTTCTCCCCAGTGCTATTCACTCTGCTAAAGGAGACCAAGTACTTGTTGGCTCTTCAGGCCACTGGCAGCTTATCTGGCGATCTCTTCCAGCTGCCAGAGCCACTGCTCACTCTGTACGGACAGCGGGATGCTTATTGGGAGCGCCGCATACGACTCATCAAGATTGGAGAGTTCTACAATGGCATTCGCTCCGGGGAATGTGCTGCAGCTGAGCTCCAATTAATACGCAACGACCTGGCGACCATCGATGAACAGGTGGCTGTGGCGTGTCAACAGCTGACATGGCGGAACTACGGTGAGTTGAAAGTACTGAAGAAATCAATATAAACTCCGGACTCTGTGAATAGTATCCCCAGGAAACACTAATTAAAACCGGTAAAAAACTTTAATGAAATTAATTGTGAGCATATTTTGTGAATTATCAAATTCCTCAGTCCAGCCATCATCACATCTATTACAAACTTAATTAATTAGCCAAAATTACCTGCTAATTGGATTAATTACTACTCAAGAATACAATATATTACATGGGATTTAGATAAAATTGGTTCATTTTTGTATGATTTTCATCTTCCCCCAGATGATCCGCTTGTCGCTGACATCTTTGAGCATAGTCGGGATCTGTTTGCCCGCCTGCAGCAGTCGCACGGCAATCTGGATGCAATCCTGGCCAGTATGCGTCGCTGGAGCCGCGAGCCGCTGCATCAACGCAGCTTATACGGTCGCAATCTCCTGGATCTTCGCCACCAGCAAGATCGAGTGCGTCTGCGATTGCTTCAATGCGATGAGACGAAGATGCTTCTAAATCGCCTGCTGATAGCCAACTTCTGTCTGTTCTTTAACTATGAGTCCCAGGAGTTTCAGCTGTACTCCAGAGATCTCAGTGTGCAGGAGGTAAGTAAAGTGGCATGGCGTTAGCTTTTTCCAGATTTAGAAAGAAGGTACTCAAACCTATAACTTTTTCTGGAAAAACGCACTCCCAATGCTGCAGTTCGTCCGTGAATTTCCCAAGGAGCAGAGGCGTCAATACAATAAATACCTGGCCAGTGTGGATGACTTGATTTGCCGCGAAGTCCGTGAGGCAATGAGAATAAGGTTTATAAGCCACCTGACCTAACACTTGAAAAAAGCATCATCATCATTATAATCATGACCATCATCATCATTGTCAGTAGCACTCATCGCCAATCAATTGCACTCCTTCACCAGGCAGCTAACTATTTCATTACATTTCGGCACGCTGGCAGCTCCTTTCATGTCTCATCAGAACTAATCAAGTAAATGAGCACGAAATCGCACATTGCAACCGCAAAAATGAAAGACACCTGCAGAACGGCAGACGGCAAGTGCAACTGCAACACCATGCAACAACAAGCAACAACCACACACTTCACGACCGCAGCAATATGGGGGCAACAATGGCAACAACAAATTGCCTCGGGCCGAGCATTCATGCGTCAATTGCATGTTTCACTTAGCGGCACTTTTCGTGATTGCATGCAGACAGCGTCAGACAAATAAAGGCGGGGTTGAGGGGCTTGGGGGTAATGGGGGCGTGGCTGAAACCTGCAAACGAAATAAGCTGCAAAACAAACTGAACACTAAATTTAATTTTCACATTACTCATACGCCGTGTAATTCAGTTTAGAGTATTTGTACAAAGAAATGACAGCAACAGCAGCGGCAACGGCAACGGCAACGCCAACGACTGCAGCGACGGCAATAGTTCCTGTGGATTCCGGTACTTCAGCCAGTATGGCAAGGTTAGTCCTACAGCAAATCACAGCGCCACAGGCGACAGCAACAGGAGGAGCAGGAGCAGGAGCAGCAGGAGCTTCACCAGCCAACGATGCTCCACTCTTCGAAGTAAAATTGGAGCTGACGGAAACGGAAATACGCTTTTCGCCCGCCTTTGATGCAAGTGTGGAAAATAATTTTCAACAAATTGTGGAGCAGCTGTTGCTCGATATAAAACAGACATGCGACTGCATGCCAAGAATTGTGGCTGACAATGCCCTGTCAGAGGATGATGAAGACGACGACGGCGACACGGCGACGGTAGAGTACGAGCAGGAGCAGAAGTTAAAAGTGAAGCCGATACAGGATCAAGAACAGCAACAGGAACTGGAACTAGAGGGATATGAGCTGGAGCAGGAGAGCCCAAAGCCGCAGGCTGTGCAATTCAACCTGCTGGCAGCCGCCAAGGCATATAGCCAAAAAATTGAAAGCACTGGTATGGACTTTTCCTTCGGAAAGTATTTTAACTTGTTTTGCTCTGATGCCTCCTTTCCCCACACAATTTTTCCCATGTCTCTCTATACATCCTAGTCGATGGTCTGGAAATGCTGGAGAAGGCCATTCGCGATGCCCTGGCGGATACGGTAGAGGCGGCATCGGCTTACGCTGCCAAATTCCACGCCTATGCATTCCTGTGGACCCAGCAGAGCGGTGATGTGCTGGCCGCTTGCATGCAAACAGCCAGGGAGCAGACGCACCACGTCAGCGCCGGCGGCTATGCCATCATGGAGACGTTCAAAAAGGAGGTAAGTCGGAAAAGGAAGGAAAGAAAAACCCTAGGGCATCGAATGCCAACAGCTTTAGTGGCTGCGACACTCACACCCAAAAGCAAGATGTGGATAGGGATGGGAAGACTGGGACGCAGACTGGTTCGCTCAATTGGCAGCCACACAATTTACGCCATGTAGCCCCTGAGACCAATAACGCTTGATAAATGCCAACCATTTAGGGTCAAATGTGTGGCAACTCGCAACTGACCAGGCCAACAAAGAAGGCAACAAAAAAAGAAGCCGACGAACAAAACAAGGCAAAACACTAAACAACTGCTTAACCACCACATGGCGTCGTTGACTTATGTTCGGGGGCAATTGGGAGCCACTTCCTGCAGCACAGCAGGCAAATCGCCGACGTATGCGTAATATTTTCTTTAAACAATTATCAAACGCCCCGAAAAGTATACGATAAATTACCCAAAAGGCACTCACACAACAGGCAACAACAAATCATGGTCAAAGTGCACGGACATGGCGTGAAATTGGGTGTTGGCCAATATAATAAGGCAAATTCGCCAGCGAGTAAGGCGAAAACAGGAAAGCAACGAAGTCTGAATGGTCTGATCTAAAGCATTTCATCTTACTTAGGGTGGAACTTTTTATTTTGGAAATGCTAAACACGTTTAAATTTGAGCTATATGAGAGGCAAAAAGAAATTTAGTGGTTATCCGATCTAGCAAAGTTATTTCTTTTGAAAATTTATGGATTCTAGAATGGTGTTATGTATAAAAGGCATGTTTAGAATTCGAATTTTTCACTTATTTCACAATGAGTTAACAATGTTATACATTTTGTAATTTTTACTTTTCATTCAACTCACTTAAAAATTTCGAATGTAAGGAAATTCAGTTATAAATTCAATGATACCCTACGCCTGGAGTAGAGCACGAAAAATCACTGGCCGGCATTTTATTTATGACTAGCCATTGAGTTGCCTCTGACGCAGCTGGGGCGCTTAATAAACCGAAATACAACAATATATATACTAAGCATATATAACTTAGCCTCTCCACACTTACACAAATACACAAAAACACCCATGTGTGGCAAATTAGTAAATAAATTAGGGTAGGGCTAGAGTCCAAGAAAATGGTTACTCTAACTTTTAGCAATTTCCACAGATCGAAAACTACAATGAGGTACACGATGCCATTGACCAGTGCGAGAACCGGGAGTGCATTAACGGATGGTTAGCCCTGGATCTGAAACCCCTCAAGTATGGCCTTCTTAACCTGGCCTGCAAATGGTCCCATCTGTGCAAGAAATGGTTACTCCGCTACGTCCAGGGTACTCTTAAGGTAAGATCAACTTAATGTTCTTAATTATTTATTATTTATAATTTCAATAAATTTTATTGCGTTGTTTTTCTATATTTTCCTGTCTGATTGACAAATATATAAATGATCAGAAGAACATGCACTTGGATTCATTAAGGTTTTCTCCAGCAGAATGCAATTCCTCCTGTATGTGTTTTTCACTGTACCCATTTCCATATATTTTGCTGGCATCCCTGAGGCGATCGACACGAACTCTCCTTCATTCCTCTTGTCGGTTAGGCCAAGCCAATATCGATCGCTTTTGATAACTTCCGCATTGATGGCCTTTAGCTCGGTTTCATTTTCGATTGCGGCTAAATAGCCGCTCATCTTTCGACAGGCCTGTCTAGCCTCTTCCCATGATTTTTTTTCCTTTTTTTCAATATAGAAAAATCTCCCACCAATATTTTTGAAATTTAGTGAGATATAAGCTTTCTCTTCGGAAGGTGTAGCTTTAGAAGTTGCCTGGACAGCTAATTTATGCTCCTCCGCCTTTGTTTGAAGTGTCTGGAGAGTGTTCTGCACCGTAGTTAGTTTGTCTTCCATTTTCTTTAGAAGCGCCTGCAATCTTCCCTCTACAACTTCTTTTGGGATGCCACTAGCGCAGGATTTATCAATGTTTGATTGCGCGGTGATCTTCCGTAGGAGGTTACCAATGGTTGCTTGTTGAATTTTCAGTAGGAATTGCGCCTCCGAAAGTCTTTTATTCAGTTCTTGTTGAGCGTGTGTCTCCTTTATTAATCTCTCTTCTATTTTAGTCTGAAACGCCTTTAATTCTGCATTGAAGTCGCTTAGAGTGAGTACCTTGTTGCAGGATTGGTTCTCCAGCTCCATTTTTATTCCACGAAAGTTTGCATCCACTATGTTGTTTATTTTTGTCATCTGGGAATCCATTTCACTTCGTACCACCCGAAGACTTTCCTTAAGGGCCCTTTGCTCTCCTTGGATTCTGCTGAGCTGGGTGTGGGTGTCAAGGATCCTTGGCTGCATTTCCGAACGTGTGAATTGGCTACATTGGTAGTCTGTATCACAGTAATTGGACTGCTGATATGCCAGTGATCCCTCAATACTTCCGAAAACAAAGGCCCAGAAGAAAAAGTTGAACATTTTAAATTAAAGCTTAACCACTCAAATCCAATGTTTGTGGAATACTGAAACCGAGATTGTGGTTTCGGAAAGAGAGAAGCTATATATATCCCTGATAAGGCGTCTGTATGAATTTTACATATATATGTGATGCCTATGTGAAGTGTCTTATCAATTGCCTCTCAATTTGGGTCTACGGGACTCAACTTCTAAAGAAGATGATAAGCCTTGGAATAAAAGTTCATACCACGACAGATTTCTCTAAAATTTCACTTTTCTTCCAGACTTCCTGACTTTGGGTAGCACGCCACTGCTGGAGGTTTCCCAAACTGATTAGGAAAGCCTCAGATGTGTGTGTTACAAATATAAATCCATTTATTTCTAATCTCGCAAATATTTTTATTGGAATATCGTTAATAAGCTTGGTTTAAGGGGATATAACGCTGAAACAATAAATATTTTTATAAATGTTTTCATTCTTACTTTATTACCTTAGTTTTTTATTTTATTTCTTAAACTAATTAAAAGTATAACTATTTGGCTTTAAGGACAGGTAAACTTCTCTTTTAGGACTTAAATGCATTCATTGCCCGCGGTCACGAGACGCTGCAGCTACAGATCGCTCGTCATGACTTTTCCACCCTTTTGCGCGTTTTGGCCATCATGTCGGAGATCCGGCAGCGGGAGCCTTATGCGGATAACCTATTCAAGCCCCTTAAAGATATCATGGGCCTGCTCAAGACCTACAACGTAGAGTTCGAGCCGCAACTATTAAGGGGAATAGAGCAGTTGCCGCAACAGTGGCAGCAGCTCAAACATACCAGTACCGTTAAGCAGGAGGCCCTGCAGGACACTCGCTTCCACCAACAACAACGAGTGACCGCCCTGATTGGCCTGCACACCTGCCATTTGCAGCATTATGCCCGGCAATTCCAAAAGATGCCGGTAAGTGAGGAATTTATTTATACGAGTATATATATCGGTGAGGAATATTATCCTATGGCTTCCAGTTCTTCCGTGTGCCTTGCCCGAAAGTCTATGATGCCTGTGATGAGGTCTACGTCCGTCTGCATCAATTCCGTCGTCAGCAGCGTCTTTATACCCGCTGGGCCAGACTTCTCGACATCCAGCCACCCGACTCTGCAACCCTGCAACTGTGCGAGGTCGAACTGAGAAGGGTCAAGGTGAGTCTGTCGGTCTCATCGAATATTTATTTCTAATAAAACGTTACATTTCTTAGTTAGTTATAGTCTAGTTTACAACTAGAGATCGATCAGATAGAAAGTTCTTAATCATAACTTTGCTATCCCAGACAAACTAATAATTGACTCATCCCCTATAGCAATTATGGGACTTTGTGCGCGTCATCGAGTCGTGCATCGTGGACTGGCATGCCACGCCCTGGCTGCTCATTGACACCGATGACATGGAACACGAATGCAAGAAGTTCACCCGCGACCTCCGTACCCTGGACAAGTGCATCCGCGAGTGGGCGCCCTACGTCCACATTTTGGGCGTTCTACGTGAATTGGTCGCCTCGCTGAGGGCCATCACCGAGCTGCAGAATCCAGCAATTACGGAACGCCACTGGATGGAGCTGATGCAGCTGACAAAGGTGAGCATAATAGTGCGATTTTGCGAGGATAGGCGACGCGTGTATGTGTGTGTGTGTATTTCCAAATGATTGACCCGCCCAACAATGGAATGGAGCCGGCAATCTGCCCTCTGGCTGATGTCTCTTTGTGCCAAGTGTACATGGCGGGCACAATGGCACACATTGGGCAAACACATTAGCGGAGGTGATGTGTTGCCAGACGCGATGCTGAAACCTCAGGAGCTGCAGGTCTTGTCACAGGATATGAACACATTGGGACTGCAACCAATCCCTGATTTGCACACACAAAGGGACACTGATTATGGAGACAAACTATCTCTGCTATTAGATTGAATCACTGATCTGTCGCATAAATTACTAAAATCTAATCAAAATTCTCGCTCATCTCTTCATGCTCAGCTAAGTGGACAACATTCCATGGAGGAGCTGGTAAGTGTAAATGTTAATCAGAATCCAAATGCGAAACTAAATCAGTTTCCCTCATCGAAATCATGAATTAAAATGTAGTTATCGCATTTGCCCATCTAAGCCCAATCAGAAAACTGGCACAAGGCAATGGGTCATTCATGGGTTTCGGATTATGTGCATTGTTGAGCTACATGCCTCCAGTTTCTGGGGCGTTGGCTTTATTACATAATAGTTCTAACAATTGGCTTAGCAGAGCTTTTGCTCGGAACAGCCGGAGGCGACAAAGGAATGCATTGGCCAGTACTGTTAATTAAATTTGCCGAAATTCGGTGAAAATGTGTGATTATTAATGTGTGTCCAGGCCAACGGAGAAAATCCTAACTGGTAGTCAAACTATCAACTACACTAGTCTACAAAATACGAAATATATTCTTTCTTATTAACCAAATTTTCAAAATAAATGCTACTTCACAGTAAAAATCTATCCTTATGTTTAAGTTTTTTTTTGATTTCATATTCATAAAAATATTCTTCATTTTGGACCATTAAAACTCTTAAGCGGCTGCCTAGTGTTATGTCTATAAATTTATATCTATTCGACAGTCCTTTGTACATCGAGTGAATTATCCTCGAAGCCGTTGAAATGTATTCAAAATTGAAATTTGAGAGTAATTAGACCACCTCTGCGTATGCTTAATATTTGATTTCCATACTGCAGCTCTCCTACAAATGCAACAAATCCACCAAACTGGCCCAGCTACTGACCCTGCAACTTCAGCATCACGAGGAAGACATCAAGAACACTGTGGACCGGGCCATCAAGGAGATGACGGTGACCAAGATTCTTGACGAGATCAGGGCCACCTGGGCGCATTTAGAATTCGAGTTGGAGCAGCATCATACCCGACCCAGCATCCAGTTACTGAAGGTATCAGAGGAGCTCATCGAAACTCTAGACGACAACCAGATGCAACTGCAGAATATCTCCACCTCGAAGCACATTGAGTACCTTCTGGACAAACTCACTCACTGGCAGAAGGTTCTTGGGGGCATTGACACTCTGATCGTTAACTGGTTTGAGGTACAGCGGAAGTGGATTTACCTTGAGTGCATTTTCATCGGATCAGCAGATATTCGCGCCCAACTACCAGCGGATGCGGCCAACTTTGAGAGGATCGATAAGGACTTTACGGAACTTTTAGCCAAGGTGAGTTATTCTATAGATCAAATACAAATTTAAACTTCTTTCCTTTACAGGTAAGTGAGGTTCGAGTAGTCATGCAGGTGGTGCTGCGGCATGAGGATGTCCTTGCCCAATTGCTGCAACTCCAACAGCGCCTGGCGATTTGCGAGAAGGCTCTGAATGATTACCTAGAGACCAAGAGATTGGCCTTTCCACGATTCTACTTTATCTCCGCCGCCGACCTCTTGGATATTCTGTCCAACGGAAACAATCCGCAGGTGATTGATCGTCACCTGATTAAGTTGTTTGATTCCATCCTTCGGCTGCAGTATGAAACAAATACACCAAACGCGTTGGGAATGCATTCCAAGGAGAATGATGAGTATGTGCCCTTCGTTTCTTCGGATCCGGATCAGCCCGCCTTCATTGTTTGCGGAGGGAGAGTAGAGCTATGGCTGCGGGCCATTATCCAGCAGATGAGGAGTACTCTGCATGAATTGTTCCGCCGTGCTCTGAGGGCTTTCGGAGAGAAACCTCGGGAACTCTGGCTCTATGATTGGCCAGCCCAGGTGGCACTCTGCTGCAGTCAAATAAGCTGGACAGCGGATGTGAATCGCTCCTTTAGCTGCATGGAGGAGGGATACGAGGGTGTGATGAAGGAGTTACACAAGCGACAAATAGCTCAGTTAAATGCTTTGATCAATCTTCTGCTTGGTGAACTCTCACCCGGAGATCGCCAGAAAATCATGACCATCTGCACAATTGATGTGCATTCGCGTGATGTGGTCGGTAAGATCATAGCCTCCAAGGTGGACAATTCACTGGCTTTCCAATGGCAGAGCCAGTTGCGTCACAGATGGGATGACGACCAGGCGGGAAGTTCCAGTGGCAGAGCTAGTACGGCCATAAGTTGCGGCGGAGGAGATGAGGATTGCTTTGCCAATATCTGCGATGCCGAATTCCGATATGCCTACGAGTATCTGGGGAATACCTCACGATTGGTCATTACCCCGCTAACGGATCGGTGTTACATCACATTGACACAGGTGAGTGAAAACGGGGAGCGGGGATAATAAACTAATTGATTCATATAAAAATCACTTTCACTTTGTAGTCGGGCAAAGCCTTTCTAACGAGTCCTGAATTAAATATAAACCTTTTCAACGCCTGCCAGGGGGCGTTAATGGATTTAGCAGCGGAAATCCGCTACAAATGTAAAGTCCATAGCCCGGCTTTAAATAATTGAAAGCCAATGTCCCGTGGCTTGAATATATTAAAACCAGCAGCTAGTTAAAGCCATTTGAGACAAAAACCGACTGATAGCTGTGAGTGACAGAGACAGTGTGTATGATAAAGGGCGGAAATTCAATAAATTAAATGTATTTGCGTGTGCAATTAGCGCAGATTTTTCCTCTGACAGTCGCATATTTCATGCACGACTGCCATATCAGACGTTATCTTCCTGACACCTACGAATCATATTGTTAAAAATGTGTCGAATAGTTTTGCTAAATTAAGGTGTGAAATTAATATCATGTACAATCTGTCAAACGAACATGTCAAAACCAATCAGGTTAAATATATTTTGTGCATTTTCCATTTAAAAAACTTCTATTATATATTATGATAAATGGATTTATTAAAGTCTCTTATTAAGTTCAAATGTCTGTAATTTCCTTTTAACAATCTGTATTAATTTCGCACAAAATTTAATGCATTGCTTTGCAGACAAACCTCCTAAGGCAAAATAACTTAATGTTCTCTGGAAAATTAATGAACAATTTCAAATAAATTAAAACTTAATAAAAGCTCTGAGAAAACCACAGGGTATGCAATTTTGTTTGGCAGATAACTACTTGGCTTAGCAGCACTTTCAATAAACACACTATTTCCAAGTCAACAACATCCTTCAGGCAGCAATTCTAGACAATTGAGAAATAAATTTGAGTTGAGTGCAGCATAACCAGGTGATTGCATAAAACCGCAGCGGAAGCAGCCATTAACAAGGCGATCATCCGTTTTGTGGTGCTACTCCTCGCCGCCCGCGGCAAATTAAACAACTCGTTAGTGGAAAATAAATGTTCCTTGCAATTTACATATGCCACCTCTGCCGGAAATTCTCATTCCCCATGCCACAGTCGTTGCGATTGCGGCTGGCCGGTGCAACCGCTGGACCCGCCGGTACGGGTAAAACAGAAACCACCAAGGACCTGGGACGCGCCCTGGGCGTAATGGTTTATGTCTTCAACTGCTCAGAGCAAATGGACTACAAATCTTGTGGCAACATTTACAAAGGGCTCGCCCAGACTGGAGCCTGGGGCTGCTTTGACGAGTTCAATCGCATCTGCGTGGAGGTCCTGTCCGTGGTGGCCGTCCAGGTGAAGACCATACAGGAGGCGATAAAGGTACGCTGCCCGCTTGCAAATTGATTTCAGCCACCGTTCTACTGTTTCTCCACACCATCCTGCATTGATTACTTTTCCTGGACCCTTCTCTGTTCTGTCTTCCTCTGTTCCTGCTCCCTCTGTTTACAGATGCATAAAACCCAATTTATCTTTATGGGCGAGCGCATTTCGCTGGAGCCGTCGGTTGGAATTTTTATCACCATGAATCCCGGCTACGCCGGCCGTACGGAGCTGCCGGAGAACCTGAAGACCCTGTTCCGGCCATGCGCCATGATTGTGCCGGACTTTGCCTTGATTTGTGAGATTATGCTAATGGCCGAGGGTTTCCAGGATGCCCGTCTGCTGGCCCGCAAATTTATCACCCTGTACACGCTGTGCAAGGAGCTGTTGTCCAAGCAGGATCACTACGATTGGGGACTGCGGGCCATTAAATCTGTCTTGGTTGTTGCGGGTACTCTCAAGCGGGACGACCACAGTCGCCCTGAGGATCAGGTCCTCATGCGTGCACTGCGTGACTTCAATATTCCCAAGATTGTCACGGAGGATGTGCCCATATTTATGGGTCTGATTGGAGACCTCTTCCCGGCTCTTGATGTCCCACGCAAGCGGGTCTTTGAATTCGAGAAGACCATCAGGAGGGCAGTGAATGAAATTAAACTGCAACCGGAAGAGGGTTTCCTTATGAAGGTGGTGCAACTCCAGGAACTCCTCGATGTACGCCATTCGGTATTTATAGTGGGTAATGCAGGCACTGGGAAGACTAAGATCTGGCAAACCCTTCGCGAAACTTATCGCATCCAGAAGCTGAAACCCGTGTGCCATGTGCTCAATCCCAAAGCTCTATCCAACGATGAGCTCTTTGGCATCGTTAATCCCACAACGAGAGAGTGGAAGGATGGCCTGTTCTCATCCATTATGAGAGAGCAGGCCAACATGCCACCAGGAAATCCCAAGTGGATAGTCCTCGATGGCGATATAGATCCCATGTGGATCGAGAGTCTTAACACCCTGATGGATGACAACAAGATTTTGACCTTGGCTAGTAATGAGAGAATATCCTTAAAGCGGGAGATGCGGCTGCTCTTCGAGGTGGGACATCTGAAGGCAGCGACCCCCGCCACTGTGTCCAGAGCAGGAATTTTGTACATCAATCCACAGGACTTGGGATGGTCGCCGTGAGTATTCTGACTTTGTAGTTTTTCACTAAAAACATACATTTTTGGTAATGTGTAATATTTTACAACCTTTTATTCTCTTAGCTACGTCTCCTCTTGGCTGGAAACTCGTGTTGACATGATTGAGCGGGGTATCCTTACCACGCTGTTTGAGAAGTACTTTCCCTGCCTTATGCAGCGACAGCGTGACTTCCGGCGGATTACTCCCATTACGGACATGGCTATGATACAGATGACCTGCCACCTGCTCGAGTGCCTCTTAGATACCGATGAAGGAAATGGTGATGGACGAGGTAGAGGAAGTGGAGCCGGAGGAGCAGCGAATCCACATAGCTTGCACCACGGGGAACTCTCCCACGAAGCGATGGTTATGGCCCTGGAAACGATCTTTGTCTACGCCACTGTATGGAGTTTTGGTTCTGCTCTAAGTCAGGATGTAATCATCGACTGGCATCGCGAGTTCCACAAATGGTGGGCAGGAGAGTTTAAGGATATCAAGCTGCCCAGCCAGGGCACAGTGTTTGATTATCAGTTAAATGTGCAGACCCTAAAGTTTCAACCTTGGTCTGAGTTAGCTGCCCAGGAGTCGCTGGAAGGAATTGACTCGGAGACTCCCTTGCAGGTGGGAAAGAATAAGTCATTATCTTATAATCCTTTTATTATTTGTATACCATCTAGAATGTGCTAATTTCTACTGCGGAGACCACTCGCCTGGTCTACTTCCTTAAGCTTCTCATCGACCGCAATTTGGCGTGCATGTTGGTGGGCAACTCGGGCTGTGGCAAAGGTGCCATCTTCCGGGAGCTGTTCAGTCAGTATGCCAGCGACCAGGAACTGCTCGAAGTGGCCGTGTCAACGGTTACAGCAAGTGACAGCCATCAGCAGCAGACGGTGAATCCAGCAGGAGCTGGAGTTGTGCGGCGAAAGGCTTCCTCCTCGGCAACTCCGCTTCTGACCACCGTGCAGGCCACGCACTTTAACTTCTACACCAGCTCAGAGATATTCCAGAAGATGCTTGACCGTCCGCTGGAGAAGAAGTCGGGACGCTGCTATGCTCCAAGTGGACCCAAGCGCCGACTCATTTACTTTGTCAACGATTTGAACATGCCCGAGGTGGATGCATATGGCACTGTTCAGCCACACACTATTATGCGACAGTTCATGGACTACAGACAATGGTGAGTTTGTAGGCTGACAGCTTCAGTGATTAGAGATGCAGACTTATCCCCTAACCAGGTACGACCGTCAGCGGCTGCAGTTGAAAGACATCCGACACTGCCAGTTTGCAGCCTGTATGAATCCAACTGCTGGCTCCTTCACCATCGATCCACGATTGCAGCGACACTTTTGTGTATTTTCGGTGGCACCTCCGGGGGAGGAAACCTTGCACCACATCTATGGTAGCATCCTGAGCAGTCATTTGGAGAATCCCTCTCAAGGATTCAGCAAGGAGATTCGATCTATTGGAAGCTTACTAGTACGTGTGGGAATTGCTCTTCACCGTCGGGTTGAATACGCCTTTTTGCCCACCGCCCTCAAGTTTCACTACCTATTCAATCTGAGGGACCTAACGGGCATCTATCAGGGGCTAATGAACAGCGTAGGGGCTCCGGCATTGGCAGGTGGAGGTGGTGCATCCGGCTATGGAGGAACCGTATGTGGTAGGCCCTCTGAACTTATGAGGCTCTATGTGCACGAAGCTTTTCGAGTCTATCACGATCGCTTGGTCGATCCCTATGATATCAAGTCGTTTAAGTCCTCCATTCGGGATATATTTAAGAAGGATTTTGAGGACTTTGACGAAGACTTTGTATTTGCAGAGCCATTGATATATAGTCATTTTGCCCAGTCACTGGTGGACCAGAAGTACATGCCTCTTAAAAGCTGGGACTCACTTTACCAACTGCTAATAGAAGCTCAGGCTAGCTACAATGAGGTGGTGGGCTACATGAATCTCGTCCTCTTCGAGGATGCCATGATACACGTGTGCCGGTAAAAAATGTGTATTAATATTTCATTATTTTTATTTAACTTATTTTCTACTCCTAGTATCAATCGCATTCTTGAGAGCCCTCGGGGAAATGCCCTTCTCATCGGAGTAGGAGGTTCAGGAAAGCAAACTCTTGCCCGCCTGGCTGCCTTCATATCCTCTCTAAATGTCTCGCAAATCCAAATCAAGCGAGGATTCGGTCTGCTAGATATGCGGGAGGAAATCGGTAGCCTTTACATCAAGGTGGGCCTTAAAAACCTGGCCTCTGTATTTCTCATCTCGGATGCACAGATTCCCGACGAGTCTATATTGATGCTGATTAATGATCTGCTGGCCTCTGGTGAAATTCCCGAGCTCTTCAACGACGACCAGTTGGACACTATTACCAATGGGATCCGCAACGAAGTGAAGCAGAGCGGTACGCTGGACACCAAGGAGAACTGTTGGCGGTATTTTGTGGAAAAGGTGAGAAGACTTCTCAAAGTGGTTCTCTGTTTCTCGCCGGTGGGTCAAACGTTGCGGGTTAGGGCTCGCAAATTTCCGGCCATCATCAGTCGAACGGCCATCGACTGGTTTCATGAGTGGCCCAAAAGCGCCCTGGAATCCGTATCACAGAAGTTTCTCAACGAAATCAACGGCATACTGGAGGTAAGTACACTTGATTTCCAATAAAATTCTTGAAACCCCTGAAAATTATAAAAATTTGTTTTAATTTTCTTTTTAAAACATATTTTAAGAATTTTATTATTAAAAAGTTCTGGCTTGTATTGATTATAATATCCAAATATGTTTTGGAGTTTGTATTTTTTCAAGTGTACTGGTCCCCCATCTTCTTTATTTATGTGTCTGTCGGGCACAATTTACAACTGCAAGCCGTCACGCCGGACACTTTAAGTCCCCGGCACCAGGGCGACAGCCATCTGACCTGACCCATGTCCATGCTCTTCTTTTTCACCCAACCAAATTTCCATGCAGCCCGAACTGGTGCCGCCCATCGGTTGCTTTATGGCTTACGTCCACGGCACCGTGAATCAGATATCGAGAATTTATCTGCAGAATGAAAAACGCTACAACTACACGACCCCGAAAACTTTTCTGGAATACATTTTCCTCTACCGCAAACTGTTGGTGGACAAAAACGGCGAATTCGCTGAGCGCATCGCTCGCCTGCAAAGCGGAATGTCCAAGCTGGCGGAGTGCGCCCGTCAGGTGGACACGCTGAAGGTGAGTAAATGATGGAGTGGAAGGCCGGTGAATGCCGCACGTTGGCCATATGGCATATGAGAATGAAATGTGCATGCGGTGAATCCGGTTCGTAGGTGTTAATACACTGAAAGAAAATTATGGTATGCTTAGCAATTTAATATATTCACTATATAATGCAAAAATATATTATTTTAATAAGGATTTACATGTCTTTGGAGTTTTTTAAAGTCATCAAAATACGAAAATAACATTAAAAATATTATTATATGTTAGAAAAAGTAACTTTTCGTGGGGAATTCCTCACAACTTAACTTTAGACAACCTTTTTTTTCCATCTGTACCAACAGATTGTCCACTCGAATGTAGGACTTCAAATAATATACCCTGGCGGTAGACTAAAAAAAAAAAGACGAAAGTATTACAATCTCGGCAGAGTTAAAAATTCTGTCTGTCTGCTATCAAATATTAATTAAACACGAACGCAGGGTGCCCGCAAAATCGATCATCATTGGTCATCAGCTTTCAATGGTGGCGACGCGTTGGCCATTCAATTAGTGCGCTTAATTGAATTGTTGTTGCAGCAAATCTGCTGTCCACTTGTCCAACTCCGGCAACATCAATGGCGGAAACCGGAGAAGCGAATGGCCGCTGCCATTCTTTGAGTTTTTAATGCCGTTTCCGGTTACGTCGCGTATACGCAATGGAGGCCCAGCGGTGCTTGTTTCGTAGCATTTTCTCCGGCGCTAAACAACGACCATTCGACTGTGAGCGAACGGAAAAGCGCGGGGTGCCGGGCAAAATGTTATTTAAACTAATTGAATTAAATTGAATTCGTTTCAGGCGAACAAAAGGCGTTTTAGTTTTCCTGAGCGCGGATGGGTCCTCAACCCACAAATTTCCACTCCAGTTTCAAATCACATCTGCTTTTTAGTGACGGGGTTTTACCTTTATATAAAGAGGAAACGTTTGTATAAGGAAATGTTCATATTCTTATATAAATGGGATGGTGAAATCTACATATTCTTAAATTTAGACGCAGCCCTTTTTTCGATTTAACTTTTAAATAGAATAAAATGGAAAATCCCTTTTAAAATATGGTTTTTAAGACTTTTTCTTAAAAAACTATATATATTCTTAGTACAATTAAACGATTTCTACCCAATCACTGCCCCTTTTATATCATATAAATCCCATTCTATTCGTATTGATTCGGCCACAATTTGTGCGCCAAAGTTGCTCTGCGTAAATATTGAGCCATCGTGCCGGGGCTTTAATTATTTTCGTTAGCCGTAAAACTTTTCAGCTCACTTTGATTTCGGCTTTGAGTTTCAATTGACGCAATTCAGTGGTTTTCCTAATTCCATTCGCAGCATCAACTGGCCATCCAAGAGGTTCAACTGGCGGCCAAAAACGCGGCGGCCGATAAACTTATTGTTATTGTTAGCGCTGAAAGTGAAAAGGTGAAGAGGGAGAGATACATCGCCTCCGAGGAGGAGAAACGGGTGCGGATAATCGAAGAAGATGTGTCTATCAAGACCAAGATGTGCGAGGAGGATCTGCGTCAGGCAGAACCCGCCTTGGTAGCCGCTCAAGCAGCTCTGAATACCTTAAACAAGAACAATCTCACGGAACTCAAGTCATTTGGTTCGCCACCAAAAGCGGTAGTCAATGTTTGTGCCGCTGTCATGGTATTGCTTGCCAGTAATGGAAAGATTCCAAGGGATCGTAGCTGGAAAGCATCCAAGCTGATGATGGTGCGAGTGGATCAGTTCCTCAACGATCTACTCAACTACAACAAGGATAACATACATCCCAATATTATTGAAACCCTTCAGGAATATCTTAAGGTAAAACTACAAATTGAGGGTAAAAGGTATTATATGTCTTATTACTGTTCCAGGATCCCGAGTTCAATCCCGACAAGGTGGTACAAAAGTCAGTAGCTGCTGCAGGGCTCTGTGCCTGGGTAATAAACCTGCATCGCTACCATCAGGTATTCCTGATTGTGGGACCCAAGCAGCAGGCTCTGCAGGACTCGCATCAAGAACTGCTGGAAGCCAGAGAACGCCTGCAATACCTTAAGGGGAAAATCAACAACCTGGAGGCCAAGCTGGCCGAGATTCAGGCAGAGTTCGAGAATGCGGTTGCTGAGAAGCAGAGATGCCAAAAGGAGGCGGACAAGACCGCCTTTACCATCGACCTGGCCCATCGGCTGGTCAATGGGCTTGCCAATGAGAACATCCGCTGGAAGGAGTCCGTCCAGAGGTGAGTCCTACGGCAGTGTGGTTGCGGGTGGTTGGAGCACTGCATTTATGCGTAATCAATTATTAAATTTAATTTACATTCTGTGTGCGCACGCCGTTGCTGTAATTGCTTCGCTTGCCACTTGTGAGGGAATGGATGCGGGGCTTTGCACTTAGAAAAAATTTTATTATACTTCCCTCCCAGCTTTCGATTTTATTCCCCTATTTAACTTAAACCGTTGAAACTTAAAATGGATATTCAACTATTTAGTATCTAAAACCTTATTCAGAAATCTGGTATCGCTTTAAAAGTTATTTCCTAAACCTCTTTTTTATTTTCATGACAGTTTGGTTCGTTTTTATTTATTTGATATTAATATATCAAGTTTCAGTCGGGTTCCATTTTTCCCCAAGTGCACGCGAATTTCGCTTACTTGCGGGCCACCGCGGCAACAAAAGGCCGTAAATTTTATTTACTCGCTCCCATTTGGCGCAGAGCAACTGCCAGGTCCCCGAACCCGGCTCATTCACTCGATTGCGCACTCGACGGAAGGCAATGAACCGCCAGGAGTGGCGGCAATTTGCAAAAATCATTGCCAGTTAACAGAAATGCATTTAAGCAGCTTCAAACCGGAGGCACGTACTCCAATACGGGTATGCAAACTTGTCATACTGAGTGGGCTGGAGGGCCGGGGCTAATCCCATCTGTTGCTGCACCTGGTGATGTGAGCCACGAAAATGTCGAGCCAAGGTGCAAGGCACCTGCCTAACAAGCCAACAATTGCAGTTGACAAGTGTGAAAGTTGGCACAATGGGAGGTGATGGCAAAAAGGATGCAACTAGAAGAAAGCAGGCAAGGATGAGGAGGAGGCAAAGCCTATTAGGATTTTGAAGGACGTGGCTGATGGAATAGGGTAGAGGGTAATGCATTTCCTCATGGATTACGTATGGGTATCGTTCATGCAGCCGGTGAAGACTTGAAAATTTACATGATATATCTGAACGCCCCAAGGTATGCAACATGTTTTCATGCTTGTCATACGAAGAATTTACTCTTTTCGTTGAGCTTTATTTGAAAAGCCTGAGGTGAACACATTTGGTATACCTATAAAAACATATATTGATTGAATATTATTGGTTTAAATATTTAAAATGTTAGTTTTAATAATTGTTAATCATTTTTAAATTTAGCATTAGAACATACATTTTTCAATCCTTAAATTTGTATTTGGCCATTCTTTTATTATATGCTGCATAATTTTAGGATGTAGCATAAACCCATTTACACTTCAATGATTTATTAGTTTCATATATCGAATAAAAACATATAAAACTTTAAACATGTGAATGATGTGGGAAATGTATTGTTAAAAATTCAGAATTTTGGTTCGGTATTTCAATTTGTTAGCCGAAAAGCTGTCTGTGAATTTGATATTAATATGTTCGTGAACATGACAAAAACAAAAACTGATATGCCAAAATTCGTCGAATAGAAATTATTTTTCCATTTTTTCATTTTTTATGTAAACTGTTGTAATAATCTTTCTCACATAGATTTTAACATTTGATCTCAAATATAAAATAAAATCAAAAACATAAAAACATATTATTACCACATTCAATAAGTAAAAGCTCTCAGCAGATGGCATAACAACTTCCCAAATATAGTTATCTTTAATATTCAAAAAGGAAATTTACCAAAAATTATCGAACTTGTGCTAAAACTTTACGTTTTAATGGCAGTTGAATAGGAGACTAATGAAAATTCAACCTTTTGAGGTCATGAATATCCTGAATTTCCATTGAAAGCAATGGGGTGCCCAACTATCAATTATATAAACCATCAGGCCACATGCAATAAGCAGTGCAGTAAAAAACTTAATCAAATTCATATAGATGTCAATGGCAATTCGGGTACATCCGTACATACAACCTACATACATATATACAATATGTAGTACAACACGCAGAGCACTCCGACACCTTTGGCTGCCCATTGACGACTGGTTGCATTCATTGAAATTCAATTGAGTGCGCGTGCAAGCCAAAAGAAAATCCGTAAAGGGCGTCGACGATGAGGATGATGATGATGATGGTGTTGGGGGTTTTGGGGCGGTAAAGTACTGAATTTTTCGCACCTAAACAACTGCAGAATCCGCACACACAAACACCAACCCATTGAAAACTCCCCAAATGGGCAGCGTCAGCAACTAAATCGCCGGGGGATCCGGTGCCGGAATATAAATGCATATGAAATACGTATTGAATTACGAAAAATGAAAAATTTCCCAACTGTTGTGTAGGTTCATTCGTATGTATTAGTTCATCGGGTAAGGGGTGTGAATTCAGGGGGTTTCTTGGTCATTGAATGGTACTGGCAAAGGAGCATCAGCCTCAATTTCTGGACTCTGGGCTCCCATGTCCGACTTTGCCAGTGAGAATTGTTCAAATATTTATGAAAATATAATTTGACCCACAACAGCAAATTGTTTGTACCTTTGTGGGTGGTCCTGGGTCGCCTTTTTGGACAGGTGTGTGCATGTGTATGTGTAAGCTGTTCTGACTTGCATATAAATTTCTGCATATTTGACAATGACATTACGTACACGCACAAATATACACACAGAGACACACACCTTTACGAAAGGATCCTGCAGTATATTCGCATTTGTTTGCCAACTTATTGTTGTTATTGTTGGAGCTGTTGGCATGGTCGGGCTGCCTTCGAAAAATACTATCTGTTTTAAATGAGAATGCTCTTATGTCACCTGACAGGTATTTCAACAAAATTCAACACAATATTTTCTGCAAAAACAATTATGCCACAAAACTGGCAGCCATGAGCGCCCATTCGAATCCCCTGCCAGGGGGTGATATCACTATCGATCTGTTGGCCATTGTTAATGGTATAACGTGTGTGTGTTTTTCTAGGAATATTTTCGTTTTCTTTTTTCATTCTTTGTGGCCAGTTATAGAAACCCCCTTGATTTTATTTGTATTCTGAGGTCTCTGAATCTACAGCAATTATTAGATTATTCAATTACAAAGACTCTTTTAAACATATGAATGTGCATATAAATGAGCATAAATCATTGTCGTTTTAGTTTAGAGTGCGTCTGGCGGAGAAGAGCAGGGTCCAAGCAGAAGATAACTAATTGAAAATAGCTTAAGTAAGCAAAGCAAAAAGTGGTCCTTTTACTTGGCAAATCCTTTCACCCACCCAGGGGGCTTTGACATAATAAGCTCAAATATTTCAATAAGAGTTGGCATGCAGCAATTTCCGATAATTTATGCAACCACTTGAGCATCAGACCGCCCTTCAGCTTAAACCCACCACCCACTTCCACCTCCCCCTTCAGGCCATCATCAGGAATGTCAGCAACAAAGGCAGCAACAACTCTTGCTACTTCCTCCTCCGACATCATTATTTTTTCAATTTCCCCTCATTTAAATTTAAATGCAGCCAAGAAGAAGGCGAAGGCTGCAGCGGATGTCGGGAGGTGCTACAACCTTTAGCTTCCTGCTGCTGCTGTAATTTATACGATTTGCTAGCATCAAAGGCGAAGGGATTACCACCTTCCTTATCCTTTCCCTTTTTTTCTACTCCTTCAAAGCCTGCAAGCCAAGATTGGTACCCTGCCCGGAGATATACTGCTAATTTCCTCGTTCCTATCGTACGTGGGCTGCTTCACGCGCCGCTATCGTGAGGAACTGCAGCACAAGATGTGGCTGCCCAACTTTCGCAAAATCGATGTAAGTGGTGAGGCACTTTCACTTGCCAGGGTTAAAACAGAAACTGGGTCTCCTTCTATTAAAATAGCCGCACATTCCTCACACCGAGGGTGTGGATACCCTCGCCCTTTTCTCGGATGATGCTCAAATAGCCGCTTGGAATAACGAAGGACTTCCCATGGATCGTATGTCCACGGAGAATGCCACCATTCTGCAGTATTCCACCCGATGGCCTCTAATGATTGACCCCCAGCTGTAAGTTAATTTTACTACCTTAAACTTGAAGTTCATTAAATCTAATTTATATCTTCAGTCAAGGCATCAAGTGGATCAAGAATCGCTTTGGTTCCTCTTTGGTGGTTTTACGCCTTCGGCAAAAGGGTTTCCTAGAATCCTTGGAAAAAAGTATTTCGCAGGGACAAACAGTGCTCATTGAGCAGATTGAGGAAACAATGGACACCGTTTTGGAACCCCTGCTCAGCCGGGCACTAATCAAAAAAGGTCGTTATCTGCGAATTGGAGATAAGGAAATCGAGTTCCATGCCAGCTTCCGGCTCATCCTGCACACCAAAATGGCCAACCCCCACTACAAGCCGGAAATGCAGGCCCAGACCACTTTAATCAACTTTACAGTCACACCAGACGGACTCGAAGAGCAGTTACTGGCGGAGGTGGTCAAGATTGAAAGACCCGATCTGGAGCAGATGAAAACGGAGGTTACTGTTCAGCAGAATAAGTTTAAAATATCTCTAAAAGCTCTTGAGGATGAGCTTCTAGCCAGGTTGGCATCATCGGGTGAAAATGTCCTAGATGATCATGCCTTGGTAATAAATTTGGAAAACACTAAGAAAACTGTGGATGAAATCGAAGCGAAAGTAAGGGAGGCGAGGGTGACTACCCTCCAGATCGATGATACCCGGAATATATACCGTTCCGCTGCAAAAAGAGCTGCCATTTTATACTTTGTCCTCACCGATCTGAGTCGTATAAATCCAATCTATAAGTTCTCGCTAAAGTCCTTTATGCACGTCTTTCGGCAAGCAATTGCCTTGGCCTCTGAATCCAAGAATTTCGAACGCCGGGTGCTTCACCTGGTGGATTCCATTACCCTGCAGACATATCGCTATACCTTACGTGGCCTATTCGAGGCGGACAAACTTACCTTTACATCTCATATGACCCTTCGGATCCTTATAGCCGCCGAACAGGTGGCCAAGGATGAAACGGACTTCCTTTTACGATTTCCACATGATCCCAGTACTTTATCCCCTTTGGATTTTGTAAGTCGCAGTGCCTGGGGTGGAATCAAATCCTTGACTCTCATCGAACACTTTTATGGAATCGACAAGGACATGGAAAACTACACCAAGCGCTGGAAGAAATTTATGGCAAGTGATACACCAGAAAGGGAACAGTTTCCTGGAGAGTGGAAGCATCGCACTCCCCTCCAGAAATTGTGCATCATCCGGTCACTTAGGCCAGATCGCATGACCTATGCCATGCGTCAGTTTGTGGAGCAGACAATGGGTCGTTCATATGCCGAAATTCAGACGCCGCCTTTTGGTGCCATCTTCCAGGAGTTGAATGCAGCCACGCCCGCTTTCTTTATCCTTTCACCAGGAGTGGATCCCATCCGGGATGTGGAGCGTTATGGGCAGCGACAGGGTTTCCATTCGGAATCAGATACTTTAGTCAATATCTCTTTAGGACAGGGACAGGAGCTGCTGGCAGAACAGGCTATCATACGAGCTCTGGAATCCGGCCAGCAGTGGGTCATTCTGCAAAATATTCATCTAGTGGTCAACTGGCTGCCCACTCTAGAGAAGCTCATCGAACGGATAGTTGTGCAGAGCGAGAAGCAGGGCGAATCTAGTTTCAGGCTCTTTATCAGCGCTGAACCGGCACCAGATCCACAGTATCACGTGATTCCGCAGGGTATCCTTGAGTCCTCACTAAAGGTAAGTCTCTTTGAAGTCGAAAAAATTTCATTATAAGTAATCCATAGAACCAATTATAACCATGATTAAATGTTTCACCTATAGGTGGTCAATGAACCTCCATCCGGAATGGCAGCTAACCTGCACAAGGCGTGGGACAACTTCTCGCAAGACGCCTTGGAAACGTGCACTCAGGAGGCAGAGTTCAAGTCGATCCTCTTTGCCCTCTGCTATTTCCATGCGGTGGCCGGCGAAAGACGAAAGTTTGGACCTCAAGGCTGGAACAAGGTGTATCCCTTCAATATTGGTGACCTCACCATCTCGTCGAATGTCCTACACAACTACCTAGAGGGCAGCAACCGGATTCCTTGGGAGGATCTGCGCTATCTCTTCGGCGAGATTATGTACGGTGGTCACATCACGGACGACTGGGATCGGCGACTTTGCCAGACATATCTGGAGGAGCTACTCCAACAAGATCTTATTGATGGTGACTTCGAACTGTGTCCCGGTTTTCCGGCTCCTCCAAATCTGGACTTTGAGGGATATCACTCGTACATTACGGAAATGTTGCCCGAGGAAAGTCCTCTGCTATACGGTCTGCATCCAAATGCGGAGATTGGCTTCCTGACCACTGCTTCTGAGCAGTTGTTGCGCACCATCTTCGAGCTGCAGCCACGGGAATCAGAGTTAAGTTCTCATTGCGGAGCACCACGAGAGGAGCTGGTCAAGATCATGATCGACGACTTCCTGGACAAACTGCAGGATGAGTTCAACCTGCAGGCTCTGCTCAATCGGGTAGAACGCAAGACACCTTTTGTGGTGGTTGCTCTACAGGAATGCGAAAGGATGAACGCTCTCATCCGAGAAATCAAACGATCCCTTCGGGAACTGATGTTGGGACTGAGAGGCGAACTCACCATTACCCAGGAAATGGAGAAATTAGACCACGCCATTTTCTACGATCACGTGCCGGGTGCCTGGGCTCGACTGGCTTACCCAAGTATGTTGGGTCTGCAGTCCTGGTTTGCGGACTTGCTGCACCGCATCAAGGAGCTGGCCGGGTGGCTAAATGACTTTAAGTTGCCCTGCGCCATCTGGCTGGGCGGGCTCTTTAATCCGCAGAGCTTCCTCACCGCCATCATGCAGGAGAGTGCCCGAAAGCACGATTTGCCACTGGACAGGATGCTAATTAGCTGCGACGTCACCAAAAAGCAGAAGGATGATGTCACGTAAGAAGCATGTCCTTGAATAAAATTTCCTTAAAATTAACATTGAAATCAGATTCCTAATGATTTTCGCCATTGAAAAGACCAATCTTACATTAAGAGTTTAATTCCCGATGTTTGTTTTTGTATTGTCTGCCATTTGACCCTTTGACCTATCCTTACAGCCTGCCTCCCATGGAGGGCGCCTTTGTGCACGATCTGTACATGGATGGCGCCAGTTGGGACTGTCAACTTAACTCCATTGTGCCGCTGCGTCCCAAGGAGATGCTCTGCGCCATGCCCGTCATTTACATTAAGTCCATTGTCCAGGAGAAGCAGGAGCTGCAGCGCGTCTACGAGTGTCCTTTGTACAAGACCAGGTGGGTGAAATTTCCCAGCATGCTGCATCCGCCCACTCCTTTGTATGCCTTTTTCTAATTGACTGACGGCTCTTTGACCTCTTCAGGTCGCGTGGCAATACCTACGTGTGGACCTTTAACCTGAAGACCCGCGAACGCCCCTCGAGATGGATATTGGGCGGCGTGGCCCTACTCCTGCAGCCATAAATGCACAACAATAGCTATTATTATTATGAAATCAATATTGCAAACTAATGTATCAGTCATCAACAAAACTAAACATATTTCATTGTATTCCCACCGCATATATACGCCCATAAAAATCTACGTCATTCCACAAACTAATCAATGTTCAAGAGGCGAGAAAGCCCCCCGAATCCACGATATTCTCATGTATGACTAATCAATTAGTGGATATTTATAACATTCAGCACATTGTCGGACGCACGACTCACGTGCTCCTGGCGCAATGGTGACGAAATGGAAAAGTATGGCTTATCTAATGTATTCCAAATCATGTGCTGAACGCGTTGCTTGTTGCCATGCGAACTAAATCACGCACGAAATATAGAAACTAGTTTAGGAAATTCTTCGAGCACTGAGAAGGTTAAAAATCGTGGGCGTTAATTCACTTTTAACTGGTTATAGCCAGTTTTATAATAAATATGTTTTTATACAACTTATTATAAAAACATATGTTAATAAAAAATATATATATGATGATAACCAAAAAATATATTGTTTAATTTATCAAACCTATGAGAAAATGGGTTAATATCGCTATAAATAACATTTTGCCTTCTCATTGTGACGTCTCATTTAAAGGTCATTTGAAAATACATATTCGGGGAGAGCTTAAAGATAGCCTCTAGCATCTTATTTCTAGAAAATATGGACAGCGTCTAGCCGAAATTTTGTATGGAATATTCCCTTTCGAGTTCAGTGACGCACTTGTCTAAATACAAATGTTTTTTAATGGCACATTATAAATATTCCCCAAGACGAACTGGAATTATTTGAGTTGAAATTTAATTTTGTTTTAATTTCTTTTCATTTTAACAGCAAGTTGTGAAATTATTACTATGAAGCTTAGTGACGAACTAACCAAAGTACACTTGTGATAAATTTATAGTAGAATTTTACAGATATCATTTCGTGAATGCCCCTAAATTTTAGACATTTTATTAGATCTAATTTCCGAACTAGTAGAGGTCTAATAATACTTTTGATAAGACTTTATAGAGATCATTTTGCAAATTTGTTAATATTTTGATAACGATTGTGAAATATTCCTTAGCTCAGTCAGCTGAGATAGCCAGTTGTCAATTTCATGGAATAAACTCATGTATAAAATATTCCCCAATGGAGTTCAGTGGCGATCCCCCACACGATCGTGATTTTTTTTAGACATACCTCACATCGAGCACGTCTTGATCGCCAGACCGGCATGGAAGCTCGTGCTTTGGAGGCGCCGGCGACTTTGACCACCAGCTGCCCACGTGAGCGCATAATCGCCAGACTGCCGACTATTTCCAGTTTATTTCTTCTTTTCGCACCGACGGCCAAAGCCATTTGGGGCTGCAAAAACCACTGGGTGATCACGTGAATAACGTTTGGCAATCAATAATTGGTAAGGCTTACACGCCTACGAAACCCGAGAGTCTTTTTCAACGTCTGGGTTTTATCTGATTGCCTCGTTAGATGATAAGGTGTTGCTGGCAATTGCCGCTTTATTTATCGCGGAAAGGTGACACACGGACGTGTGCCTCCCGCCGAGGGGAAAGTTACTGACTAGGGTATAAAAATGAGGGGCTCGTCATCGGGGCCACACGGCGGATGCGTGATCTGGCTGATACTAGAGGCTGCTTACGCAGTAAACCACCAATTACTGGATTCCAAGGGGTTTATTGACTGATTCTAGTGTGTGCTAACTATATGCATTTGTTGACATTTTCCGATGCCGTCATACCTCGTAAGACACTGGCGGGCCTCTGACCTTAGCCCTTGGAATACCGAAAGAGAAACTATTCGGAAATAAATCTACCTGAATGCACTGAAGAAAATATTTTCAAATATAGTAAAATTTTTAAATAAAATATATTTTACATTATGATATTAAAAACAATAAATTCTGACGAAATTTTATAAGCAATTCTGAAGTCATAGGAAAGCTCATAGTCAAAGTAAAAATAAATATTATTAAAAACATTTAGAAATGGACAAGGCTATTCCATTAATTCATAAAATGTGTCTATAAAGAAGTCACCACATTTTTCTCAGTGCCTAAGAGGTTTTAGCCAGAGAGCTTGTTACCTAATTTTTCTCCAAATGTTTGCGCTCGTTTTTTGTGCGAAATTTATGGCAGTCTGCGTCGCCGGGAGTATTCCCCAGACCACGAAGTATACACGTGACACATGGCCGGGCAGCGAATGGCCAGGCGGTCTTAGACCCCACCACACCACCCCACACATACCCACCCACTGGTTGGGCGCCTCAAGATCAAGGCGAATGAGTTTTCCGCGCGCAGTGCAAATTTTGTGGGCTTTATACATAGATAAAAATTGCTCGTTGCCCGACAACGTATGAATCGGAATCGGCCCTCGAACCAGACATTTCTAACGCTATCTATCGCCGGGCAGCGGACGTCGACATCGACGTCGACGTCGTCCGGCGAAATGGTATTTAAGCGGGAAATGATTGGGTATGACAAATCAGAAGTGAAATAACTCAGCAACAGCAAGCAACAGGCTGCTGGTCGTTAAGCAAAAAGACAACCAAGAAATAGCACAAGGTAAGGCAAAAGGGAAATTCAATTCATTAAAATATGTGGGGCAAATGCCTCGCCAAGATATATAGAAAACTTATGCGCCGATCACGCTCGTTCATCGTGGACTAATACCCAGTTCCGGTTTCGCTTTCAGAACTCACAATCCCAAAATCTATTGAAGAAATGGCTACCGCATCAGCACATCTGCCCATCCAAAAGCGCCAAGCGCACGAGCACAATGGTGAACCCAGCTGCCAGGGTCTGGAGGAGATGAACCGTATGTTCCGGAACTTCTGGGATCCCACGGCATACTGGGTGTGCGATAAGCAAGGCACGCGGGCTCGTCTCCAGCGCTGTCCGCAGTCGCAACTTTACTCCGAGGAACTGGGACGCTGCGTCCACTATGCTGATTGGGCCTGGACGGATCCCAAGGAGCCACCAAGCCGAGCTAAAATTAGCCAATCGGTGTCAACCAACTAGTGATAGCTATTAACGGCTACTCTTCATTTAAGGCTACTCTAAGAAAACCAACCTCATTACGCTTAGGTCTATGTTTACAAAATACCTTTATTTTTAATGAAAATAAGAAAAAATCAGTACAAAATCAAAAGTTGCTCGTTTTCAACAATTTAGAGACGCATTGTTTACTTTAAACCTAACTATATGGAATGCACTTCCGGTTGGATAGGGTAATGGAATGTATAAAGTGCCTAAGCAAAATCGAATTATATGCAAAATCAAAACATATAAAGCGCTGCCCTTCGAGGATCATTTGAGTTAGGCATCCAGCTAGTCAGAATTTAGCTACATTTCGACTAAAATTAACTGGCCTTTTGAGCCTGAGTTTCTGGGCATGATTAATAAGAAACTTCCTGGATATTCCCCAAAAATAGGTGAGATTTTGGAGGGAAAAGATAATAAACATTATGGGCTTTGACTACGTGAACAAACTAATCTCTCGTCTGGGAATATCCCTGATAAACTCAGGAGGTTAGTGCTTCATCTGCGATCTTAGAGCTCCACATTGACGCCCTGCTTGTTAATAACCTTGAGCTTCTCCTTCTGCGGTGGCTTAGTGTCCGAGGGAATATCCTCCTCCACGGGGGCGGGTTTATCAGGCACTGTGCGCTTTTTGGTCGGTTTCGATGGCTTGGGAGTTGTCGTAGTAGCTGGCTTGGGAGTAGTTGTCGTTGTGGTTGTCGTAGTCGTAGGTGGCTTAGTTGTCGGCGGCTTTGTGGTTGTTGGCTTAGGTGTGGTGGTCGTAGTTGTTGTGGTGGTGGTCGTTGTGGTGGTGGTCGTTGTAGTAGTTGGCTTCTTGGTAGTTGTAGTCGTCGTTGTAGTGGGTTTTGGCGTGGTTGTTGTAGTGGTAGTTGTCGTTGTAGGTTTTGGCGTGGTTGTAGTGGATGCCACCTTTGGCTTGGGTGTGGTAGTGCTGGGTGGCACACCGATGGACGCCTCCAGACCCTCTCCCTCGACGCGAACATTACGCACCTTGACGGTGGCCTGCTTGGTCTTTGGCGACTTCACACGGGCCAGGTACTGATTGGTAGGTGAGCCCAAGAATAGGAAGTCTTGGAACTCCAGCACGTGAGAAACAGCAGAAGCCGACTTGTCGAAGCCGTGCAGGGAGCCCACAATGTTGCCATTCCAATCCACGCGCACGACTGTTGAGCGCTTTGGCGCTAACACACCAATGCTCTCCATGTGACCCACGAAGTGGACGAATCGCTGCGAGAACTTGTTAGGATAAACGCTGTTCAGGTACCGGAAGGGCAGCTCAAACAAAGCCAACATGCGGGCAAGGAACAGGCGCACGCTGGGGAAGCGAGTAAACAGGGTGAAGCCATTTGGATGATCGCTGTCCGAGCTCACGACCAACGGGACCCAAATGCCCTCAGCATCTGGAGTCAAGTTGTCGGGCAAACCCGGCAGTCCATCAACGAACACCTCGCTTTGTCCGGCTTTCACTCCCTTTAGGTAATACTTGGTCAGGCGCAGAGCTCCGGTCTCGGCGACCACGATGAAGTCCTCGTTGGGGCTTAGGGCCAAGCCGTTGGCAAAGACCAGTTCGTCTAACAGCACCTCGCTTACATTCTTTGAGCGGTCGTATTTGAAGAGACTGGAAGGTAGAAGAAAGCGTAGACCGTTAGTTAACATTAGACCCCATAAAAAAACCGGTTTGCCCTCGGTCTACAGTCTAACCTCTGTAACTCGAAATACGTCTAGACTGCACATGGTAAAGTTCTTAATTGGATATGCAGACAAGCTAAAACTATAAGCACTAAATTAGGATTCATTGAAGTTAATTAAGAGACTTCAACGAAACTTTCAAACACTTTGAAATTGTTTAAATCAATAATTAAGGAAAATACAGAAGGAAGTTCAAATTAAAGAGCTTCTACTGTAACTATATTCTCAATCGGCATCGCTTTTAAAGCAATCAATATTAGAGAGCTAGAAAGGTTACGCTATAATTCGCGATGAACTCACCGGCCCGAGGGGTTGGCAAAGCTGGCAAAAACGAGGTCTTCAATAGTAAAGTCCGATGATGAGTCTGTCCAATAGATGTCGCCCTGTTTGCTGACAGTCAGACCATTGAAAATCTTTGCAGGACGATTGATGGATTTGCCGGCGAGCTCCTGGGCGGGGGAGACCAGCAGGGTCTTTTTGTTGGTACCAAGATCCACCTGCCACAGGCCGTAGTATGCGTCGGCGATAATGAGGTTGTTGCCCAGCGTATCAAAGGCCAGACCCAGAGGACGACCGCACCTGGACTCTTCATAGATGTCTTCTGTAAAAAGGAAATTATCAATATAAACTTAAGTACTTCCTTTTGAGGACTTAAATACCCACCGCAGGGCTGACCGATCTTAGTGACATGAGTGACATGGTTTGCAGTTAGCTTGATGACCTCACCACCATGGATGCCGGTATAGATCTCGTTGTTGCGGGCTATCAGGCACTCTGGGCCATAAACTCGTCCCTCAAGTAAACGCTCTGCGCCTTCCAGGTGAAAGTTCTGTTCCAGGGCGCCCTTTAAGTCCTTAGGCGGAGTCACTCTATATGGGTGGAGAATATCTCCAAGGATTAATCCATGAATTACGTCAATTGGTACGGGCGAACTTACATATATTCCTTGAAGGGAAAGGTGGTGCGCGGCGGCAGGCCGGGCAGCAGGATGATAATGAGAAAGAAAATCATGAAGTTCATGATTCTAACACGCAACGCGTACAGCAGGCCCATGATTGCTTCCTTGTGCGTCCGCCGATCACAAAATATAGCCCTAAAAACTGCTTGTTTTAAGCAATAACCCCGAAGAAAGCGACACGACGGCAAAGTTCAACAAGAAAAAAACGCAAAAGTCATCGTCCGTGCCGGCAGAGTTGGCAGAAATATCGATATTATATTGGATATTGTCACCTCTAACACTAGTCCACAAATTATCATGTTTTGTGGCGCAAAATAAATTTCAAGGGAACAATGGAAATTGTAACATAGTAATACTATAATTTTTTAAATTTCAAAGCTATTTAGAAGCATAAATTAAAATATATTATATATATTTCTAAAAAAAATTAGAAAAAAAAAATCTGAAAGAAACGAACAATATAACCGACATTTGAGTTAAGACTAAGAACCAATTACGTTTTTATCTTTCACTGAATAGATGGATTTCAGTAAAAAATGCTTTATCGAAGCTTGAAAGAATATATATAAGAAAGACATATAAAATTGTTTTTATTTATTTATTAAAACTATCGCAAAATGCTAACCCAAATCTTACAAAAAGCTTTTTGCGATACCGATGAACGGTCACTCACCTGCTCGTGTTTTTGTTTTGGGAATTCCACAACGTCGCAGTTGACAATGAGCGATAATAACAACTCGTCGGGAATCAAAGAGGACGTATTTAGCATGGAGCACGACCAGGATCTGAGCAGCAAGCACTACTCGAGATGCAGCAGTGCTGGCAGCACCCACACACCGAATTCCTCTGCGCACAATTCAGGTGAGTGAACGCTGGGATAGATCGGTCACGCTGTTCATAAGTGGAGGAGGGGGCAGCTGATAAAGCATTGGCATTGAATTACTCGCTATCAGCAGCGTTTTATTACATTCTTCGGTGTCTGTGTCTTATTTTACTGCTCCGCAGACGATGACGACGATAGCGGCGATGCGCGCCACTCAACGGCGGCCAACTCCACCTTGAGTTACAAGGAGCGGAGGCGGGAGGCACACACACAGGCGGAGCAGAAGCGACGGGACGCCATAAAAAAAGGGTACGACAGCCTGCAGGAGTTGGTGCCGCGCTGTCAGCCTAACGACTCATCTGGCTATAAACTCAGCAAGGCCCTGATCCTGCAAAAATCCATCGAGTACATTGGCTACCTCAACCAGCAAAAACTCAAGCAAGAGGACGAAGGATCGGCTTTGCAAAAGGAGGTGACTGCCCTGCGGATTATCAAGAACGGCTACGAGAACATGCTGCAGCATCAGCAAGCGAATCCGGGTCCGGAGGAGGCACGCCTCACTGACGAGGCGAAGTTTCAAGTGGTTAGTACTTTGTCATCTTGTAATACCGCTAAAATCATAAACATATCCCGTACAGTTCCAGGCCATCATGGAGGAAATGTTTGAGACATTCAAGCACATACCAATGGACAACTTTAAGCAGCTGACCACAGGAATCATCCCTTGGTTGGAGGAACACTGCAAGCCGCATATCCTGCGCAACATCCTCAGTCGAACCATGCAGCAAATGGCACAGGAAGCTCTGGAAAAACAGCAGCTTCAGGCCATGGAACAAGAGACTGGCGAGGGCTTCAGCTGATCGCGCGGTTAGTTCATCCTCTCATTCGTTATTTTATAAATCCCTGTTTGGTAGATACTTTCGTTTCGTTTACTGCGTACAAACATTAAATGCGTCATTTGAATAGTTGTAAAAGCGTTGACGAGGAAAGATTACTTTTTGGCTTATTGTTAGATTAGATAAAACTAAATTTCCTAATTTTTGGCGAGGGACTCGACCAGAGCTGCTTTATCCGCGCTATCCAGCAATTTTAGCAGTTCCAAAAGCACGTTCAATGTGTACGGCTTGAAACGACGCACTCGCTCCGTGACATCCAGCGCTGTAAGAAGCTCTCCAAAGAATCCCTCCAGTCGAGCTGCACTCCACACATGTCGCGCTTCGTGTTTGAGTTTTAACACTCCTGACGTCAAGGTGTAGATCAGTCCTTCGTAGAAGTTTTCCTCCTCGATGTTCGCCGCCAACTTTGCACTGGCCAGCAGCGCCGACGGCAGATCGCAGCGGAATTCGTGCGACCGTACGAAGCAGGTGGCCGCAAGTTGGCGTACTTGATCGCAATTATGCCGTAACAGACTCCAGCTTAGACGCCGAAAACGGAGTAAAAGGGGATTTAGGTCTTTGCCTCCGGATGTCCGCAAGTGTTCCACTTTGGAGAGAAATGCCAGAAAGAGTATAATAGAGGAGGTAACCTCCTGGCGGTCGCAGCATTCCAGCATATGCTCGCACGCCTTGGGCAGCAAGCACCCCAGTTCGTCGTAGTCCAGTTCACTGGGTTCCCAAGCGGGTCGGGACTCGAATTCTGTAGCTTGGCGCTGGCCCACAAGCTTGCCAAGACTGGCGCCGAACAGCTGTAATGCGGCATTCGAGATAGTCCACTCAGGGTTGGTAATGTTATCCATGGCCACCAACAGAATCTCATTGTAGTACTTGCTCATTGCCGGTCTAAGTTCCGTGTCCCGCACCAAAACGCATAAGTAATGAAGCACTAGTGCTTCCCAACGATCGTGGTTGCTATCCAGGGAATCACATGTTGTTGAACGTTCTTCATTTAGCCTCTGAAGGATTTGTTGCACAGCACGATGAAGGAGCAGCCGCTGCCGTGGATTATCATTCTTGAGCACATGGAGGAACATTATAGCAAATCCGGCACCACGACGTGTGGTGCTTACTTGGCGACTTTCCGTCAGCAACTCCCGATCCAGGCAATCGTGCAGCATTTGGAAACACTCGTCGCCGCTCTCCAAGCTGCTGGTGATGGCTCGAGTGAGTCTGCCTATGCTCAAACCAGCCGCTTCAATAGCTCCTTTATGACGGCAAAGCGTCAGGACAAACACATTGATGTCAAGGCATCGTCGCAAGGCTTTGGAGTCCACTCTGTTTTCCGGGGTTTGAATAAGTGAACACCCAATGCTGGTAGCCAGATCGCAACAACCCTGCGAAATATTAAGAGCTAAATAAGATTTATTTGGAATACGAGTTATTTTAACTAACCTTCAACGTCAGCCAGAAGCTCATAAGCAAATACTTCCGACAGGCCTCCTCCTCGCTAACAGATTTGAAGGAGCTCTCGCTGACCAGCAGCTCGAGACTCTCTTCCATGTCCTGGAAACTGGCTGCCGTGGCTGCTTCTGCTTGTCGTCTGGCGTTGGCCAAATTAAAAAATTTCAGAATGCCACTTAGAATTCGTTCTAGAAGTGGCAACAAGTCCACCAGAGGAGACTTTACTGGAACGCCAGCCTTGACTATCTCGTCCAGTCCGCTGAGATAGCCAAAAAGATGGCCACCACTCTTGCCAGTCAGCAAAGGATCCTCAAAAAAGGAATCCACTTTTTGTTTTAGTTTATTCAGGAATTCATCAAATAACCTGTTTCCACATTGCACTTTTGTAACCGCCAATTGCGCGTAAAGTGAAACCAGGGAGCATTCGTCTACATCTGAAGTGAAGCACAGTTCCAGGCAACGCTCCACGCACCTTTCATTGTCAACTTGGTCCATTTGAATCAGCAGAGACACAGTCAGCTCCAATGCATCATCGAAACCTTGTGGATTGTTAAGGGTTTCAAAAAGCTTATCAGCCATTTCCTTGGGCCGAAAGACGCCATGATCCAGAAGGAATGCCCCCATTCGTTGATTCTGCTGGGGGCTGCATATTTTGGCATTCTTTGAAACTTGTTTGGCATATAGTGACCTATTAAGGATCTCCAGTAACTTCAAGGCAAAGATCTTTGGTTGGTAAACCTCACTGTGGATGTCCCGCTCGATCAGATTCTGTAGGTGCGAAAAGAATCCCTTGATGTTCTGCGCCAAGGCATCGCCTCCAATGCCACTGTCTACTTTCAGTACCTTATGGAAATGCTTTGCCGTGTGATTAATAATTGTTGGCATCTTGCCTAACATCGTGTTCCGGAACTCTGAGCTCTCCAAGCCGCGATGTCGCTCTACAAAGCTGTGGAAAAACTCCAGGCAGTCCTCGACGGCAAAGTTTCCCAAATTGTCGACTAGGAAACGAAACACCAAAAGCTGAGCTTCCGTCTCCATTTGGCTGCAATTGGTTAGCAGCTCTGTGCTGATCTTAAAAAAGTGCAGCTTGGAGGCAACATATATCTCCTTAGCAAACATGCTAAAGATCAGGATCAGACGCAACTGATCGCCTGGCGACCTCACATCCTCAGAGCAGGCCAGAAACTCGACTATCTGAGGATTTCCCTGCAGCAGCTCAAACAACATATCGTGCTGTTGGATGCGAAGAAACCATTGTGAGTGAAAGTTTTGGATCTCAGCCACACTGCCGTTAAGGAGTAACTCCATACTGGCGTTTAGTAGACCTGGTGAACGTTGGTTACTTAAGCTTTTAACGGGATACTGGCTGGCTGCACGGAGTCCCTTGTAGAAAAGGCTTAGTCGGAGTCCATTGAAGAACTCTTCCTCGCTTTGATTTGTGGCTGCCAGAAGATCCTGTAGTGGAAACGAATTCAAGGCACCGCTCAGCAAATAGTACTTGTTGCGGTTTGTCCATGGCCAGAACTCGACAATCAGTCGGAAGTAAGAGAAGGCTCTTTGCTTTTGTTTGCAGCAGTGGTTGTACAGGGTCAGTGTCTCCTCACGGGATCCCGTTTGCGTCTGTCGCTGAAGGCAGTGGTAAAAGTGCTCTAATCGCAATGTCAAGAGCTGTAGATTGGGGAACTTTTTCACCAACAAGTTAGTGGCCTTAAGTACTGCCATCAAGCTGGGACTGTTCCGCCGCAAAGCCTCAATAATGGCAGTTGTGCACTTCTCCTCTAATGCAGCGGCGTCCAAACGCTTCCAGTGGTCGGTGAGCAGGACGGATTGGAGCATTAGGAATGCAGTAGGCTGCTCGCAGGTCAAACGCTGGGGAAGATCTTCAAAGTGCAAATCCTGTAGCTCGTACTTGTGCACTATGTGGTAGTACACACGAAAGCTAATGTTCAGTGCGGCTTGATTGGCGCCGCCGCACGTGTCCGCCTGCTCCGCATCCTCCTCCTCCGCTTTTATTCGCTGGGCCAACTGCAGTGCGGCATCCTCCGGACGGACATCCCCCAGACTCTGAAAACCGAAGTTTCAGTTAGGTTTTAGTCAATCGAAATGTCAAACGCACCTTCAGGTAGCATAGGCAGTCGCTGGGTCCGATTTTCGGCCGTTTTCCCGGAGACTCCGACATGCCCAATACAACTTTCGTCTAATCCTAACCAGGGATACAGTAAACCGGCTCGTTCTGCACCACCATGATTGCGCGATTATCGATAAATCCAGGTTATCGGAAAGATTGACCGTTATTGGTTAACATTTTTGATTTATTAATTTCAAAACTATAACAATATTATCATATTTTATATTTTGGATATAATATTTTTATTATATATGTTATTCCAAATGAACATATAAAACATTTTCACCAAGCCATGTCTCATGAGTAAAGTATTTAAGGACTAACTTATTAGAAAGGCTGCTTTTGGACATTAAGGTTCATGAGACAGGTTGGTTTAAGTTAAAATACATCACATAAATTTCTTTAGATCTCTAAAAATCTTTCGAAATACAAAAAAGTTGTTGTTCATTATTGAGAAAGAGTTTTTTTTACCAAACCTGAAAATCTACTATTTTCAGAACAACAGCTGTGCCAAAATGAACAGCTGTGTCTATTTTTTTAAGGTTTTGGATACAGTCGATAAAATTCTTTCGATAGCATAAATTGCAATAGCAGAAGCTCTAGAAAATTAAAACGGCATTAAGAAAAAACGCAGCCGTATAAACAAAAATTGTATTTTTTTAAGTAAAAAGATAAAAAGTTCTAGTAGGCTGCCCTTTATTTCATTTGGTGTGTTTCAAGACTTTGTTCCTTTTTCCAGTAAACAGAAGTATTTATTCAAAGTTTTACATGATAAAGTAGAAATGCATGTGTTTGTGTCTTACATTTCATTGCTTGCAAGTGTTCGCCTCGCGTTTCATTTATTTATTTACTTCATTGTGCAGATAAAATCGTATGGATATTCTTTCGGAACTACTGCGTAATTTATGCAGAGGCCAAAACAGACGGTTTTTCCGCATTTTCCAGAGTTCAAGTTTCCTGTTCTAGCACCACTTCGAGTTCGAAACACTGTTCCCCGCAGCGCACTTACTCTTTTTGGCTCCGCTTAATACTTGTAAATCTAGTTTCGACCTCAGCACATGGCATTCAGATACGATACGAGAGATACAGATACTCATTCTCATTCTCAACAGCATCTGCCGCACGAAACTTTAAGGAAGCTCGGCTGAATGGGAATCATTTTTTTTAAACAAGTATTCAGCAGGTCAAGTATATATAGATTTGTACATGAATATTTTATTTCTCACCTGTAAGAAGGATTCCCGAAAACAATTTTTTGCCCAAAGGGCTTAGCACAATTTTTGTTTGCCATTGCGTATCGGTTTTACAGTAGGCTCTTAGATATACGAACCCTGAAATATAATATCTTTAGGCGCAATGAAATTTGATATCTTTCCTCATTACGAATAAAGCATGTTATAGTGAAGTGCGATGGTATACGTACACTTTGCAAAGTTAAACTGGGTATGAAAAGTGAGCCTACTTTAAGCTTAAAAAGGCTTATATAAGATAAGTGATGTAAAAAATCCTCTATACTGGAAAAAAACAATATATTTTGAAAATCTGACATTTACTTTTTAAGTTTCATCAACCAAAGTTGCTGAACTGGTTTAAAGATGTTTTTCCCCAAGTGTGATGATTTAACAAGCTGTCCATCTTGAATAAGCTGAAGATAATCTTTATCGTTCAATTTAAAGAATAAACTTTCTGTTTGTCTCGTGAACTGCTATGAACAGGCGAAAAACAGTACTTGAAAAATCATTATACTCGATTTCAACATGTGTATACTACATGAAAACTGTAGCTTTTTTCTTTTTTTGTATCTGTGTGCGCGAACCCATAAATTTATATATTCCCCGAAATAACCCCGTTCTTAAAAAAAGAGCGAAATAAAAACGAAAGAAGTAAAAGGCAAAATAAAAAATAATAGGCAACTGTCTCTCCGGCAATCTCTCACAATCTCAAAAACAACTAGCGACCATAACCATTATTTGTACCTTCCGAATACGAATAAATATATATAACGCCGAAGCGCACACGCACACAGACTCAGGTGACTATATATATGCATGTGTATATAGTTGGGTTTTTGTAGGCCCGTTCGTCGCTTTTTCGAGTTTTCAAATTAGTATTGAAATCGTCGTTAACGGCGACGGTTTGGTTCGGCGCTTGAAAAACGGTTGAAAACGGTTCGGTCACTACCTCTCTCTCTCACTTGCCGCTCTCTTCTCTGGTAAGTGTGAGTGTGTCGGTGTGCAAGGTGTTGCTCTGCTTCGGAAATAGTTCAAGTCGAATTATTTAAAACTTATTGGCAGGCATGTGCATAGATATATCAGCAGTTGCCATTAACTGATTAGCGAATTATGCCACAAATGACAAATGTCAATGGAATTGTTTAATATTGATGGAAAGTGGAATGTTCTGTTCTTTTTCTTGAAAAATTCTCAACTGCACATAATAAGCGTAAATTCGTGAGTGTCTGTTTGTGTGTGTGTGTGGGTGAGCCGAGCTGAAATGAGAGGAGAGCACATACCCGAAAAGAATTAGTTGGCTCTCTCTTTAAAATCCCCCTACCTCCCCGCTCCTATCTGTATCAGCTTATTATCGTATCATTTTTGCATTACAGTGCCCGCAGGCGATTTAAATTAAGTTGGCAATTACATTTCCTCTTTGGAACATTATAATATATCCGTTATATTTATCAAGCTTAAAACCGCCCTTTGAACATCGCGACGTATGAAACATGATTCTATAATGGTATTTTCAAACCACCCCCCGACCAATGTGCAAATCTTGAGTCGTCGCTGGAAAATTACTGAAAATTTGAGATTCAAGTCTAATTTCAACCCGCCACGATGAAACTTACCTATATATTAATATGTATTTCCCCCCTTTTTCATTCATTATTATTTGTTCGTCTTCCAAATTTGTACGATGCCGTAATCGCTTCTTAAAATTCGTATTCTACGCTATATTCAACGCTATCTTGTTTACTTGCATTTGGAAATCACTATCTCGAAAATGTTCTGTTATTGAGTGTGTTGTGTTCCACTTGCCTCGCTTCACTTTACGCTTGTATCTGTGAGCGGGAGAGTGTTTTTTACGTCTTCTTTTTGCTGCCATTATTCGTTTTGAAATAATCAAAATCGATAAAAAATATATATATTTCCTCGGTTTAGATTTGTAAGCTCTTTTCGTGTATATTTGCTTACGACGAGCGTGTCGGTGTGCTGCCACTTTTGATGGGTTTTGGAATGTGTTAAACAGTTGGAAACACGTCAACTTCACACAACCAAATGTGTATATGGAAGTAAATATCAAGTTGGTGGTGGATTCTGAAGACGAAAACCGAAAGATAACCGAATCCACGATGGCCACTTTTGACACAAAAAGTCTAAAACTGGATTTTTTCTGTTGGCACATAGCCATCGCTCTTTTTCACAATCTGCCAAGTGGATATTGGGTGGTTTAAAGTACATATACAGAGCCATCGTAAACTAACTTTCCGATTGAACAATTGTGATTCAAATTAAAAACCAATTAAAGAGCACTTTTAAATGTTTGAGTGCTTTTAATCTTACAGTCAAGTTTAACTAGGATGATATACCTGTTATATCTGTACATACAGTTAAGCATCTTAAAGTTCAAAATAGTTCGATTTACATAACTAAAGTAATGCAAATGGTGCTTTGGCTTGTAGAGAAACCATAGCATACTTTTGGAGTACTTTTAAATACATATTCCAAATTTCAGTTCCACTTTCAAAACTAAATTTTGAATAATTATCTTTACAATTGGAGGGAAAAGATCTCATTGGTTTCTTATAAAATATTTCACCGTAAAATATTGTAATGCTATTTTAACAAATACCTAGTAATTTCGCCAATAACAAATTATGTAGATAACCAATCCAATGAAATTGACAATAGACCTGAATTTTGTAGTTTTCCAAAACTACGAGTTCTGGTGTCAGAAAAATATTTTTCAATTTTTAAAAACTTTTTCGAAACTAATTTTTGATTCCCCCGCTTTTTACAACAGTTGCAGGGATTCCAAATACCGAAGCCTGAATTTCCAACGCCACATCCATGTTAATGCCACGTTATCTGGGCCTGAACGATAGCTCCTCGTCGTCTGGCAGTCACGGACCTTCAGGAGCTCCCGGCAGCTCCTCCTCCCCGCCGACGACGGTGGCCGCTCACACGAAAATTCGGCTGCTGAGCAAAGTGGAGCACAATATGCGTCAGAGCCAAGGTCACATCCAGAGCAATACGAGTTCCCATGGCATCAGCCACCTCCTGCACACGGCCTCAACGGGCAACGGAGTGGTGGACGATGTCGACGGACTGCTGACGCCCATGCGCATTAAAGCTCACATGTCGCCACCCTACTCCGCCGGCAGTTCTGTGAAGAGCGAATCCCTTAGCTCGAGCTCTCGGCCGGAACGCAACCTGTGGAGCCGGGCCGAAATGCTAGAGATGTTGAGCATCATGCAGAACCTTAATGCCCTGGAGCAGCTAAACGACCGGAACATGAAAAGCGAATACGTCTTCCGACAGATCGAGCAAGTAATGCGTAGCAAGGGCTACGTGAAGAAGTCCAGCATCCAGATCTGGACCAAGTGGAAGTTCCTTAAGTCCACGTACAACACCACAACACGTCATGGCACTGGAGTGCCCAAGGTTGTGCCGGAGGAGGTGTACCGTGTTCTCTGCCGAATGTTAAGTGACTCAAATCACAGCGGAAGCAACAATAATGTCAATGGCAGCCTCAGTGAATGTGGGAACTCGATGGACAGCTCCAAGACAGCCGGCGAAGACAACAAGGAGGACATTCTGGGCGTGGAGCATCCAATTTTTGGATTTCGACTGGGACCCATTAAACCAGAACCGATTGATACTGGTAAGTGACGTTGTCGATAGAAATCTGTTTCTTTTAGTAATCAATGACATTGTTATCTTTTTCAATCTTTGAATTATGTATGTTTCAAAAAATGTTGTATCCATTGATCAGAAAGTTTAGTTTTGAAACAAACACAATTCTGATGCTTAAAGCCCTAAACGCTATATCACAAAGCTAATTTTCATAACAAATGACATCAATAAAAATTAGCATTTATTCGATTGTTCATCGAGATTTCTGAGAACTGAACAAATACAATTCCCAATAAAAAATTGTGGTTATTGATGACAAACATCTTATTATTTTAGGCTATGAGACAACTCAAAAGCAGGACATGGTGTCTGAACCGGATATAGAAGCTTTTGACTACGAGGCTGGTAGCTCACAAGCCGACAACGGCGACCAGGAGGATGTGCCTCATTTGCCGTTTATAGTGTCCGTGAAACACGAACCCGACGTGGACCTGGGTATGGACACCACTAACACACCGCCACCCACGGCACCAGCTTCTCCATCTCCACCTCCAGTGGCGCTGGATGAGACGGATGACGAAAGCGTCTACTCATCCACACCGGCTGCACCTCCTCCACTAAGAGTAGCCTCTTTCGCCAAGGACGAACTGCGGCGGCCTACTCACGGCATCCTACAAATAGATCGGCCGCCGCCAACGCTCACAAAGATGGGACAGCAGCTAGCCAGTCCGGGGCAGATGAGCAGATCCCTGCCATTGCAAAGCACTAGCAGCATTAACTTTGTACATCCGCACAGCAAGCTGATGCTACCCCGCAAGCAGAATCCGAATGGCAGCCAATCTGGGCTGCGTCTACCCAGAGACATCAGTGTACAGCCAACCGGTATGCGGATGAAGACAGTGCCCATGCGGGATACAGGCTACTCGCTTCGCCCGGAGCGGATGATTCCCGACATTGATAAGTCAGCGTCCAGTCCACCACAGTCGCCTTCAACGATGGCTGCTCTTTTGGGCCGCGGACCACCGCCTAAGTATCCGATTTCTGGGCAGCAAGCAGGTGCCTCTACAAACAGACACGCTCACATGATGTCTTCCCACCAGTTGACTCCACTGCAGCACCAGCAACTGCAGCCGCGGAAGCGCCGACTGGGACAAAGCCCAGTCATGGGAATGCCTGTACCGGTAAAGTTGCAACGCAGCGCCAATATGTACGAATCGCCTTCAAAAAACATCCGATCTCATCCTGGAATAAGCGAGGACATCAAAAAGAAAACCAGCGAAGAGGATACAAAGCAGCGCCAAAAGCGGCATGAGGAGCTGTTTGCCAAAGAGCTCAGCCAATTGGCTACAGCTATGCGCTCGGCACAAAAGGAGATGCTGCAGGACTTCTTCATTCAGCAGAAGGAGATCGCACGACGGGAGCATGAGTTCCAGTTGAAGCAAGACACGATGGTAATGCGGGCACTGCGCAAACAAACGGAGACGTTGTTAAGGACCGCTAACGAGCTGGTAAATAATGGAGCTTCCGAAGCAGCTAAAACGGAACAAGGCAATAGGGACGGTGTCATTCTCGAAACTCAGATGCCGTTTGAGCCAGAAACAGAGCTTCAAACTCAAGAAAGCGAAGAGGAAATTGTAGATGGAGATGGGGAAGCTGATGATGATGTGGAGGAAACTATGGCAGACCTAGAAGAGGAGGACAATGATGAAGATGATGATGACGAAAATGATGAGGTGGAGGATGACGACGGGGATGATGAAGAACATCTGGGCAATGACAGCGACCTGGAAATGTCCACTTTAGCCATGTCCGAGGGCTCCAACCACATTGAAGTCATCACCGAAGAGCAGTAGTTGGTTTATTCCAAACGTCCTACCACATCTTCAAGTATTACCCCAAAAAGACAAAAACCATTGTTAATACCGATTCATTCCAATCGCATTCCTTAAGCTATATATACTAAACATATATATATATATATTCCTAGAGCCAGACCCGCGCATTGTTAAAAGACTTGATTATATTTAAGCATTAATACATAAATGAAACCTAAAGTAAATTAAAATGTATTTATTGTTCATCGACCGTCTATGCCCCAAAGTGCTGTAAAGTTATTGAAACCACAACATACTTAGGTAACCATATGATATATATCAAAATATATATGTACATTGTACAATAACACAAGAAAATGCATTTTCTAACGGACTTGGGAGTGGGATCTGATTATTTCGAAAAACACATATTTTTTTAAATCAAATTTAATTTCCTATCCTGAAATATATTTTATAATATTGCATTAGTTTGATAAACAAATTATAATTTACAACTAAACGAAATAAGGGAAAGTAGAGCGCCCTAAAGTTACGAGAAATCAAACTTACTGCCTAAAGTTTTTGCAAAAATTAGTTTTAAACGGAACATTAAATAGTACTAGCTTAAAATGACAAACTGTGAGTGCACTAAATTAGGTAATGCCCATTTTCTGCGCTGTGCCTGCCTGTCCTATGCCGATTAGCACGATCCGTAAACGCCTAAAGCAAAGTGTTAGCAGCTAGTGTTTATTTTACAATTACCATTACGACCCCGCGATACCGTGCACACGCCCATCTTCCTAGCCGGCATTTAGTCGGGTCGATAAATGGGCGTTTTGGGTATAAATTCAATTAAAATAACATACTCCATCATGGAATTGGAATCACATTGTTGCTTATGCAGTCGCCAGTGCAGGCCCAGCTTATGATATAGATGATTATTTTCCCATTCGAACAGCTTGTCCAGGGTGAGTTGTGTCTGTAAAAGGATCCGGATTATTTTGGGATTACACGATCTTGTCTGAATAATCAGATTTAGCTTAATCTTACGCGTTTGCTGAGACAGATGACAGGCCAGAGGGAGCAGCCTAGAGTACAGCAACAACAGACGCAGCCGCAAAAGAGCCACTTGACGTTGACGGGCAGGGATTTCTTCAATACTCCGTTAATCCGACCCACCGTCGCCTTGAACTCCTCGGGAGCCACTCGGGACAGCAGACCGCATGGGAACTCTGCGTTGAAGCGATTGCTCAGGCCAAATCTGTAAATATACAGGGGGAAATTCAGAATTAGTGTGTGTAATTGCCGTGCAATACAAAAATTTTGCCCTGACTCAACTCTTATTCAACCCATAGTCTGTAAATGACCCTTTAGGCTACATCGCCACATTTCGAAAAATGGGGTCAAGCGGAATCAATGGAAAGCAGGGCCTATGCCGAAATTAGGTGACGACAACCTTGAACTACATTCTAGCTTCATCAGCAAGCAGTTGTTTCAAAAAATGCTTACACTCTTTTTGGAATCGAATTCTTAAATACTCTAATTTTCAAAATTTCGACAAAATTCAGAACTATTATTATTTTTATTGGTTTTAAAATTAAAGAAAAAGAAAGAAAACATTCCGTTTTTGATGTGTGTAAAGTTCATAATAAATCATCTGGGATATCTCCTATATTTTGAAGCGGAATCTTTAATTTAATATTTGCTTAACTCTGTATAGTTCTGTTCTGCTATTATCTTGACACTTGTAGTGCTATTGTTTCGAATGAATTACACTTCGAACTACTCTATCTATCTGGTGTTCCCCATGTTGGCCTTATCGCTTGTTTACTGTGCCCAATTCGGCCCACTTACACTGTCATGTTGCCCGCTCCCCGAATGATAATAGGCTCCTGAACCGGCGCCACAGTTTGATCCTGGAAGTGCTCCAGGTCGTCCAGCTGCTCATCCTCATAGATGGCGTCGAAGTCAGAAAAGGACATGGTTGGTCAAGCTTGTGTGTTTCGTGCTTATTTTGAAGGACTGATGCGGTGATGAGCTTAAAACGGATGACGAGGTGACCAGGGGGAACAGAGAAGAGCAGCGCGCGCTCCAGCTGTGCCGTTTGGGAGGTCAAAACATGTTGCCTTCAGCCTTTGCTGGCGGGGATTGGGTGTTACGTACGAGATGCACTTCAGTTACAGATTGACTTCTGCGGTTGTTGCTTCCGCCATAAAACGTTCACGAAGGCAGCCTTTTCCAGTGATGCGATAATGACGTCTGGCTTCCTCTGTTGACGCAAATGCGTAGGGGGCGAGGGTGGAGGTAAACGGGGTGGTGGGTGGCATTCAAAATAAAGTGCATATTAAAAAATAATAAATGCAGCGTGTGATTGTGTGTGTGGAGCGCTTTGCAACACTGGACTCTGTCTGCATTTTTGTTGTTATTGCTTTTTCTCTTAAAAGAATGAGCGGGAGGAAAAAATATTCCAAATACAAAGAAAGCCCACTTAAAACTTTTTTTCCTTTAACAGCTATTAAATTGTGAACTTTCCACTTAAATACATATCTTGAGCAACAACAAATACAGCGCAAATGTTTTGTTTTCCCCACACACACAGTCACAGAAGGCACCAAAACACACACACACCTCTTGCAGCGTATTTCGCAATCACTTTTCTTTCAGGCTAAGTTGTTTTTGTGTACGCCCGTTCAATTTATTTATTTTATTTTTCAGAACAATTTTCGATTAACTTTGAGCAGGGACTACGACTTTTGCACGCTTTCTACGTTTTCCGAATATGAAAATTCGCTGCTGAATTTGTTGTTACACGACCAAGACGAACAGCTGGCTGCCCTGTGTTGCCAGACTTGCTGGTAGGAGTCGTATCTCTTCAAAACGGCTTTTCAGGGATACTCTTTATATCTTTTATACCAATACATTTAATTTTTTAGAAGAACAAAACAAATTAGTTTATATAATAAACTTAATTTTTAGTATTGTGTTACCCGACTTCTAAGAACAGCTGAGTCGCCAGCGTTGCCAGCCCTGATTCGTCTTTCAAATCCTTCAATTGCGATGGGGTGTTATTGATTTATTAATTATCTATGTATATAAATAAATTACTTTTATGTATAAAATACATAGAGCGCAATAAGCTTAAGCCTAAAAAAACAAATTCGACGATTGGGCAACTTAAACAACATTGCAATAGCTTAATTTCGAGTGTTATAGATTAAAATATAGCTCTAGCGTGAACGAGAAGGCATATTTGAGATGGTTTTTGGTTTCCAGTTCAGGTCGGTGGAATGGAAGATTACTTCTTCTTAGCCGCACTGGGACTGGTAGATTGGAACACCGAGGATGCCGACATCAGATTCTCGATGTACTGGCCTAGTACCTGGTTCTCGGAACGCAGCTTGAGATTCTCCTCCTTGACGGAATCAACGCGTTGCGAAAGGTCATCCAGCGTATTTTGTAGCTCTAGTACCTGGGTGATCAAGCGGGCTTTCTCCTCCCGATCGTCTTGTGCCATTTCCATTGCCTCCAGCGAGTTGTGTGATGAATCCGGCGTAGAGCTCCGGTTGGTGAAGGAAGAGCGCAGCGAGTCCATGGATCTGCCGTTGGGCATGTGTCCCGCCGTCGAGGGCTCGTCATCCGGAATAACCACTGTTGTTTTGGGATAGAATAACAGTTGATAACATCATCACTTGAAGACTCCACCCACTTCCATAAATTTTTACTCACCCTGTGGGTCTTCGTCCATGTTTGGAATACTGTCATCATTGTTTAACAGAGACATGGCTGGCAGTGTTTATTTGCGATTCTTGTTGCCTTTTATTCTTTAACTCTATAAACTTTTGCCAAATTTCGTTTATAAATTGACACGAAAAAGAAACTACCACTTTTAGCCACGCAAAATTGTGCAACACTGGCAACCGTTGCCGTTTTTTAAAAAAGAAACATTTTTCAACACTAATAGAAGTTTTAAATAAGAAGAAGCTGATTTTTTAATCATTAATTAAATATTTAAGAATGCGTTGTCTTTAAAATGAATTATTTATTATCTTTCAAAATATTTAAAAAATATACCTTTTTCTTGCTAGTATTGGGGTAGTGTAACCACCTTTCTTAGATTTCAAGTTATTTTTCCCGTTAAGTTCCATTGAAAAGAAAAACTGTAAAGCTATAAAAAGCTTGCTTATGATAATAATCTAAGAATCAAATTCTACAATAAAAACGTTTTTACTATAATTTTACCCACTTTTAAATATTTACCATTTATTCATCTTTTTATTTCCGCCATTTCAAAATAACTGACAACAGGCGCACACAAATCGGCGGCCAGAGTTGCCACCTGAGACGGTTGATCATAGAAATTAAAATACACACATGCTTTTGCTGTTTTTAATATTGCTTGACAGAACGCTTCCGTTTTTGCAGGAGTGTGAATTTCTGCGAGTGACAGTAAAACTAGTTTAGTTATGAACGCAGTGAAAAGTGCGTTGAAGCTGTGTAGATTTTCCGACTCTTTTGGTGGGCATTCGTTTTCGCCAGAATTTACGAGGTCGAACGAGCGTTTAACACCCTCGCAACAACAAACTATAGTTTAATCAAGCGAATAAAGCAGGTAAGCGCAATAATCTTATCCCACCATTTGACATTCGCGACCTGATATCCTTGTGGACTGTCATTTAAGTTCTGACCTGCGAGCGAACAGCATCTCAATATCCTGATTTTCTCCTCATCCGAGGCTGTACATTTTAAAAGGAATAACGCAAGGGTAAGTCAACAGTTGGATTCTGGAAACTGGGAGTCGGGGCTTTCTGAAAAATTAAAATTAAAACTCATAGATTTTGCTGAAATTCCTGCCAGTTCGACAGAACCAAGATAAGACGTTTATGTTCTTGTGACATTGGATTGGCTACTACGTAACATTTTATGGGGAGATCGGATTGGGGCTTATTATCGTGGTTCAAGCATAAAATTAAAAGTGGGGATATAAAGCCTATGGAGGCTATAAATAGAGGCAGGTCAATTTTGAGATAACATAAATCTTCAAGCAGCATAACTAAAAATGGTATCAAAATTCAATATGTATCCAGTGTGACCGCAGCCGAGTGACCGGATTTTGACAAATGGCCGCGGGTAAATTGTCCAAAAAGGGTCACAAACCTAATAAAAAGATCTAGCAATTAAGGTTTAGGACTTAAGATTTACCACCAGTATGTTCTGATAAATTTATTATTTGGCTGGCAAATAGTTTTGAGTTTGCGTTAACTTATATGGAACCTAAAAAGGAACTGGTACCTGACAGATACTTTAAATATCCCAAATGTAGATCCTTTTTACCTAATTGCATAAAATAATATCCTATTTAACCCATTTTAGGTATAACATTAAACCCAAAATAGCCGTAAATATTTAAAACAAATTTACCAACCTTCGCATTGGGAAATACCACCATTTGGTATATAATCAAACTGAAATACATAAGATTAGTGCGCGAAAATATTAACTTCAAATCGAAAACTTCAAAAGCAGTGTCATTAAATAAAAAGTAAAAAGTAGTGGCCGTCAGAAAAGAGATCGAAAACATTTAATCCAACAGTTACAAACTGTGGAAGTCTGTGAAAACTTGTGTGAAAAGGTGAAATACAAAAAATACTAACCCCGGTGCAGAGTGTAAAATGCCTAAAACTTTTGTGCGCCTCAACGTACAAAAATTGTAAAGACGCGAAAACGGGAAAGATTATAATTTTTTGATTTCCTGCAATTTCCGTTGGGAAATATTAAATCCTTAACATAGTTTAAGAAACCGAAATGCTGCCCATGTCGATGGCCACCGCCGAGTCCAAGCAGCTCCAGCGCGACTTATCCATTACCGTGTCGCCCACGAGTGGAGGAGCAACCACAACTACGAGCAATGGAATTGTTCCAGTCTCTGGCGGAAATTCTAACCCAAATAGCCTCCTCACACTCGCTCCTCCTCGAAAGGAGGAACTGCGCTTCGTGCCACTTGCATCTATGGCTGGAAACAAGACCTGCAATATTACCATCAGCAATGTACAGCCCATGAAATCCAAACTAACAACGGTGAACATTGTGCCAAATCCGTTGAAAAGCACTGCAGGATCTACAACTGGCGGAGGATCTGCATCTTTATTTCAGATTGTGCCTTCGCCCACTAATACTAACCCGCCACTGGTGGCTTATTTGGCACCCAACGTTAAAACCAAGCTGCTCGGAGGAGGGGCGTCTAATCCCCAGCCAGTGGTGATACGTTCTGGGACACCATTGAATAAGAGTAGCCTTACGATTCACAGTAATGGTATGGCGACCATGACGCCCGTTCAATCTGGAGGATCGGGAGCTGAAGGAAACAGTGGAGCAGGAGGAGCACCCTTAACCCTACTGGGCAAAACAGAGCTTCCACAGAAATTACAAACTGGTGAGTAGGGTTTCCCCCATTCCATGTTATATAAGCCGTAAGTTTAAAGATGGTTTTTCATTCGAGAAAAAGAGATCCCGAGATTCAAAGCAATCCGGAAAATGGAAAACGGAAAATGGGGAGTACTAGTGTGAACCATGTGTGTGTGTGTGTCTGTTTGTGCGGGGCAATCTTTATAGTTTACTTTCGTTGCTCACATTGCTCTGCGGGTTTAGTTTTTAGTTGTTGTTCGACTGCTGCACATTTCATAACACCAAATTAATAGGGTTTGTGTGCGTGAGCCATTTTCGGATATAAATGAAACTATTAAATACAGTTCCACATTCTGCAACGGGGTCACAAAAGATTGAAAAAAAGAAAAAGAATTCGTTTCTCGACTATATATGCTGGTTTTATCAATAGCAATATGCAAAAGGCGGGGTGGCAGCTAAACCGAAAGCAACAAAAACAAAAACGACAACGATGATGACGATCAGGTTTTTGCAGCTGCAATAAGAGGAGATGATTTTTTGATCGGCGTGCGGGGTTCGGGCTCAGTGGAGGATCCAATCGGTTCAGATTGCCTTCGGGTGACTAATTAAATAAAAGTCATTGCTAATTTGTATCTCTCTTTTCTTCTATCTTTTCGTTCATCCGTACAGCACCTGGCCAGATTCCCAGTACGGGTCCAACGCAAGTCTCCTTGCTCAATCCCCTCAAGCCACGTGCACCACTCATACTCAGCAAGGTGGCGGTGGACAAGCTGCGGCTAAAGTTCAATCAGGTTAAGAACAATCCAAATTCCCTGGTTCTCAACAATGCCAATAATGTGAAGAAGCTGGTAAACCTGCCGAACAGCAGTGGCGAGGATACAATGAGGACATCCCAGAATAACAACCACATTAATAACAACAATAATAATAATAATAATAATAATAATGCTGGCAAACTAAAGGCGGTTATTCCAGTTAAAGCCACGCCTGTCGTCACTGATGAGCAACTTACCAACAACAATATGAGCCTGATTAAGGGCAAACCACTAGCTGTTAAGGCAATGCTCGTGCCCAGCCAGGATAAGCCAACTATGCCGGCAGCTATACAAGTCGCAGAGGATGTCCCCAAGCCCAAGACACAGTCCGCACCTAAACCCACTTCAAAGCCGCATGAAATTATCCCAAATGGGTTAGCTAAGGAGTCCAAGAAGCCTGTCCAGCTGCAGAAACCTGAGCGAAAGGAAACCCCTAAGGTGCAGCCAGTAGTGACAAAGGAAACCTCTCAGCCCAAAACGGCTGCGGCTAAGGAATCAACCAAGTTAAAACGCTCCAAATCCTTTGTGGGCACTCAACCTTCTTCTTTAGTGGCCAACAATGAGCGGCGACACTCGGTTGCAATTATGGCTAAGGAGGTGGATGTTATAGAGCAGCCAAGTGCACCCATTGAGACCATCACCATAGAAGATGACGATGATAGCGAGCAAGAGGAGCCGGAGCCTGAGCAAAACGGAATCATAATGCCCATTCTCCCCGCAGGGATAACTATTTCCACTACGAGCAGAACAGCAGTTAAGCCAAAGCCCTTGAGAAAGAACTCCTCCGTGACGACAATCTCCTCACGAGCTAGTAGAAGTTCGTCCAACAGCGATGTGGAAGAGATCTGTGCGCCGGGCAAGAAAATCGAGGATGAATTGAATTTACTGCCTGGCATTAGCATTATCAGGGCGGAAACCCTACCGCTGTCTACGGAAGACTTCGAGCGTTCTCTCCGCTGCGATGAGCAGATACCTCAAACCCCGCCCAAGTCTTCGTCTTCCTCAGGCGGATCTAACGGATCAGACACGTCATCACCGCCTAAAATTACCAATTCTATGACACCACGTTCACCCTTAAAGAATGGAAAGAAATCTTATGACCATGAAGTGGACACACCTGGCAGTAGGGCAAATTTCTTCAAGAAAACCATGGTACAGAACCTGTCAATGCTGAAATGGCGTGGTCAGCAACCGGCAAATTTGCAGAACTCTACGATCCGGTTCGAGTTGAATCAGTTCAACCTCCTGCAGATAAATGAGAGATGCCAACCGCGCCAAGGTCCAGCGGCGTATTTCGAGCGTGCCCTATATGAGCGTGCTGGCAGGAGGCCTACAAGCAGCATTCATCCACTGCTCTATCTGTGCCAGCGTTGCAACTGCCACGGTCCCGCCTCTGACTTTCTGGCACCACGTGAGTAATGAAAGGATTGCCAAAGGTGTTAAAGAACTATTACATCATATAATATTTTCTTCCGCAGATTACTGTTCAGTGAGCTGTGTGCGTCGCGCCCAGAAGCGTCGCCTGCCGTCAAATACACAAAAGGATAGTAAGATGAGCCGCACGCTACTGGAGCAAACGACTGCAACAGTGTCAGATCCGCCAAAACAGCAAGGGAACTACAAATCCCAATCGAAGTCTCTGGCTGCCTTACAAGAACAGCTTCAGCAGCTTACAAAGGAGAAGTCGCGAAAACCATTCCGCTGGAGTGAGTATCTCAAGGCCAAGGGCAAGGATGTGGCAGCGCCCATCCATCTATTCCTCAACCCGTTTCCCATCAGTCCAAATTGTTTCGAACGCGGCATGAAGCTGGAGGCCATAGATCCGGAAAACTGCTCACTGTTTTGTGTCTGCAGTATAGTGGAGGTACGGGGTTATCGGCTAAAACTTAGCTTCGATGGCTACTCCTCCATGTACGACTTTTGGGTGAATGCCGACTCGCAAGACATCTTTCCGCCCGGTTGGTGCGATGAGACGGCAAGGGTTCTGCAGGCACCCAAGGACTATAGCTCGGAGCGCTTCAGTTGGAGCCGCTATCTGGTAAAAACGGGTGGCAAGGCGGCTCCACGAGTTCTCTTTGCGCATTTGAATATGCAGTCGCAGGCGGGAGTTCGAAACGGATTTGCAGTTGGTATGCATCTTGAGGCCGAGGATCTAAATGACACGGGGAAGATCTGTGTGGCCACGGTGACGGATATTTTGGACGAACGTATTCGAGTCCATTTCGACGGCTGGGATGACTGTTACGACCTATGGGTGCATGTCAGTTCACCGTACATCCATCCTTGCGGCTGGCACGAGGGTCGCCAGCAGTTAATAGTTCCGCCGGACTACCAAAAGTCGGCGTTTAATTGGGATGACTACATATCAGAGGTTGGAGGATTGGCTGCCTCGAAGGAGCTGTTCACACCACGCCAGCCCATGGAATACCAGGCGCGCATGAAGCTAGAGGTGGTGGACCAACGTAATCCCTGCCTAATTCGCCCGGCCACAGTGGTTACGCGAAAAGGTTACCGCGTCCAACTCCACTTGGATTGTTGGCCAACGGAGTACTTCTTCTGGCTGGAAGACGATAGTCCAGATCTACATCCCATCGGTTGGTGCGAGGCCACCTCGCACGAACTGGAAACTCCGCCTGGATACCTGCAAACCAAATCTATGATGCCATGTGATGTGGAGGGATGCCGGGGCTACGGCAATGCCAAGCGGTTTAATCTCAATGTGCATGCCTTGCGAGATTGCTGCCCGTATGCACCCGAGAACTGGCGCCAATGGCGCTCCAAAACGGTAAAACCACCACGAGTTGCGCCCGAGAAGATTAGGCGTGGATGGGCGAAGAAACCAAAGCGAGCAAGTGCCGAGGTCAAGGTATCGGTTAAGGATGAGACCCACGCAGAGGTTAAGCCCGAGTTAAAAGTGGAAGCCAAGCGAAAGACACCTCCACGTCAGGTAAAGGTTGTGAAAAAGATAAAGGAGGATGCAAGTCAGGTGCCGGATGAACGTTCTCTGGCAATAGCCAATTCCTATGTGAAGGACTACGGACCACAGTTCCTGCAAAACTATCGCCTTTGGCAGCAAAACAGCGCGTTCGATTTGGACCAGGTGCAGACCAACCCACTGCACTGGACAAACTGGGATGTGTACAACTACATAGAACGAGAACTTGACTCCGCGGACATTGCCAGAACGATTTTCGACCAAGACATTGATGGCAGAGCGCTGCTGATGTTAGGACGTCAAGAGTTAGACAAGTACCTGAAGCTCAAGGTGGGCCCAGCCGTAAAGCTCTACTCCCTGATTGTTAACCTGCGCATTGCGGTGGTCTGTAAGTTTGAGACCAATACCACTGGACTGACAATCAATTTCGATGATCCCATTCAGTGGGGGAAAGAGAAGGCATCGACATCTCCTGCCAAGAAGCAGGAGCAGCCCCAGAGTAACGGCTACAAGATGGACCATGATGAGGAGCTCTACCAGAGCGGAAACGATGAGGAAGCGGTGCTGGACTGCGAAGACTTCCTTAGTGTTAAGCCAAGCAGTCTTGTGATTGACGAGGACGCCGATGGCGATGTGGTGATGGTACCATTGGAAGTGCGCATGCCCATGAGCACGGCCTCCTAGGACTCCAGACAACCCGCTTTCGTTGATTGATTTATAAGATTATTTTGTTGCACCGGCCTCAGCCCTTTTGGGTATTAATATTATAAATAATAGTATTTATTATATAAGGCCATCCGATTTTGATTATGTTTGTTTTACCTAGTATCCAATAAATGATCCCCTAGATATGTATGTAATCTTGCGTATAATTATTTTCCATTGTAAAATGACGTGTTCGAGCCTGCTTCTCGTGTTGAGTTCCTTACAGTTTCCTCTTCGGGTAGGACAAGAGTGCCATCCACTTCAAAAAGAACATTTTTGAACATTTGGGTCACATCCACAAACAGCTGAAATTGCTCCATATTGTTATAGCGGATGTTGTTTTCCTCCTGATAGTTCTTCAGGGATTCCAGTAGTTGATGGTCGGAAAGAGCACCCTCTTTCTTCAAGATGATCATTAGAGTTTTAAGCTCTTTTATACTCAAAGTTAGAAACGAGTTATCCTTGAGAACTTGCGTGGCAATGGGCCTGATTTTCTGAAATAGCATATGGATTTAATTTAATAACTATGTAGATATGTATTATCTTGACCTTTGCCACCAGATTCATTAAAGCGGGATGGTTGTGCTCACTGGCCAGATGGAATACCTGCAGAATAACCTCCATGGGCCAATCTTGATTGGCCAATTTGTCGATGTAACAGTCGATGAAGTCTAGCATCTTATACCTCTTGGCCAGGAGCATGAGGTCACCACACATTTCGATTGTGACTGCATTGCAGACCTCGTAAGTGTAGATATATAGGAGCAGTGCCTCGTAGGCGGTGGGGGAGGCATCCTCAACGTTAATCACGTTTTTGTTATTCTTGAATACGGGATCCTTGATCAGCCGCTCGAATTCCTCGGAGGCGGAGACGAGCATCACCTGGTGGCACCGGAATATACGCTGACAGCGCTTACCCTTCACCTTGTCCAAATGCCAGACATGCAGCTCACAGTCCGACTTTTGCCCATTGCGTAGCAGATCCAGACGTCGGAGTTTGCAGTTCATAGTGGCTGGGGATTTTCTAGGGGGTGTGTTTACACATAGAATATAATTTTGAATACTAATTTGGAGTTTCCCTGGCAGGAATGTCAGACTCTGGGGAAGAGGGTAAAAACAGCCAGGGAAGAACCAAGAAAAATTCTCCGAAAGATATATTAGAGAATGAGGACCAAGCTCAAGAATCGGTAGGCAATTCTTCAAGAAAAAGCAGTGCCGCGAGATTACATAACGATGTAGAAAGGAAAACTAGGGGAACACAAGTTGATATGGACTTCAACGCCTCAAAATCCGAAAAGAACTATCTGGAGTCGTTCATCTCGGGCGCCGAACGGATTGTTCCAAGAGCCACCGTATCATCGGATATCCTTTCTGGTTCAGCATTGGAAAATGGGGATAAAACTAAACAGACAGCCAGAAAGAGCCAGGGAAGCACCGAAAATAACTCTCCGGAATATATATTAGAGAATGAGGACCAAGCTCAAGAATCGACAGGCAATTCCTCGAGAAAAAGTAGTGCCGCGAGATTACAGAACGATGTTGAAGGGAAAACTAGGGGAACACAAGTTGATATGGACTTCAACGCCTCAAAATCCGAAAAGAACTATCTGGAGTCGTTCATCTCGGGCGCGGAACGGATTGTTCCAAGAGCCACCGTATCATCGGATATCCTTTCTGGTTCAGCATTAGAAAATGGGGATAAAACTAAACAGACAGCCAGAAAGAGGGAGGGAAGCACCGAAAATAAGTCTCCGGAATATATATTAGATAATGAGGACCAAGCTCAAGAATCGGCAGGCAATTCCTCGAGAAAAAGTAGTGCCTTGAGATTACAGAACGATGAAGAGGGGAAAGCTCAGGAATTACAAATTAATGTGGACTTCACCGCCTTAACATCCGAAAATAACTCTCGGGCGTCGTTCATCTCGGGCATCGAAGTGATTGTTCCCAGAACCACCGTATCGTCGGATATCATTTCTGGTTCAGCATCGGAAAATGAGGATGAAACCAATCATTCCACGAGTAAAAACCGCCGTTTGGAGTACTTTCGAAGCGGCGCCGATGCAGATTGTCAGGTGCACGTCCTGAGCAGCTGTCCTTTATCCGATGATCCGACGCCCAGTGTCTGCTATAAAAAGTTCGGCTGCCACCGGATTTTCCTGGCCACCGCCTCTGACAAACTGGAGCAGGATGTGTATCAAAATAAGCAATGGAATGGTGTTTTGCAGATCAATGGCGTTTCTCCGGAGAGCGTGGAGATTTTCCTGGAGTTCATATATACCTTCGAAATGACCTCCCCACTGATTAAGTTAAACCTAGTGGGGGATATATTTATCCTGTCCTGCGCATACAATATGCCGGAACTCCTACTATCCTTTTCCGAGAAACTGAAGCAGCAGGATTGGCCTCTGGATGGAATTTTACCAGCCTTTGACTTGGCATTCCGTCACAACATGCTAGATTTGGAAAGAGTTTGCATGGAGGTGGGTAATATAGGCTTCCAACTACAGTAATTACAATAATTTTCCGCAGAAAATCATGGAGCAGAGGATAATGTTGGCCCAGGAACCCAGTCTGATGAAGCTGCAGGTCTACGCCCTAAACTATGTCATCCAGCACTGGTTGGTGGCGGAGCTGCCCTTGGATGACCTCATCAACATATTAAAGCTGTACCAGGAGACTAACGATATCACCTTTGCCAACACCCAGAAATTTCCGCACTTTACCAAAATTATCAAGTACTTTCCAAATGTCCTTTTGGATGCCGAGGGTTATATAAGCAAATTTTAATTTTTTTTTTAAATATAATTTTCTCTTTGATCGCTATAAAAAATATTCATAAAGATGTCAGGATAGCGATGGTGGTTTATTATGATCGTAATGTTATAAAAACTATGACTACCAAATTTTCTTTAACAATAGATAAAAAACGTTAAACAAAATTTTCGAAAATCAAACGGCCGTAACTGCCAACTTGTCTTACTTTTAAGCGCGGTATAATTTAGTGCCAAACTTTCGGTATATACCAAAAAGAAAAGCGAACGCGTTATGCGAGGGCCGCATTGATACACTGGTGCGCCATTTTACTCACATAAAGCCGAAAATTTACACAGTGGCCAGAAAGCAAGAAATTGCACAGTGCAAAAAGGTGTTTGGTAATTGATGAAAAGTTTGCGCGAACCGTGAGGCGACCGTTTAATGATGTGCCCGCTCGCGCAGCGATTAAATGCCAGTTAATTGCGGCAGCTAAGACGCGCTTTCCATCACAAACTCGTGCTGCCCAAAACGACGTCGTTGTCGGTTGGATTGCTGAGTATCGTATCGTATCGGTACCGGACCCGCGTCCTTATAAATACGAAAACGCCGCTAGGTGCATCGCGGCCAGAAAGATAATGCAAGTGCAGTAATATTAATTACCTGGTAATCGGCGCATACAGACACACTCTTTTTTTTTTTCTTCATTGGAGGCGCATGTTTTGTTTTTTCGTGCACTGTACCGTGGGCCGTGTGTTTGTGTGCGTCGGTGAGCCTGTGCGTGTGTGTGTACACATTTTAGGCGGCAATGGTGTGAGGCCCTGGCCAGCCGATAGTCCGCCGCGCAGTGATAGTTATCGATAGGCGTGCCCTAACCATTTGTTGTTTGTTTTTTTCTGTTTTCTGTAGTTTTCATGTCTATATAAACAAGCGCACAGCAAGAATCGGTTTACAAACAAACTCGGAGATGGAGGAGATATCCAGCCTAGACTCGTTCGGCGCCGATTCCAATGCGCGACCGGATTCGGCGACTCCCAGACCTGAGGATCAGGAGCAGGATCAAGAACATGAACGGGAACAACCTGGTGCAGCAACTGAAATTTCAGATACGCCCGCTTCCCCGCCAGCGGAGGATGCCGTTGCGCAGAACAGCGAACCACCAATACAGGAACCCGCTAAGGATGCAGAGGACGATTTTGATCAGATTTCTGAGGGCTCTCTAGACGCTGATGACAACCAATCGCGAGAAAAGGTGGTCAGTCCGTCGGTGGATCGTACTGAATCAGAGGAAGCCGGAGCGGAAGCGGAGAAACAGACTTCCAATGAGCCTCATCGCGCCGAGGATGAGCAACATCAAACTGAAGCAGTTAGTGTAGATCCCCAGGAAGATCAAGAGGAGGCGGAAGAGGAAACCGATGCCCTGCAAGCTACAGCGGAGGAAGAGGAGGCGGCTGCCGCAGAAGCAGATACAGTTGACGGTGGTCCAGCTTCACCAGAAGCCATGGATGTGGACGACGGGGAAGGCGAGCCGGAAGCTGATCCTGAAGTTGATCGTGAAGCTGAAGAACCAGAAGCAGCGGACGATGTGGATATGCATTCAGTGGGTGGAGACTCACATCTCGGCGATGATGCAGAGCCGCCAGAGGGTCGTGACGAAGTAGACACCAGTCTAGAAGACCAGGACAATGGACAAGATCCAGATGAGATAGAAAAAGACACACCCGCCGATGATGATGACAATCTGGAAGGCGATGCTGAATCGGAGCAGGTGGAAGAAGCTGGTGAAGCCGAGCATGGCGATGGTAAGCATTCGATAATTTCATATTAAATTGTACTTATATAAATAATTTGAATTACAGACACTGTTGAAAATGTGTTGGAGCCAGAGGAATCAGACGTATGTCTCATCCCCGACGATCAGGAGACCGAGGTTACAGAAGCTGAGAAGGAACTGGCTCGCGAAAATGCCGAAAAGGCAGCTGAGGAGGAAGAAGCCGAGGAGAGACAATCGAAGACTCCCGACAATGTTGGCAAGTCCGTGACAGATACCGCCGTCAATCCAGAAAACGGAAGTGCAGCTGCTGTGGACCCCACCGACGAGTCCCCATCTACCCCAAAAGGTATGTACCTCAGACTAACTCCTTAAATGTCCTTTTCCACATCTATTCTTTATTTTTTGCCTACAGATGCTCAAGCTGGAGCTCAGGTTGTAGCATCCGGCAACTCCGAAGGTGAGCAGATGATTATACCTGGGCAAAAGTCGCTACTTCCCTTACTAACTTAGCGTTTAATGTTTTTCTATATGCTTTGGATTAAATTCCTTTTGTTAATTAAAACGGTTAGAAATTAGTATTATACACCTGTTGATTATAGCGCAGTTTTGATGCACCACAATCTTAAAAACTTATCTAATTCATATTTTCCTGTCATTAGATGGAACCGATGGCACGGCAAACGACGAGGAAGCCGGCGGCGATGCTCCCGACGCCGACGAACCCACGGCAGAGGAATCCTTCAGCGCCGAAGCAGACGAATCGGGTTCCACACCGAAAATCATCATTAGTTGGATAGTTGGTAGCGTTCAGAAGTGCAAACAGTGCGATAACGAAAAGAATTGTGGATTCAGATACAAGAGACCCGAAGAAACAGAAGACAAAGATAAAGATGCGGACAAAGGCGACGAGAACGCCGAAGATGAGGCGCAGCCAGATCCTGCTCCCAGCGGTTTCGAATACGTCTGCGATACGGCGTGCGTCAATGCCCTTACAGCCGATCAACCTGGCAAATACTTTGTGCGACGCAAGAAGTTTCTTGTGGAGGAGGTAGTCCGAGAAGAAGGCTCCGCAGATACAGATGTCGGTGAAGAAGACGGAGATGCTGAAGAGGATGCAACTCCTGCCAAAACGCAAGATTGCTTGCAATGCAAGGAGCAGATAAGGTGCAAATATTTTATCAAGCAGGACCAGGATTGCTTTTACATCTGCAACGACGATTGTTTCAATCTTCTGAACGCAGAGGAGCCAGAGAAATTCAAATTAAAGCGTCACTCTATCCGAGTGCGAAATATTGGAGCTACAACGCTTCAGCCACCTCAAAACTCGCCGAGCAAGCGAACCGAGAGCAGCGTAGTGGCTAGGACGGTGGCCGAGGCGGAGACGGCGCGTCTGGATAGGATCGAGAGCTTCAGAAGGCGCTGTGCAGACTGCGAGGCAGAGATCAATGCCAATGAAAAACAACTTATGTGGGAGACCATGGACTTTTGTAATGAAGTGTGCCTAGGCAGCTATCAGCGAGCAATCGGCTCCAGCTGCGAAACTTGTAAACAGGAGGTAAGTTCCACAGCACTTGGCAAGTACTGCGTGCGATTCGGATTTGATGTACGCCAGTTTTGCTGCGCTGGCTGTCTCAATACCTTCAAAAAGGGTTTGAAGACGTGCTCCTGCTGCCAAAAGGACATCAGTGGCGGCCAGGAGGGCTTCTTAGCCCCTGTAGGCGACAAGGATCAGTTCAAGGACTTCTGTTCACAAGCCTGTCTCCGTCGCTATGACAGTATGTGCAATCCCCGCCGCAAACTGCGCACAGATGTGTGCGGTGTGTGCAACAACGAGAAGCCAGTACGGGTGGAGATGTTACTGGAGGACAGAGAGCACTACTTCTGCTCAAATCCCTGCTTCTCGGCCTTTAAGTTTGTGAGCAACGTGAACGCCGATCCGTGTGCCATGTGCTCTAAATACTTTGAGCGGCGGAGCGCCGAGGCCTACACCATCTACAACGAACAACAGTCACCGAAGGTCTTCTGCTCGCGAGTGTGCATCAACGTGTACATCATAGTCAACAGGCACATCGTGTCCTGTCAGTGGTGCAAGGTCAAGAAGTACAACTTTGACATGATTTACCAGGTAGGCGGGGAGCAGGAACACGAGACGCTCACCTGCTCCATCAACTGCCTGACCATGCATGGCGTTAGCTGCAACATATCTGCGCGTGCGGTGACCAAGTGCGATAATTGTGCCAACTTTAATACACCGCAGTATCATCTGACCATGTCAGACGCTTCTATGCGCAACTTCTGCACTTACCAGTGTGTGATGCAGTTCCAGAATCAGTTCGCCCGCGCTCCCCTTACTCTGGACAGCGACCTGTCTCCCAGCAGTAGTGGTAACAGCAGCAAGTCCCAGCAAGGCGCTTCTCGAGGAAACAAGAATTCAGCACCCTTCCCCACGGGTCTGCCCAAACGCGTTAAGCTGAAGCTTTCCCAACAGCAGGTGAGTCCGCATTCTTTCATTATTCAATCTAGGGTTGTTACCATGCACTTAGTAATCAAAAATTGCAGCTCTGTTTAGGGTTGCCTGACCTCGTTACTTTATTTCTTTCAAGAAAGGATATTTAATCATAATTTGGTCCTATTTTCTTTTAATTCCATTCGATGATAACAAGATATTCATTTGTAGGTCTTAAACTCTTTTAACTTTATTATTAATAGTTTTAATTTGTTATATTCGTTTCAGTCTGGAAAGAATGCAGGATCTGGGGTCAAGAAATCTGGTTCCGGGACCATGCTACCGGTTATATCCACCGTTCAGTCTCTTGCTAGCGGTGAAACCGAGGCACGGATTGGCAACGTGACGGTGCGACGCAAGCGTGGTCGTCCCAGGGAATCGGGATCTTCACCACCGCCGCTCTCCATGTCGTCGGTTCACTCCCCAGCACCTCGAGGAAGGCCACGCAAGCATGTGGACTACTCAGTACGTTCACCGTCGCCCACCCAGGCAACCAGCTCTCACTTGGGAATCCCTGTTAGGCGAAATACTACCACGACTATGGACTTCGGCCCAGCAACTGTGTCGGAGACCAAGATCATCACAGTGCCACCATATCCGAAATCCGTGCGAAACGTGAACATAAGCTGTAAGCCTTTAACCGTATCCACGGGCGAGCAGTGCACTCCGGATGTACGGGATTGCGCCACCCAGACGGAAAAGGACTACTCAAACAAGGTTCTCATACCGGTTCCGGTACCTATCTTTTTGCCGCAACCCATGTACATGTACTCGCTTCCGTTTCCTGTACCCGTGCCCATTCCGTTGCCAATTCCGGTGCCAATTTTCATACCGACCACGCGCAACACTTCACAAGGCATTCTCAAAGAGATCAAAAAGATACAGGACAAGATGCCGGAAGATCCGCTTGAGGCCGAGCTGCTTATGATGGCCGAGATGGTGGCCGAGGAGAAGCACGAATCGGACTCCGACTCGGACAACGAGATTAAACCAGACCCAGGACTGGTCAATCTGCAGTATCAAAACAGCCTTGAGTCGGTCGCCCAGCAGCAGCAGCAACAGCAAGTGGTTGATGTCAGTGGTGCCGGACACAATCCCTACGGCGACGACATGCTCCAGATTGCCCTCAAGATGGCCACTGGCGATTACGACAATCACCACCAGACCTCAACGGTGGACCTGGAAACATCGATGACGGCGAATACGATTAGCAGCCAATCACCGATGGGACATGATGGCATGGGTCAGATGGGAGTACATCACCTGGACCAACAGCATCACATGCTCGATGCCACGCAGCGGTAAGTTCATAATTGAAACCTTAAGACGAATTTATATTTAATTTGCTCGAATTCTACAATTTTCAGAACCGCGCGTGGACGGAAACGAGGCGTTGGGGCCGTAATGGATTCACCCAACCGCAATAGCCGCTCTCCAGTGAAGAGGCAACGTGGCAGCGAGTTGGACCACTCGGCACTCCAGCAGCAATCGCAACAGGCACAGCAGCCGCAGGAGAAGCCCGACGCCCAGATGTTCCTGAAATACACCTTTGGAGTGAACGCTTGGAAGCAGTGGGTAATGACGAAGAATGCAGACATTGAGAAGAGTTCGATGCGTCGACGGCCCTTCAAAACGGAACTGCTTCAAATGACCGCCGACGAGTTAAACTATTCCCTTTGCCTTTTCGTCAAGGAGGTCCGTAAGCCCAACGGCACGGAGTATGCTCCGGACACTATCTACTACTTAGTCTTAGGTCAGTTATTTTCTTTGAGTTAAATGAAAACAATCGATTTATAAAACGTTGTCTCTGCAGGCATCCAGCAATATCTGTATGTGAATGGACGTATAGACAACATATTCTATGATCCATACTATGAGAGGTTTACGGAGTGCCTGGACGAGGTGGCGCGAAAGTTTTCCGTTCTTTACAATGATTCGCGTAAGTAAAATCCTGCAAAAGTAAATGAAAAACATTCAAGTTTTTAACACCATTTACAGAATACATTGTCACTCGAGTGGAGGAGGAGCACTTGTGGGAGTGCAAGCAACTGGGAGCCCATTCCCCACATGTTCTGCTCAGCACGCTTATGTTCTTCAACACAAAGCACTTTAATCTGACGGTATGTCTTTTTTTAGCATAGACTTTGACCCTAAATAAAACTTTTTGATTTTTAGACCGTGGAGGAACACATGCAATTATCCTTCTCGCACATAATGAAGCACTGGAAGCGCTCATCACAGAATTCCAAAGTTCCTGGCTCACGAAACGTGCTCTTAAGATTCTATCCACCGCAGGCGGGTTTGGGTAAGTTAAATCCTTTATTTTAAGTAAAAAGTAACTAAAATGTTATACATTATATCCAACAGATGCCAATCCCCGGAAGAAGAAGGTCTACGAGCAGCAAGAGAATGAAGAGAACCCGCTGCGCTGTCCCGTCCGCCTCTACGAATTTTATCTCTCTAAATGGTTAGTACTAGATTTCGTGATTCATTGATTAACAATAGCTAATAGGTTTTTTTCTCCAAAAGTCCCGAGAGTGTGAAGACGCGCAACGATGTCTTTTATCTGCAACCCGAGCGCTCCTGTGTGCCCGACTCCCCGGTTTGGTATTCGACGCAAGCTCTGGGACAGGATGCACTGCAGAGGATGCTCCACCGCGTCAAGATGGTCAAGGAAATCAATATTGCGCTACTGACGACTTAATGTTTAGTTAGGCAGTTATATCATTGTGTACGTGCAAGGCTTGTCCTGCAATGACACCCGGAGGACAATTCTTCGGCTTCGGCTTGGTGCTTAGCACGAGTTTCTTTGCGGGCAAAACCAAATAGGGATAACCTAGGAGCGAGAGTTGTGCTATATTATAAATTGTTTTAAACTTATTTTTACACCTATTTTGATTGTCCATAATTGCGATAGCGTTGAAGAGAGGAGGAGACCTTGTATAAATTGTGAACGATAAACAAGCCCATTTCACTTTCGATTGAATTATAATAAACTAGAAAACAACAATCACAGCAATACACATCCCCGGAACACCCAATCACACACACTCCCACACGAATACCCCCGAGACATCTTCATTAGTTTTAGGATCTTAAGCCCAGACCCACACGCATCTTTAGTCATTACTTAGATTGTTTAGGCGATAAGGCAATAATGATGTGCCCCCGACCGGATAAGTGCATGTATGTATGTACATAAATCGACGATTGATGACCACACAAAGAGTGTACAATGGGAGTTGTACATAGGATGCGAACCCTAACAGTTAGTCACACTGTTGTTGTAAGTGTTGAAATGTAAAATGATGTACTCCTTAATTTGCAAGATCGAACTGCATGTACATGTCTATATATAAATACATACATACTTTCAATGAAGCCTGGTAGTATTTCATTTGGAAAAAGATAAAAACACAAGCTAATACTTTCACAAGTGTTTCTGTTTATTGACACAAAAGTTATGCGGCACACTATTCAATACATTTAATTGAGATGATTAATTGCAACACACTTTAACTAGCGTAATACAAAACAGATGGAACTAAAATAAGATACAGTATTCACGGCCCGATTACTACGCTGACTTATACAGGCTGTCGCTTGGTCATGATTTCAAGTGGGGCAGAGTCCTGTCTGGTTAGCTTATGTCCAGGGCTGAAGGCGCATTCGATGAGGCTCTTTGTTTGATGTCTTTTGTATATATATTCACACACTGCCGCCGCTCTTTGGTCAGATGTTTTACCATTCGGCGTCTCCATTCGATTTTTGGAACACGTAGTCCTTTCCACGCATGTTCATGATCCCATCTTTGAGATAGAATTTCCATTTGTTGCGCGACCTTGTGATCTGTGAAGAAGGTTGTTTATAGTTATAGTTTCAACTGAAAAATATTATTTTAAGCACTTACTTTATCATATTGACAGACGATTACATTATCTGTATCGAACAGTTCGGCAGAGTCTTCATCGGTGACATCGTCTTCGCTGTTGAGTGGCTCCTCCTCGGCAGCATCTTCATGCTCTACATCCTCGTCATCATCTTTGTCCAGATCATCGTCATCGTCATTATCGATGTTATCGTCACTCTCCTCGCTTTCATCCTCATCGGAGGAGTCCAGGGCGCCGTCTAATTGCTTTGCAGCGGCTAGGCTTTCTAAAATGTACAATATTATGGATAATACTGGGATTCAATAAGAATATTGTTCTACTTACTCTGGTGATTGGCGCTGGCCAGTGCAGCGTTTACGTGCTGCTGCAGTACAGACGAGGCCAAAGTGGTGGGCAAGGACATAATAGACGAAATTAGGTGGGCCGTCAGAATTTGGGTCAGCTGATTCTCCTGCAGCGCCGAGGCAGGCACTTGAATGGTTAGGACTCGAGATTCCGAACTGGCAGAGCCGGCTGGCGATGGCAGCGTGATCTGAAAAAAAGTATACATAATTTAGATGGACTTACATATGATAGCCAACATTTAACTTACATTAACGGGCATAATGCGGTTGGGATCGAGTGTGGCCACAATTGGAATGGAACCTTGACCACTGCTCGCCGCCTGCTGCTGTTTCTGTAGCAGTGCTGCTCCTGAAGTGGGATGCAGTGGCGGTGGGTTCTGTGAGTTAACTTCTTGCTTTATGGGCACCAGGACGTTCTTGATACCGCTGCCTGTGGCCAGTCCAGCGGGCGACTTCATTGCCACGAGAGAGGAGCTGCTGCCCCCGATCTGTGGCTGTGATGTGGCCGCAGATGCAGCAGCGGCCTTTTTGGCCTTTGCATTGGCTGCCTGCAAAAGTGTAGAGGATTAGTACGTTCTGATTATGGAATTTCCTCTGCAGACAGATGGCTTTACCTTACTCTGCGGTCAATATGTGCGTTTGGGGTATGAGGGCGGATGGGAATGAGCGGTTTTTATGAATATTGTTGATGGGTCAGCAGCGCATTATTCGATGTTGTTGGTGAGGCGCGTAGCATTGTTGTGGATCGAGTTGTTGAGCATAAGGAAGATAAAGCAAGAGATCTTAGTCGGAATGTCATTGGGATGAAGTGGTTATATACAACTTAATAACATAAATGTATAAATATATTTCAAATTAAAATAAATGAGGGTTATTACTTTAATTGTGAACTGAAACTAATGGTCTTGAAAAAAGAAATGGGAAAAAGAAAGAATAAAAGACTTAGCGGGCGTTACCTTTGGATTATTGGCCACGATGGGCGGTGGGTGGGATCCATCGCTGGAGTCTGGGCTCAGCTCGACAGCCTTACTGGCCAGCAGCTTGTTGCGCCAAATCTGCTTCATCTCCTGCAACACCTGCTCGTCGACGCCCTCGTCCAGGAACGCGTCCCGCACATTTGTGATGACGTCCTCGATCACGGCATGGTACACCTTCAGCTGCGGGTTAAATGGTTAATGTATATAATTAAATTTGAAATGCATGACAATTTAGTGTTTGTGTTGATTTAAGTACTCATTATAATATCACCGCTCAACTCCCTGCTAATAATGGCTATACAGTTGAGGTTAACACAATAGGGGTTTGAAAGGAATTTTTAATGATTTTAATTAGATGAAATCGGATTTTGTTTAGCAAACGAAGTAACCATAACACATATAATACATACAGTAAGTAAACCAAAATAAACCAATTATCTTATCAAGAAGAAATGTGGGAATGTCCGTTGAACCTACATATGTGCTTTTTGAGCACCTATTATAATATCAGCCGCAGCTGTAATATATGCTAAACACAAATAAAGTATGTAAATTATTCGTTTGCGAAGAATGTTGGAGTTTATATGTATAAGTATATATAAAGTATATATACCCGCATGGTATGAATATGAGATGTACCGGTATTGCAGCAATTGCTCTCCTAGTACGTAGTTTTTCTTTATCAGGCAGCGATAAGAAGGCCGCGACTTGCTGATAATGCTACACGCTTCGCAAAAGTACATTACCACTAATTATAACCCCCATGGGAGTCAGTAGTACTCCTTCAAATATCCAACCAAAACCAAAAAAACACAAAAAAAAATGCAAGGCAGCGAGCGCACTACCACCAATAAAACCAGACAGACACGCACACGCACTACCGCACACACATAAAACCTCAAGAGGTTGCAGTTTCGGTATCTCGGATTTCATTAATATATAGCATAGTATATCTGCCTTAACCATCGAGAAAGCTTTCACTTTCGCGCGTGGGCGGTGGGCGGTAGAAAGAGTAGAGACACCTTTGGAGGATATCTTCCATATGTCGAATGCATTTCATCCTTCTCCGATGACACAGATCCCGGATCTTATAAATCCCATACACTCACCACCGATGTCTGGCTTAACGCCATTTGGACCTTTTTCTCCGCCAGCTTGGGGCTTTTCTGTTCGCTGGATCGGTAATTGACGTATTTGTTAAATTATAAATGGGCGAAACGAAGAATTATAGTGATGCGTCCGTGACGATGTAAAGCGGAGAAGTGTGACCAGTTAGAGTACCGCCTGAAAATGCCACCAGGAATGGTTGCCACCTATCCACAAAACGAAATGGTTCACTTCTTAAATTTACAATTGGATCTTTGTTTTTTTAAATTTATTTGTATAATAATAGCATAAAAAATAAATTATAAACTTCTTTCTGACTCACTATTATTCTATATTATCTGCAAGCCAGATCTACCGGCGTTGCCAGATGGTAGTTCAAAGCTAGCAGCTGTTAAACCTGTTACTTCTCTGTTAGTCCGCACCGTTAACAAGTTGTCCGCCTGTTTTGATCGAATCGAGTTGGGAATTTACCCCAAACCGATTTTCGTTTCGCTGCAACAGGTTCCCAACGCCACTTTCCCCTTTCCACCGGCTTCAATTGCATCCGGAGAGACAGACCGCATGAATCAGTCCCAACCAGTTAAACCGCCCACCAGTGAAAGATGAGTGGCGTTGAGACCGCAGAAGCCGAGGCACAGGCTCAAAACCAGGCAAATGGAAATAGGACCAGATCGCGATCCCACTTGGACAACACTATTGCCATACGGCTGATGCCACTGCCCGTACGTGCCCAGCTCTGCGCCCACTTGGATTCCCTGGATGTGTGGCAACAACTGGCCACTACCGTAAAACTTTATCCGGACCAAGTTGAACAGATTAGCAGCCAGAAGGATCGGGGTCGCTCAGCATCCAATGAGTTTCTTAACATTTGGGGCGGCCAGTACAATCACACTATACAAACTTTGTTTGCTTTGTTTAAAAAGTGAGTCAGTTAGCGATAAGAGACTTAGTGTTTCCAGGAATGACTCCTCTCTTCCAGATTGAAGCTGCATAACGCAATGCGCCTAATTAAGGATTATGTCAACGAAGACCTCCACAAGTACATTCCAAGAAGCGTTCCCACCATAAGCGAGCTGCGTGCTGCTCCTGATTCTAGTGCTAAAGTGGACAATGGCCCGCCTTTTCCCTCTTCGTCGGGCGTCAGCAACTCAAACAACAATCGCACTAGTACCACGACGGAGGAGATTCCCAGTCTGGAGTCCCTGGGCAACATCCACATTAGTACAGTTCAACGGGCTGCCGAGTCCCTGCTTAAAATTGACTATTCGGAGTTAGAAAGTGCAACGGACAGGTGGTGTCCCGAAAATCGCCTTGGACAAGGCGGATTCGGAGAGGTGTATCGCGGAGAGTGGAAGCAGCTGGACGTGGCCATTAAGGTTATGAACTACCGCAGTCCTAACATCGACAAAAACCAGGTGGAGCTGCAGCAGAGCTACAACGAATTGAAATATCTCAATACCATTCGGCACGACAACATTCTAGCTCTCTACGGCTATAGTATCAATGGGGAAAAGCCCTGCCTCGTCTACCAGCTTATGAAGGGCGGTTCCCTGGAGAACCGTCTGAGGGCACACAAAGCACAACAGCCGCTTCCGGCTCTCACCTGGCAGCAGCGGTTTAGCATCAGCCACGGCACAGCTAGGTGGGTTCATTATTCGACATATTGTGTATAATTATCTCTCGATTACAATTAACTTCTAAAAGCTCAACAACCTACTTTAACTAACCATTTTATTTCCACAGAGGGATTTACTTTCTGCACACGGCACGGAGTACTCCGCTTATCCATGGAGACATCAAACCGGCGAACATCCTTTTAGATCAATGCCTGCAACCCAAGATTGGCGATTTCGGACTGGCCCGCGAGGGACCCAAATCCATAGACGCTGTGATGCAAGTAAAGAAAGTGTTTGGAACCAGGATCTATCTACCCCCGGAGTTCCGCAACTCTAAGCAGCTTAGCACAGGCGTGGACGTCTACAGCTTTGGCATTGTGCTATTAGAAGTGTTCACAGGGCGCCAGGTGACGGATAGGCTGCCCAAAAATGATATGCAGCAGGACTTGCTGCACTACGTCAAGCAGCACTGGCGACAGAACCGAATGGAACTGCTGGACAAGCACCTTCCTACACCGATGGGAGAAGAGCTGGACATGTGCCTGTGCGCTATCGAGGCGGGACTGCACTGCACAGCTCTAGATCCGCAGGATCGACCATCGATGGACGCCGTGCTCAACCGTTTCAAGCCATTCCGCAATGATTTTAATGGCATTTAAATACCTAAGTGACTTTTAATAGACGAACTTTAAAAGCTCGAAGCACCATATTCACAAAATTTAACTGAATTGAATTATGCGATAGCAATATATTATCAACTTAAAAATCCTTAAAGACTTATTTTTATTTAAAAAATGTACATTTTTAAACAATTTGTTATTAAAACTTTGTATACTTATTTGTTACTGGAATGTTATTCAGAAAATACCTATTATAAAAAATCCTTTTCAATTTTAAAACTGGTCTTCTTCAGAGGGCACGATATTAGTTAGTTAGAAAAATCGGTGATTTAAAACTCAAAACTGCGACGTGCTCAGTAGAGTTACGTTTTGATTTTAACGTCATTTCGGTTTTAACTATTTCAATTTTCGCAACACAACAAAGCAAAATAATACCGTTTTTATTTGTGAATAATTCCGGCTTTCCTCATTTACACGAACCCATTTTAAGATTATAGTTTTTAGAAAGTGATAAATTTCCCATTTCTAACCGAGAACGAAAACGGGCAAGGCAATGAATTTGAAAAATTCCAAGTTTTACAAGAGGATACAGGAGCTGCGTCACTTCTCCAAGGAGAAGATTCGGAAGGATCGGGAGCAGCGGACCCGTGTCGTCCGCGCCTTGGATATGGCATTTAGTGAGCAACCATGTAAGGACAGGGAATGGTTCAGTCCGGGGCAATCGCCTTCTCAACAACCCTCATCCCCGCGTCGTAGACGTGGGAAGAAGTTTCGTGGCTTTAAGAAGAGGGCTTCCGCCGGCAAGGAAATAAACGATGTCTCCCCATATTACGAACAATCTTCAGGTGAAAATAGTCCTATGCCCGAGACAGACAGCAAGTTAGAAGGCTTCATCCAGCTTAACAACACGACGTACCGGGTAGAATGTCCCGTACGTATTGTTAGTCCGCCCAAGAACGATAACGTACAACGCGTAGCCAGGTGATGTCTCTTATGTACATACATATACGAAAATCCCACTAAACTTAGTCTCCTATGTTATCCCAGTGATACCAAGAGCACAATCTGTGTGTCCAATTCACGCTACGCCATGATCGGCAAGATCTCCAAGACTCTGGGTTACAAGTTGGTCAAGGAGTCCAAGATGTGGAACATCCTGTGGTCGGATTCTTTTCCCGGCGTTGAACTATTTAAGAACATGAAGCGCTTTCAGCAGATTAACCACTTCCCGGGCATGATCGAGATCTGTCGCAAAGATCTTCTATCGCGGAATCTCAACCGGATGTTGAAGCTCTTTCCCCAAGACTACAAGATCTTTCCCAAGACCTGGATGCTGCCGGCGGAGTAAGATCTGAATATATTAAAATAATAATATTTGATTCAACCAATTTCAGCTATGGAGACGCCATGAGCTATGCCCTCAACCACAAACGCACCTTTATCCTTAAACCAGATTCTGGGGCACAGGGGCGTGGCATCTGGCTAACCAATGACCTAAAGACTATCGGTCCTCATGAGCGACTCATCTGCCAGACGTACATACACAGGGTAACCATGAGTTTTCTTAAATCCTTTTATAAGCTAATTCTAATCCACACTTGAAGCCTCTACTTATTGATGGTTATAAGTTTGACCTGCGAGTCTACACCTTGATCACCTCTGTGGATCCTCTACGAATCTTTGTATACAACGAGGGATTAGCTAGATTTGCCACAAACAAGTATGTGGAACCCACGCCCGGAAACTCCAATGATCTGTACATGCACCTGACAAATTACTCTGTTAATAAACGAAACTCGCACTACGAACTCTGCGATAATGATGACTGTGGGAGCAAGAGAAAACTGAGTGCCATTAACAACTGGATGCGTCGCCACAACTATGATGTGGAGGAGTTCTGGAGTAACGTGGATGATGTGATCATCAAGACAGTGATGAGTGCTTGGCCAGTGCTGAAGCACAACTACCATGCCTGTTTTCCGGGACATGACAAAATACAGGCCTGCTTCGAGATACTCGGCTTTGATATTCTGGTGGACTGGAAGCTAAAGCCCTATATCCTGGAGGTCAACCACTCACCAAGCTTCCATACCAACGAGCAGGTGGACCGGGAAGTGAAGAGACCTCTTATCCGGGACACTTTGAATTTGGTCAGCACAGTACTGGCGGACAAGAGACAGATTCTTAAGGAGGATCGCAAGAGGGTCAAGCAGCGTCTGTTAAAGATCAGAGGAGAGCCGTAAGTTCTGACTAAATTCCATTTTTTGCCTTATATAGTGATTTTTATTACAGACCAGTTCAGCGTCCTCGCCTTGGTGGCGGCACCTCCAAGGGCAAAATTGATATCCAAAAGAGCAATCCAGAAGCCAATCCAGTTATAGAGGTAGAGACAGAGGATAAAGGTCCACTGGCACAACAAATCGCTTGGGAAGAAAGTCATTTGGGAAACTTCAGGAAGATAATGCCGCCGCCGGATTCAACAAAGGTTGACTACTATACCCGTTTCTATGCCCAGTCAAATCAGGTGTCCATATTTGCTGAGACGGCAGCCAGCAAAAAGCGGGAGGATCTCGCACGGAAGATGCGCATTCAGATCGAGGAGAAGAATGCCAAACAGCAACAAATGCTAAATGGGAAGACCAAGCGGGAAGCCCGTAAACGGCTTGCTGTGATGCTCCCAAGGGCTGTGCGAGAGAAAAATCGGATAAATCTTTTCCGGTTGAAAGAGAACTGGTCTCCGGGCTTCATTTCCGATGCTGAGGAGCGATTACGCCACACTTGGCTACATATGCGATCGGAGGCCATAAGAACTCTCAAGATCACAGAGAATGTAAGCCGTATCCTTAGCTTAAAGATTATGGTTTCAGTTAAAGGATAATTCTTTCACAGATCTATAGCAATCTTTATGAAACAGGTCTTTTGACAAACACAGATATGGTCGTCTATCCCCATTTCTACCATAACCTGCAGCACGGTTTCGACATCAGAAAAAATCCCTGAAATTAATTGAATCTCCCATTTAAATTCCCAATTTTACTATATTCCCCTGTTTCGACCTCCACAGACTACACACTTCCAGGATGTGTTCTTAAAGTCGTTATCTTTTAAATTTAAATTGCTGCTCACCATAAACAAAAAAATAAACCCCTATACAACTATAAGGATTGAATTGCTTTCGTAATTTTAATTGCCGACTGCTTGATTAATTCGCCCGTCGACCCAATTTCAGTTTTGATTAGAGTGATACTGATTCCATTAAGACTTGGTACTGGAGAAATTAATAAAATAGGTCAAATGTATATTTTCTGTTATGGAAACAAAAATATGTGGTCCTTAGTTATAAGGAAAAAGTGCCGATAAAGAGTTTAACCTCTTTATTTTTATAAGCTGTACATTTATAAGGAATTTCTCTGTCAAAGTCATTCAATTGAAAATATTTTTTTTTAATCTTACATAATAAATTAACGCCAAGAATGTAATTTTATGACACAAATAAATAGTGTTAATTTAGCATTTCAAATTAAAACGTCTTCAATTTATAACAAAGTAAATACAGATTTGCGGACAGCGTACTTTCTTGTTTGGATTGAAATCACGTCTGGCTGGTCCGGCACTCGACTATATCCGCATAAAAGCATACATATTACGTGTATATTTGGCAGGCTGCCCGGCAAACAAATATCATAAACATCTGCTCCATCGAATGTGGAGAGTTCTGACTGAGATCTGAGATCGAGAATCGGCCATTTCGAGAGCATTTCGCTGCGATTGAGACTCTTCGGAGATAGAGATGATGCAGAGCACTGAGTTCAGTCGGTCGAAGGAGGACGCCCTGGGCAGTCGCTAATTTAATTTGGAAGAAAATATTTAGAAAACCATTAAAAAGCTTATAATATTCCCCAAATATCTGCGGCATGTTCAAAGTGTCACAGGAGATGCGTCTAAATACCCAAAGCGCTTCGTCCACCTCCACCTCTAATTCGAGTGGGAGTGGCCTGGAGGGCAATAGTCCGGAGGAAGGCGGTATTTTTGGACGCTACCAGCGGACGCCTGATGCGGGTGAGTACCACCCCAATGGGGAAGTAAACATCGAACTGGCTATTTTTATACTCCAATTCCCCCAACTTTCAGATGCCTATCCCTCAGAACCGCCGCGGGTTTATGTGGCGCCCGAGCTGACCGATGCCCGCAAGGTGCAGCTGCTTCATTTTCCCAGCGGAGCGGTAAGGGTCAATAGTTCAATGGGCTTCATCATCAAGCGGAACGGAGTAAAGGGAAATTTCGAGGTGCGCGTAGAAGGTCCTAGTGGTCAACCCATCCAACCTGTCCAGCAGCAGCAGTTGGACCCGGAGCGTTTTCAGATAGATTGCCGATTGGATGCCGGAGCGGGACTTTACAAGGTACACATCAAGTGCAATTCCGTAACCTTGCCCCGGTCACCATTTATTATCGTGGCCATAGCAGGTGCTCCAGAATCCATTGATGGGAGACCAGCAAATACATCGGGTGAGAACTTAATCAGAATGATCATTATTAAAAGTTTTCCCAACTAATCCAATATTCTTCTTTGATCCCCTTCCATACTCGATTAGTGTCAATCCTGGACTCCGATGCTAGTAAAGTTCACAGTCGAGGCTTGGGTCTAACCCATGTCAGTTTGGTGGAGCGCAACGAGTTCACAGTGGACTGCAGCCAAGCGGGGAGCAATATGCTCTTGGTGGGCGTCCTGGGACAACGAGGTCCCTGCGAAGAGGTGGTTGTCAAGCACTTGGGCCGGAGCATTCACAGGGTTTCTTACAAGGTTTGCGATCCCGGTGATTATATGCTTGTAGTCAAATGGGGGGAGCAACACATACCGGGATCCCCGTTTAATCTAAGTGCCGAATAGGATAGGAAATAAATGTGTCTGTAAAAATAAGCTGACCTTGATTGGAAGCTACTTTCACCCGCCTCCTCGGTGTCCTATGTCGCACCTTGGAGCGATGTGCACTTTAATGATGATTACCAAAACATTATGGCTACTACAACCAGCGCCTTTGTTGCTTGCCCCGCCACTAATGACGTTCGCATTTGAGAGTTGATGCTGTCTTCGCCTCACAACCTAATGATGATGACCGGCAAATACGCTTACATACATACATATATAGGTAAAAGTGTATGTTAGAACGAACAATAATGCTTACAGTTGCGGTACTCTGAATAGTAGTGAAGGTACCCAAAATTCATACCAAAATATCTACATACATCCATGCATTTAACTTACATATTTTAAATAACCATCGTGTAACATATTTTAGTTAAATAATAATTATTATAATAATAATAATAATAATTCGTATTAGAATCATTTCAACAGATTTAGTATTTTGTATAAAAGAGAAATATGATAAAGATAATTTTTAAAATAATAAAGATGATTTCGGAGCCATAAATATGTCAAGTTATTGATGATGATGATGACAAATTTGTTTTCTAATCCTAAGCGAACCATGTCGACTAATAACATTGCAACAATACATTAAACAACAACGGTTTTTACTGTCGAATACAAAAAAAAAAAATTAAATTAAAAAAAATACTATGCAAAAGTACTACAGCTAAAGTAATAACAAAATATAAAATTCCGATCGCCTCATCAAAACAATCTATATTCAAAGAAATTATGTTATAAATATTTTAAGATAGATCCCCAAATAAACGTTTAAAAAAAAAAAAAAAAAAATAAAAAATAAAAAATATAAAAATTTAAGAATTTTAATTATCTTTTCTATAAAAAATATTTATAAAAAAAAATAAATAAATTTAAAAAAATTTTTATAAAAAAAAAAAACAACAAAAATTTTTTTTTAATTTTTTACCTCAATGGTTGATTTTTAAAAATTAAATAACATAAATAAGAGGTTTTTTTTTTTTTTTTTTTTTTTTTTTTAAAAATTTTAAAAAAAAAAAAAAAAAAAAAAATTTTTTTTTTGTGGGTTTTTTTTTTTTTTTAATTTTTTTTTCTATTTTTTTTTTCAAAAAAAAAAAAATTTTTTTTTTTTTTTCCCCCTTTTTTTTCTTCCCCCTTTTTTGTTACACTTTCTCCCCGGTTTTTTTTTTTTTTTTGGCTTTTTTAACCCCCCTTTCCACCCCCTTCGCACAAATCTTTAAAGGGGGGGAGGGGGAGGGGGGGGGTATGTTGGATACACCCACACGCACACATAGCCGTATGCTTGGGTCATTATCATGCTGAATGAAATGATGGTGGCAGTTCAACTTTCGGCACTTTTTTTTTAATTTCTTTTAAAATATCTAAATAATATTTTTGTCCATGATGCCTTCTATAAACTCCAGTTCGTTGACCCCGAAGCGGACATGCAGCCCCACACAACAACGCCTCCACCACCATGTTTACCGTCGATAGAAGGTTATTTTCTGCAGCTCGCATTCGGTTTTTTCCAAACGCGTTGCCCGCCATCAGATTGAAAATTTTGATTTTTGCTTAATCCGAAAATATTACATTGTTCCAAAATCAATTGGCTTCTTCAAATATTCTTTCGCATAGTCTAATCGCGTCTTCTGATTCCCTTTTGATATAACTGGCTTTCTTCTAGCCACTCGGTTATTATAATTTGCCTGATGCAGGGTCCCTTGCACCGTTATTGGATGAATTTCTTTTCCAAACTTTTTTAACTTCTGCTGCGATCTGAGTTGAAGAAATTTTGGGTCCACCTTGACCATTTTCATAATGTGGGCCTGTTCCCGGGCGGTCAAAGCCTTGGTCGTCCGGTGTGTTTGCGCTTTCCAAAGAAGAAGCTCCCTTAAACGGCTTATGATGTGCGTATGTGGGTCGGACATAACGTCCAACATACTCTGCCGCATCCTCATCAATCCCATTGAAGATTTGTGCGAAGGAGCTGGACAGGTGCGTTAAAAAACGCGCATAAAAACAAATTCCGGGCTGAAGGTGGCTCTAATAGAAAAAGGGGCAGAATATTGGGGCAGAAACAACCCAAAATTTCGTTTCTTCGATGCCAAGACGGTTGGAAGCCTTTATAAAACAAAATGGCTTACCCGCAAAGTATTAATTTTAGTTATTTTCATTTATTTTTAAGTTTTTAATAAAAGTGCCAAAAATTTTGTTCAGGCAAATTCACCCTTATTTATGTTATTTAATTTTTAAAAATCAACCATTGAAGGTAAAAAGTTGAAATAAACTTTGTCGTGTTATGTTTTATAACATTATATGTATAAATTTTGGTTTATTTAAATATCTCAATTTAAGGGAGAAATCGTGCCCTAAAGTTCATGAAGCCTTCTGTGCCAAAAATTTAGTTCGGCACTGTATGTATGTTGACCTTGCTATTGGGATTTCGCTTCCCCAAATTTCTTATTCTTTCGCTTTGACACGCCCCCGCAGCGCCTTTTTTCACATCGGGTCGATGTGCAATTTAATGATGATTACCCCAAACCAAAGCCAACTGACGACTGTGTGGCAGCAATGTACATTATCATTTTTTGTTATTTAGCTCGCTAATGACGTTCGCATTTGGGAGCTGCTATCGTTGTTGTAGCTGTTGTTGTTGTTGCTCCATCGCACAACCTAATGATGATGATGATGACCGGCAAATACGTGTTGGTGTGACTGGGTGTGCGTTTGTGTGTGCATTATGCTCCAACAAAAGCGGCTATGGAAAGGGGAGGGAATATGTATGTAGGGGGAGCTGAAAATGATGATGATGAGCGATGAAATGCTTTTGCATTGTGGCGCCCTAACGAGCTGAGCGATTGGTGAGCAAGAAAAATGGCAGATGACTTGGAAATTTCCCCCCTAAGACCATAAAACCTTTTGGCACATTTTAAAGCCTCAACGTATTTGCAGCGACTCTCTGGCAACATATCGCTCCCGCGACCATCTGGCAACTCTGCGCTGGCAAACACACACTAGCCGCACCGCTCACACCTTGTTGCTCTCCGGAGAACATCGAAAAGCGAGAGCTGCGCAGCGTAGGAGCTACAAAACTACGTTTTTCGTGTGTTTCCCTCTTGAAGATAATTAAAATTTAATTATTTGACTTATTATTAAGTTTTGTGCCCCTGCTGTTGGCGTCGTCGTCGATGTTGTTGTCGGTGCATGGAGAAGAAGAGAAGCGCAACAATAGAACGCAATCAACGCAAGAAAATCGGATGTGGATGTGATGTGAGTGTGTGTATCTCTGAAAGGGAAAAATATGTGCGTGTGTATTCGAGAAAAGTAACATCTCCTCCCGCAAATTACATGGGCTCCCTCGCCCGCCCTCTGCCGACCCCACAAATCTAGGGACGTCGCAGTCGACGTCGGCGGAGCATCTTCATCCGCATCTCAACCCAACTCTCTTGTATACTTGAATTACCGCTTCACTTCGATTCCAGCCGTCACCGCAGCCACTTCGCGCAGTCCATCTTCTGCCGAATGCAAATTGCAACTTGTTTCTCTCGCACAATTAATATTTGTTTACCGTTTACCGTTCGGTTTGCATTACATGTGTGTTTGTTTGTGCGGGAGAGGCTGAGCTACCTCAGTGTATGTGTTGGTACCGGCTTAATGATAATTGAAAGCTAGAATAAAAGATAAACAGCCTCGACTATGAGATACCCTCTTATGCTGATAAATATATTACATTTTCATGGATTAACTGAAGACCTTATATGGTAACTTATTGAACGTAGGCCGAACCTATAAGTTATTTATTTCTAGTGGATTTGTTAAAAGCAACCACATAAATAATAAAAAATGTGTTGATTTCTACCTTCTTATTTCTCCATGTATGAAATGTATTATGGCACTACAAAAACAAGTACCCCACAGGTTAAAAAGAACATTTTTTTTTTTAATTGTTTTGTTTTCCTTAACCACAATATACCTTTCAACTCCACGAGTACCTAGTAAAATCTGCAATAATAATGACAATATTATAAAGAGGCCAGTTACATACATGCATACATCATAATGTCGGTTTTTGGGGGCGGCTTGGATTGTACATTGAATCCCTTAAAGCTTTAAAGACTTTACATTTTAATTACAATTTCATTGCAATTAAATCGTCATCAAATAAGCGATTTTGTGGTTTTCAAACCATATGTTTGGTTACTCTCTTTACAAACTTTCCAAAGAATCTTTGGAAGTCATCAGTATTCATAAAATTCCTGTACGGTTTTTTTTTCTAATACTCCACATTTGGCTTCCTGGTCATCTACGAGATAATAATAACAACTATTAAAATAATTTTATTTTCATTATTTTCAGGAGTCAATCCGTGTACATTATGCCAGTCTACTAGATAAACCGATTCATGTCCTGCTTCAGCTGGCAGTCGAAGATTGTCGGGCAATCCCAGTTGTCGGCAGTAAGACCCATGTGAAATGCCTGTAAGTTGTCTTTGTAGTCAACTATTTTTATCTATGTAATAACCTATTTATTTAATATGAAATATATCCACGTTAGTATGAAAAATTCAATAAAAAGCGCCGACAATGGGAGGATAGTGGTGTTCTAGAGCTGATTAAACTATGGAAAGTCTGCGCCTATGAGCTGCGCACCATCAAACGCAATGGCCATCTCTATGTGGCAATGGCCAAGCAGCTAACCTCGCTGGGCGTCCCTGTAACTGCACTGGAGGTTCATTTTAAAGTCAACAATCTCACGCAGCGATACCGTCAGGAGCAGAAAACCTTCGAGACCACGGGCATAATCAGCACCTGGAAGTTTTACAGTCAAGTGGATGATGTATTCAAGAGTCTGGCCGCGCACACCGGTTTTAAGTGGGTTATAGATAATAAAAGATATAATATTAGTTAAGAGAGAAAGGAGTGATTTATAATTTTCTCTTCATTGCCTATAAGCAAATTTAACTTTTAAACCAAACCAACTAATATCTATATATTTCTGCAGAGACAAACGCATGACGAGTGCATCCAATACTAGCAGCTTACCATCTACATCCGAGTCACCAGTTTGGAAAAATCCAATGTCTCAGCAAGAGTTTAATAGCAACAATACGGAGGGGTTCTATAAGTGAGCGCAAGCACCAATTACTTTTAGCTTAAACCATAAATAATTATTGTAATTTCCAGGACCGAGTACGGCATGCACCGGCACTTTATGGACCACTCCCAGCCGCCGCCCAATGCAGGAAGCGTGGATAACTTCATGGCATCCTCAGCTGCCGTGGCGGCAGTGGCTGCCGCTGCTTCAGCCCGCCTTGCGGATAACAACATGGATCAGCAAATGAACGCGGCTGCTGGAGGTAGCGGCGGCAGTGGCGGAGGCGGGGGCAACACCAATGGTGGTGTAGCCAACTACCAAAAGATCAAGAAGTCGCACGAGGACTATGACAAGTTCGTAGACATAGTGAAGAACATTGTGGATACCCACAAGAACACTCCAGATAAGGTAGACACTTTTGGGGACTTTATCAAGTCATACATGAAGCGGTGGCCAGAGCGGCTGCAGGACGAGGCCATTAACCACATCACCAACTACGTGATTGTCAAGAACATGGAGCACAGCATGGTCAGCAGCCACAATCCCGATGGGGTCAACAACCGACAATAACAATACAAGCAGGAGCCCAACAACTGAACGAGTTGTTGGACGAGGCAGCTCCAGGAACCAGGCACTGAAGGCGAACGAAGTGAGAGGGCAGGCGAGGATTACTTAAGGTGGCACGCAGTTACTTAACCGCATCTGAGTTGCAGCCAAGTTCATTGGACACATACACGGCATACAGTATTTTTTGTATAGTTAAAATATACATTGGAGTTTTAGTTCTCGGCGATCGCTCCCTTCATACAGAGTTGACTTCAGTATTGGGGGGCATGATCAATCGTAAATAGAGATCCTAGAGAGTACGTTACATTTAGACACCATTTCCTACTGTTAGCTGTAAACTATTATACATAAATTAATAAACGCTTTAACGATTATTTATTATTTGAGTTATCAAATATTTAGGCTTCTAGTTTAAATATTGATTTAGTTTGTCCAGAACTTAAGATCACATAGTGCCTTGCATGCTCTCTTCTTTTATGTCCTTCTCCCCTGAGAAATCCAGAATGGTGCAATTTTTACGCTCCATATATCGCGCAAATTTCATATATAGTTTAACGATTCCTTCGGCCGCAATAAAAGTGAGACCTCCAAGAAGAGATCCTTGCCATACATTATCAATAGAGTAAAACAGAGCCCGACCCATTGCGTATGATATGGTGGGCAAGAGGACGGCTTCGACGAATGCTCTCGAAATCCGAGGAGGCCAAGGTGGTGATGGAATGCTTAGCGGTTTATATTCCTGATATATATTCTTCTTATAGAAGAGTTTCACAACGGGAAGCTTCCACATCGCTGAGATACAGTTTCGAACTAGGCCTAATAGGGCATCTTCCCAGGGAAATAAGCGACTAAGTATCACACCAACTGGGATTAATGGCAGTCCAACAAGTACAAATAAACAGTCGCCATTCTGAATTATGGAAGTGGCGAGCTCATAACCAACTATCTGCACAAATGACACCGCTCCAATTGTAAGGGCTAACCAATAAATAGAGGCTATCAATAAAAGACTCCCCACAAAGGGACTCAGGGTATATGTAATGAAATCATCTATCACCTCCAAGGCAACAGCTATGTGACTACCTTTAGGGTACCGAATGTGGTACATACACATACAATTTGGGCACCGAACTGCGCTCTTTTCGTCGATCAATCTGAGAAGACAGCTCTCATGTACCCATTTGGTGATTCCTTCGCATGTGCATGGATAAACCCAAGTCAACTGTTCATTCTTATAATAAGGATAAAGTAAGCATATCCAGCAACAGCGCAGTGGGTCCGTGAGATCTTCCAATGAAACCGTTACAAGTGTTGGATTCTCATCCACGCGGGATGTCTCAGTGGAGCCATCCTCAGCTGCAGGTTGAGGCACTAATTTAGACATTAAAATTTAAAAAAGAATTCAGTTCCTGGAATTCCTTTATAAATGTTATAAAAGTTGTTCTACAAAATTAGAACTGTTGCAAAACTCAAAGTTTACTCAGACATTTTAAAATAAATTTTAAACATTCATATAATTGTTATTTTTTTATAGGTTTGGAATATTTTTAATAGAAGTAGAGGGCACAAAGTTATAATATTAATAATATAAATATAATTGTACTTTTATATTACCCTTATCAATGTTCATAAATCGTAACGAGAGAGAGAAAAACTCAAAAATTTCTCATTATTTTTATCACCATTTAAAATTGATACATTGATTGAAACAGGTCTGGTAGGATACTTGGCTTATGGTTTATTTTGCTATGTATAATTTAGATACGTTGGACTTGACACGCAACACTGTTGAACATGTTGGTCACCTTTCCAGGCACTGAGGGTGTCACCAGAAACCTAGCAAAAGTCCCGCCTTTCTTGTCAGAGAGCCGACCAGGATTGATTACCAGGCAGTCGTTGACCAGACGGATGAAGTGCCGCTGATCACCTGGCAGGATGAGTACATTTGGCAGTTGTTTAAGCTGGCCGTATTTGAGTGCTAGCTGGGAATCGTATGCCATATCCTCGTCCGCCGGCGGATACAAGGGATAAAAGGAACCTTGGTGAAACAGGTGGTTGATAGCTCTGTGCATCCGCTCCCCGGCATTTGCAGCGAACTCGTGGCTTAGTAAATGATCCACCACATCGGTGGAGGTGACGCCCAGCGTGATACCATCTAGGTCCACTAAAGAAGGATCAGGTAGCATATGCAGATTGGGATATGTTTTGCGAAGAGCTGGAGGTGGGGTCGGATATACAGAGTGCGACATGGCATCCTTCTGACTACTGACAACAAGAACGGCGGTGTGGCTTCCAATTGCCTCCATTATCCCACCAATCATCTTATCAAAGAAGGAATCGAAAGTCTCGGCTAGTTCGCCAACCATCTTGTGATCAGCATCCAGAAAGGGTCCAGTGAGCACCAACACATCGGGTCTGTGCTCTTTGAGATACTTTAGCAGGTCGTGCAATGGCTCGTAGAACAGATCTGTGCTATCTGTAAAAGGTCCACCGGCCACCACAAACTGCAGCTCTCTATCAACTTTCAGAGGAGTGGCTGGCGTCAGTTTTCGTTCTGTGTGAATATCCTCTACTATAAAGGTTTTGCCTCTTGAAATGAATCCTTTGGCGAGTACCACTTGACCGGGGAATATGCTCGCAGACTTGACTCTGGTAAAGTTTAGCGTAAGTGTGGTGTCCTCAACATCTTCTACATCGTCATCTATAACGACCAAAAAGGCGGAGTAGGCATCCAGTGGTCCATCGTCCTCTGAGTGGATCATTCCCACCGCGTGTAGTCCACCTGCGGCCTGCAGTGCCTGTCTTTCCTGCGGGTACCAACTGCACTCGGCTGCTCCTGTTTCACCAAGTTTCTTTTCTACCAGCGCCCGTCCGGTGTCATCAATGCGGTCGTGCAGGTCGTCACATCGCTCGGCGAGCAGATCGTTCATGTAGCCTAGATTGCCTACGGTCAGTGGTACGTTCTTGTGAAGCAGTTTCTGGGTCACAGGTACCGTGTGCTCAATCTCCGAGTGCCAAGTGGACTTGGCTAGAAGTTTGGGATGGCCAAAGGAGTCCACAATGTCGCCAGGCTTGCCGGTAACTGACAAGGTTGGTGTTCCCACCGCTGGATTCCTTTTGGCGGATTGGGGTGTGTAGCTGGCGGGACTGAAAAGCACGCCGCTCTTGAGGTTGGAACTGTGTCCCGAATTTTTTTTAGCCTTAGGAGTGTGCAATGCTGAGGATTCCATCGTTGATTCGCTGACATAGTCGTCAATCATTGGATCGTCCTCCATCACACCATAGGTGGCCAGAGAGCTCGTCTCTGCAACAGAGGATTGAACATAGGGTTTGGCCTTTTGCGCGGATGCCTTGGATCCGATCTTGTCCTTTCTCAGCTGCAGCACCTTACGCTCAAAGTCGCCTAGGTTTTCGATAGCAGGATCTTCGCCATGGAGGTGCGATAAACTGAAAGCCATCCACTGCTCCACGAACTCAGTAGCGTCGTGGATATTATATGAAATGGCCAGCTCCACGCACCTGTCTAGCACCGAAGGCTCCGGTTCCACGCCCATTTCGTCAAACTGTTGCTTTAATTCCACATCCATTTGTTGTCCTTTTAAATATTTGTGCTGCTTTCATAAATAAACACAGGCAATATATTTTTGGCGGCAAACATGTACAACGTTGCCAGACTGTATTTATGGAAATCCCTCTCAGTTTCGTAATGTTATCGAGTTGCGATAACCGTGACCAGCAATTAGTTATCGCCCATCCTCAATTGCAAATGCAACAGCTGTTTTCGTTTTGTATTGATAAACTTTTTTTGTTTACTCCGTGCTCAATTAAAATAAAGCGGAATTCGTGGTTATTATCGAGTTGGATTAATTCATATGACCTCGTGGAGTGTCTGAAAAAGTGTCTCGAAGTGAGTGAGTCGCCATGAGCACAGACGATCTGCTGGTGCGCCGCGAAAAAAGCGAGGATTCCCAATCGCTTTCCCGTTCGCCAAGTGCTTCCGTTTCGGTTCCGCCCCTCACTGGAGGAGTAGCAGGTGCGCCTGCGCCCAATTCCTCCACATCCTCGCTGGACCGCCTACGTAATACTTTACGGCGCACGGAGAGCATATCCTCGCAGATCTTCAGCCACATCTCAACGCAGTTCTCGAATGCAGCAGCAGCTGCAGCCGCTTCCGAAGTAATTGATGGCACCACCACGTATCCGTATCCTGAGGTGCCCACGCCACCTGTTGTACCTGTTGTCCCGGATACGAATGCGATTGCCAGTGCTCCATCCCCGTCGCCATCTAAAATCAGTGCTAAAAGAATGAAACGCGGTAAGTTTTGATTAGTTTTCTTAGATTCTTTTACAATTTAGATAATTTCAAAAAACCTTTACACGTAAAAAAAAAAAATATAAAAATATAAATATTTAAATGAATCCAATTAATTCATTAAGAAAAAGGGGAATTCAGGTATTTTTAAATATTCTAAAAGGGCACAGACGCTTAAAAAGACTATTTCAGTTAAAAATATTTTATAAGTTTTATATTATAAAATAAATAATACAAATTAATTGCAATAATAATAAAGCCTTAAAGTGTATAAATATATTCCGTGGATTGAAACTTATCTTTCAAATTTACTTGTCTATAAATTATTTATATATTTATATATAATATAAATAATATTTAACGATTATGAAATAAACTTACATCAAAATTCTGTCAACGGTAAAACATAAATAAGATATAACTGCACCATCAAGAACACCCCCAACGAAAGCTCCCGGAAAGCTCATGAGCTTGGCACACTTGACAAATCAATAGGATAAAGAACTTTATGCCAGTCTTACTCAACGTGTACACAACAGGATAACGTAGCAACCTTAAAGCGGCGATTATTTTCACTTAGTTGGTTAATTTTACAATAAAAACCCTCTTAAAAAGAGGTTTTCGAAAGGAGAAATCACGTTAAGGTAATACCAGCAGTTAAGGAAAAACTGCAGCAAAGGAACATTTGAACTAATTGAGCAGCAAATATCGATATATGTATACATCTGTATTTTTATGGACGCCCACGTACACACACAGGAAATTTGGAAGCCCTAGCAAAATGCGTGGACTCGTCGAGGATTCGAAAAAGACCAAGTTGTCGTCCTCGAACAACAACAACATTAGCACTAGCAGTAGTAGCAGTCGCATAAAATCGTCAAATACTACAGGATCAGGATCCAGTGCAAGTGGCAGCACTGCAAAGCCATTAAGGAGTGCGGTGAAAACGCCAACAATGAGCAGCACGACGTCATTGGCAGCAGGAACAGCAGCGGCCAAGAAGGCGCCTCATACGGGGCAACAACAAGTTGGCAAGTCTGCAAAGTCCTCGACGGCAGCAACAACAGCAGCAACAGCAACAACTGGAACGCCAACAACAAGGGCACAGGCAGCGGCGGCCAAAATTCAAAAGGGTCAGAATCCACCCTCACAACAAGTGCAACCGAAACAGCAGCAACCACAGACACAGCAGCAACCCTTAGTGGTGCAACAGCAACAGCAGCAACATCAGGCAAACAACAGCAGCAACACGATTGCCCTGCCAAAAGCCTCGCATGCCAACACCAGTGAGGAGTTGGCCGGCGGTGTCCAGGACACAATTTACCTGTGCAACTTTCGGGTATCTGTCGATGGCGAGTGGCTGTGCCTCAAGGAGCTGCAGGATATAGATGTTGCCGGTGGAACAGGCAGTCAGGCAGTGCAGACCAGTGAAAAACTGGGTGGAGTCCCATCGCAGACTGGCTTTGGGTCTAACTTTAATACTGGCTCCAATTCCAGCAAGCGTAACAGCAAACGCTTCTCTGGACTGTCCACCGGCAGTGGAGGAGGAGGAAGCGGCGGGGGAGGCGGCGCCCTGGACATCACGGACAATGGTATTATGGCAATTGAAAACCTTATCGGCCGCCGGCTGTGCGACATGGTCCACAGTGGCTCCTCGGCACTCGGCCAGTCCCAGTCACACTCCCAGTCGCAGCACCAGAGTGTCGGCCTCTTCGCCGAGTGGTCGCATCTCTGTAGGTCGCTTCTTGATGCCTCTGTTGCCCAGCACGCTCCTACTTTGTAGCTTCTCTTCATTTCTCGTTATCTGATTATCCGATTGAATACTTTGGGTCAACAAAATCAGTAGGGATGTCCATATGTTTTTATAGGTTTTTGATAATAATCTTGGTTTTAATTTATTTTTCTTTAAATATTAAGTGTTTTTTAAGTGTCCTTGGTTTGCTATTATTTTATTTACACTCCTAAGAAACTCACATTTTTTAATACATTGATTTGTATTTATGTTTACGTAAAGTCGTTACATTATGCTTTTAGATTAATTTGGTATAATCGTCGCTCTTGGGATCGGGTTCCATTTGAGATTCGTAGCAAGCACCAAAGCCTATAAAAAGGTATGGGTATTTAGATCTTGGTTCTCGATTTTGTTGGCCCTTGTAATCTCCTATCAATTTGCATGCCTCTTTGCATTGTTGCACATTTAGTTGCTTGCTCTTGTGATACAAAGGGTTAAACGAAAAGGGCTTCTAATCTTACCTGAATCTATAAACTTAATACACACTGGTCGACCCCCTTAAGTTATCTTCTCAAATCGTTTCCAATAGTCTGAAATGAGTATTCAACTGCACTCTCGTCTTAAAAGATTAAATTGAAGTCTTATCAGAAAATATAAACTTAACAAAATTGCAATGAAAAAAAAACAGGTAAACAGATTGCCAATTAGTCATCAAAGGTTGTTTCCCAGCTTGGTGAATCCTTTATCGACTTAGATGAGGTTATCTAGATTAGTTTTAGTCACTCTTATTAACGGGAACGTACCTCAGTGTTACCCTTTTGACGTCCCGTCACCGGTTCCGGTTTTTCTCGGGACTTCTGCTTTCTGTGTAGAAGGGGCTCGTCGGAAGACTCGTTGTCCGTCACTGATAGTTAAAGTTAAAGATTAATCTTTAACTTTAAGGAATGTTGGAAACGTATGTAATTAAGCTTACCAATCCTCACATGTTTGGTCTTTCGCCTTTCCGATGATGACGGCTTTCTGTCTTCTGAGGATTTGGTCTGCTGGTAATTTTGGGTTCAGGACTTCGAAAGCTGGTAAACTTTTCATAACTTACCTCTTTTCTCCGCTCCTTAGAGTCCTTAGACTTTTTCCGGTTGGTCTCCTCCCTATCTTGCTGCTGTAGCTTTTTCTCCCTGTTCATGATGAGCAGATCGCTTTCCGAGGTGGGAATGGCGGGAAGGGTTGATTTCAGAACAGCTTTATTAGAAGTTTGAAGTGGACGATGGGATGACGAGTCCTCAGAGAGAAGTTTTACGACGGGAACATTTTTTGTCGTTCCATCACGACCTTTTTCTGGTATATAGTATTCCTGTCCTTTCGCTCGGGAAAACTTCAGGGGCACACACTTCCTATTGAACTGGCATCCCAATGAAGAGGTTGAGGTATAGGAATCTAACTCCGTGTTCTCTGGAAACCCTGTAATTTTGAATATTTGCTTGTGTTTTTAAACCTAATAAGATAATAATACTGACTTACCATCAATATGAATCGATCTTTGGGAGGTGGAGCGACCAGATCCAGAGTAGTAGTATCTTCGAGCACCTTCAGGTTCGTTTTTACCCACTTCATTTTGGCTCTCGGACTCTTTAACTACCAGGGTGTCTTTTGGTTTTTTCGATTTGTCCGTAGGTAGAGGTACCTCAGCATCCGGTGGAACTCTCTTTTTCCTACCTCGTCGCATGCAACAACAGATGATAAGGAGAATAATGAGCAGGAGCAGGGCCAGAAAGGCGGCAATGCACCATATTAAGGTTTCATCATTGTCGCACTCCCGGCATTCTTCCTGCTCGTCCTGACCATTTTGAACTGTGTCCAGTCCGGTGAGCCACTCGTTCCGTTTCTCCTGCCCATGTTCTGATTCTGAAGGTTCCTGCCAGTTAATAGCAGAACGACTTAGTTTGCGGGATTCCTTTCTAGATGAGGAGAATAAACCCACCGCCTTATCTTTTTTGGATAATGCCCGGGATTCTCGAGACTCTTCCTCCGGAATTTTCTTCTGAATCAAAAGCCTCTCTTTGATCTGCAGAACTCCTCCCAGACCTGGGTAGAAAATATCATCTCCGTAGTGCATCTGCAGATTTTCGCGTATCCAGGCGAGCAATTGTCGATTATAGTTGATCTGACTAACGCCCTGAAATCGATAACAATCTGTCAGGGTCTGAAAGAATTTCACCAGGACGAATGCGGATCTTGTAGACCGAAGATTGTAGATGCGGCGCTTTCGAAAGGGCAGGTATATGTTGGTAAGGAAGCCGTTCTCATCCGGCATCTCAAGTCGCGGTAGTGTCACAATCATAGTTCCCTGATCTGATTCCTGGGAAACACAGCTTTGATCCAGTAGGGCACAGCTTGAGGCATCCCCATGGGGCACACAACCCTTGGGCAGCTTGAGGGGCTCGATCTTCATGTCCTTAAACTGATTCATTATATCCTTGCCTGGAGTTCGCCAGCCATTTCCATTGGTATTGAGAGTCGTCCGGCTCTGGCGATAAATATTCACCAAGCGCTCCACGGTGTTCGTTTTGATGCGTCCAGCATAGTAGGAAACCTGAGCCATAGGCACTAGATAATAGCGAAGGTAACCACCCAAAGCGTCGTAGAAAGCTCTCTGAAGGATAAGTCTCGTATCCTCGTCCGACATTTGCTTTACAATCTGATTAACCGTATTGAAGTACCGAAGAATCATGTGGACAACGTTGTCGGTCAGAAGGCATTGTGGAAAGGACTTCGGCACAAGCAGCTCAAAGTCCCGACGGGCGGATAACAGAGCAATGTCCTCCGTGGAGAAGCAGTTCTTGCGGTAGTTGCCAAACAGATTGGTGCCCAGGAAATCATTGGAATTTGAAGTACTCCGCGTTGTCTTTTGTAGTTCCGTGGGCAGATCTTTAAACCATTTCCTTGGCGGGGAATAGGGAGGATCTGCTTTCTGACCAATGTCGGTCCTCTCGTTCAGGCCGTTGCGGTAGGCCCGCAGCTCCGAGCTGAGCATTGATTGCAGGGTTAGTTCGTTTTGAAAATCGTTGGTGGGCACCTCCAAAGTAGCCAGGTCGATGCTGTATATGGGACAACCCCCGGGAGCCAGAAAAAAAAGCAGCCAGGAGAGCACATAAAAGTTCATTACTCAGTTAATCAGTTGTCAGTTGTTTTGAAGCAAATTTCTGCGCCAGCCGAGTCTTTAATCTTCAGACCACGGTTTCTTCATTTGCAGCCCGGGATACGGCGGAAATAGAGCGCAGCAATCTGGTGAACATCTGTAAGTTGGTGGTCAAGGAGCTGTTGGAGCAGTCGCTGCGGTATGGTCGCATGCTGGACTCTGATCACCTGCCGCTGCAGCATTTTTTCATCGTCATTGAGCACGTCCTGGGCCATGGATTGCGACCCAAGAAGGGACTCCTCGGACCCCGCAAGGAACTTTGGGACCTTTTGCAGAGCGTGGAGCACTACTGCCCGGAAGCACAGGATATTACGGCTAGTGTAAGGGATTTGCCTACAGTCCGTACACACATTGGCAGGGCTAGAGCCTGGCTGAGGATTGCTTTAATGCAGAAGAAGCTATCGGATTACCTTCAGGCTCTCATCGAGCACAGAGACGATTCACTGTACGACTACTACGAGCCACATGCTCTAATGATGAGCGATGAGGTCTGAATGCGCTTAATCCTCTGAAGGATCACTTTATAACCCATCTTTTCCTGCTCCAGATCGTTGTGATAATGGGCATTCTAGTAGGCTTAAACGTGATTGATTGTAATCTGTGCGTGAAGGAGGAGGATCTGGATTCCCAGCAGGGCGTCATCGACTTCTCGTTGTACCTGCGATCTAGTTCCAGAAATGCTGACGCCGCCCCAGAGGATGCTGCTCCGCCGGCCGTTATGGATGCCACTGGTCAGGGCAACATGATCGCGGTGTTGGACCAGAAAAACTACATCGAGGAGCTCAACAGGCACTTAAAGTGGGTTATGGCTGTTCAAACATAGAACATCTCAGCTAAGTTATTACACAAATTTCAGCGCCACTGTGGGTAATCTTCAGGCCAAAGTTGAGTCTCTCACGACCACAAATGCCCTGATGAAAGAGGATTTGGCCATCGCTCGGAATAGTTTGTTGGCTTTGCAAGCAGAAAACCAGGCCATGCGGCAGTCCGCTCCAGCAGCGGATAACAGTTCCACTGGATCGGGTGGTTCCTCCGACAAGGACAAAGAGAAGCCGTCCGAGGAGCTAGCTGAAGAGCGTCGTAAGACTAGCGAACTAGAGAAGGAGCTCAAACTGCAGGTGTCCCTCAAGGCGGAGTCTGACATGGCCATGAAACTGCTGGAGAAGGACATCCATGAGAAGCAGGATACGATAGTCTCACTTCGCCGCCAACTGGACGACATCAAACAGATTAACTTGGAGATGTACCGAAAACTGCAGGTTAGTAGTCCACTCAGCATCATCAGGATGGGTTGGTCCAAGGAATCACTTGATCAGATAGTAATATGTATCCTTGTAGATTACTCTCTGATGAACTTGATTCCTTGGAACGCAAAGTGACCCATCTAAATCATAAACACCACTCACAAATCATCTATCCCACATTCATTCGCTCATCTGGTTCTTAGCTTTTATGTATAATTTCCTTTTCGTTTTAAGATTTTGTTTATAATTTAATCATTAGATCCAAGTTAATCGGCTTAAGCCTTAAAATCAAAAAGTAATCCCGTCTAAAATTCAACCAGGAATGTGAAGATGAACTCACACAGAAGGGCGAGATGGTCTCGCGCCTGCAAACGAAAGCCTCACAAATTGGTAACATTTTACAATCGTTAGAAAAGAAATACGAATCGAAGCTCGTCGATCAGCACTACCACGGACCGGGATCGGGAACAGGATCAGGAGCAGGATCTGGAACTGGGGGCGGAGCCATGGGTGGAGAACGGTCACCAACCACCCGGCGACAGCAGAATCTGGAGAAGTTCGAGGCACTCACCAAGAAGCACAAACAAGATGGCCCACCCATGAAGCGCATGCATCTCAAGATGGACGCCTTTCCGCCATTCGATCCAAGCAAATACCGGAAGTCACCGCGTCAACCGGATGCACCCAATCCGGGTGAGCTACAGGAAAGCAAGGATGCCAAGACGCCCACGTCCGCCAAGTCCCTAAACGATGAGCTGGCCGAGGCTGCGGCTGTGGTGAGCCAGCACTTTGGAGTAGATGCATCACAAAGCGATTACATCCTGTGCCGGGAGCAGACAGCAGACGGAGATACTTAAACATTAGCTAAATGTAGAATAAGAGCCTTTGTTAATATGGCCAGTTTCGGTTTTCACAGAATTATTTCAATATATTTGTGTTAGCAGTTCTTGATCTCACAAATCTATAAAGAAATTAGATTTGATTTTGTTTCTCTCAAATGAAAATCTATTCGTTGATCGCTAAAATTAGGTTTATATCATTATTAATGAATGAATTTAGTGCCTGACTGCATTTATACCTAAGGAGAAATTCATTTTCATGAATATTATTTAAAATATATACAAAAAGAAATATTAATCAGAGTTCCCGTTGATTACACAAACAGCCGACATTTGCTGATCTAAATTAGTATTTGATTAGAAATTTGATTAAAACTACAATGTGAAAATCGGAACAGGCTTCTATTGCTCTCAACATCCTTAAGACCTGGATAAGCACTCAAAGTCCGTGTCCAGGTCTCGAATGGAACTCAAAGTGCAACTGCTTATCAAGACTCTCAATTTTGGAGTGCACAACTCAAAGAACCCTATAGCTCTATAGCCAGTGTGTGTGTACCATATAGGATGCCTTTACTCTGTAGACCAGATCCCTTAAATGGATAAAATACCAGTATATGAATTGTTAAAGGTTTTGAATTACTACTGTATGCAACCTGTTAGCTAAATTATCTTCCCCCAGAGCCCCCGTAAGCAAAGATTATATACGATTATACAACTATAACGACGTATGTATGTATATATGTATAGTGTGATTAAGAGGCTTCAGATGTTTATTATACATATGTATGTACATATGGATCCCCACGCAACAGCTTATATTGTAATTATACACTCAGCCTAGTCAAATACAAATATTGTAATTATATATACGAGTATATAAAACTATAAATAAATATTGAGACTATATGAATCTACAAGTCCATGCAATGTATTATACGCGCTGGAGCTTCAGTCTATATTCTAATACTCGTACTCTTCTAAACCGAACCCAGAGAAATAAAACTTATCCGAACCCCAAGTCTTTCATTTTCCACTATACTAACACCGAGATTAAGATTTCAATTCATCTTGGAAATTTGCGACGTTGGTACATCCGCTTATTTTCTTCGTTGGCAGGACTGCAAGGAGTCTTTAACGCACAAAACGGAGTTGATGACCAAGTTGGAGGTCCAGAAGGAGGAAATGACCAACACTATCGATCAGCTGGAGAAGAAGTAAGATCGCGGGGGTTTTTAGAGGGGTAGTAATTAGGGGAAGAAATCATTCTGTTTAATGTGATTTTTTAAAGTTTTCAAGATGTCTTGCCAAGATATTAACTTAAAAAATCCGTGATTGTCACTTCGCAGGTGGAGCCATGACAAGAGCAACCTGGGCGAGATTCTCAAAACCACGTCGCAAACGCTGACCACCCAGGTCACTGCCAGCGAAGAGCGAGCAGCCAGGGCGGAGGCCGAGTCTAGAATTGAACGCGAGTGGCGCATATCCTTGCAGGAGAAGGAACTGAAGCTTAAGGAAAAGATATCCGACTTGCAGGGCTGCCTCAAGGAACTGGCCGAGGAGAAGGAGAGAAACGGGAAGCTCAAGGTTGATCTGGACAAGGTGCGAAAGCAATGGTCAGAGGCACAAACTACGCTGGAGGAGCTTGGCATCCAGCTAAGCGTGAGCAAACTGAAGGTTTCGGAGATGCAGGATCAAGAGCGTCGCCAGCGACAGTTGCTCTCGGGGTCTGCGCAATCTCTGCAGGCTACGGCGGAGGCGGTTGGTAGTCCTGGGATCTGGGCACCGGATTCCATTGCCACCCATTGCACCGCCTGCGAAAGGGAGTTTAATCTCACCAGGCGAAAGCATCACTGCCGCAGCTGCGGGGAGATCTTCTGTAAGGCCTGTTCGGAGCACACTCTGCCCCTCATCAATGCCCAGGGGCAGCCGGGGAAACCAGTACGTGTGTGCGACAACTGTTATGCTGCTAAATGATAATGAATCGATATATTCAGATAGATATTTTTGTATCTTTGACTAGGATTTAGAGGGGTGGAGACCATTTAGAGATTTTTAAATATATGTTAATAGGTTCAAAGTTAAAAGGTGATAAATGCAAATTATCCTATCTTAAAGCATCAGGATGTGTTAGATAGAAATTCCAAAACCCTTTAGAACTATTATTAAAATCTCCGCTCCTAAGAAGTCTCGCGTTCTTGGTTGTGTGTAAATATTTAACCACTTGACCTTGCGAAATATTATTCCCTTTGACTATATATATAATGCATTGATTGAGTTTTGTAATCAAATTATAATAAAATTTGTGTTAAAAAACTAACAAAACTTTAAAAACAAAGTTCTTTTTCATTGCTGAAATGCTGTCCTGCGAAATCTTTCAAAGATATTTGAAACCTTTCAAAATGTTTTTCAAAAATAACAAAAATGTTCAAGCTACTTGGAGGCCTGCCTCGCTCCAGGTTTTCATCTGCCAAGTTAAGATTTCAGAGCCAGCCAAGCTGTATTTCGAAGATATGGTTTGGGCCTCTTCCCAAAGACTCCAATTGGGTGAAACCAGGTCGCCTACACTATATTGAAGATGAGGTAGAAAAGCAAACGGACATAATAAAAACCATAGATGGCGTAGTGGTGCTGCTGTACAACAAATCCCGGAAGAAGCTGATCTTAGTGAAACAGTTTAGAGCAGCTGTTTACCATGGAATTTATTCTGCCGGATCTTTAGACATGTCTAAAGGAGAAGCTGATCTGGATAAATTTCCTCCGGGAATAGGATTTACTTTGGAACTTTGTGGTGGTGCCGTTGACAAAGACAAAACTCTAGAGGAAATTGCCAAGGAGGAAGCGCTGGAGGAATGCGGATACGAGGTGTCCACGGAATCCCTGCAGCATGTATTCGATTATAGGTCGGGCATTGGAACCACTAGTAATGCTATGACTATGTATTATTGCGAGGTGTGCGATGATCAGAAAGTATCAGAAGGCGGTGGCGTTGAAACTGAGAAAATCCAAGTTTTGGAGATGTCTTTAGAGGAGTCAAGGAAAATGATTGAAACTGGGACTAAAACGAACGGTGGACCGTCGACTTTACTGGGGTTACTGTGGTTCTTTCTCTACAAGGCTCCTCAGGTTTCTACTTAAAACTTAAAAAAAAAATATTTTAATAAATTCTCAAATATATAAGAATCTGACTTTTTTCTTTTAACGAACTTTTTAAATTCAAATAGTGTTACCGTATGGTGCCTGGCTTTAAATGCCAGAAAAGCTCCCCCAAAACAAAAGCTGCCATCTGATTGTGGCTCACCATCGCCGGTTGAAGCTTTCCCAATCAGCTGTTGCCAGTTCCACTGCCGTGTTATTGTGCCGCCCCACGTCCGCTTATTCAGCATGGAAAACGTTTCCAAGATCTGGCTGGGACCTCTTCCCGAGGATTCACCCTATGTGAAGCCCTTCCGTCTGTATTACGTACAGAATGGCGTGGAAAAGAACTGGGATCTGCTAAAGGTCCACGATAGCGTGGCCATCATCTTGTACAACACGTCTCGCCAGAAACTGGTCCTGGTTCGCCAGTTCCGACCCGCTGTCTACCATGGCATCATCTCCAGTGCCAAGGGAAGTTTTGATAAGGTGGACCTTGAGGAGTTTCCGCCCGCAATAGGGGTAACCTTGGAGCTGTGCGCAGGAATTGTTGACAAGTCCAAGAGTTGGGTGGAGATCGCCCGAGAGGAAGTGGTCGAGGAGTGTGGCTACGATGTCCCAGTGGAACGGATCGAGGAAGTAATGGTTTATAGGTAAGTAGATGTTGTTAGAGGGCATATTATTGATGTCTTTAAAAAGCTTAAAATGCATTTAGTATCTCGTTAAGATTTAATAGTTGGTTTTACTTTTCTTTGGTAGTAAAATATTTTACCGGCTTTAATTAATGCTAAAAATATTACGGCAGTAAATAGTTACATTCACAACTATAAACAAAGTCTTTTAGTACTTAATTGATTTTTCAACAACTTCCTCAACAACTGGCCGTAACAACTTTGTTAGGTTTCAGTGAAAATATTATATCGGAAAATGTTGACAAACTATCACATAAAATAAACAAACTATAAAGAATTTGATAACGGAAGATATAAAATCTTATCTATTTGTAAGAGTTGTCTAAGAAGTCTAGAAAATAACTCTAGAGTAATTCCCTCAATCCCTTCCAGGTCTGGCGTTGGCTCATCGGGTGCCAAGCAAATCATGTACTACTGTGAGGTGACTGATGCGGACAAGGCCACCAGTGGCGGCGGAGTCGAGGACGAGATTATCGAGGTGGTGGAGCTATCCTTGGAGGAGGCCAAGCGAATGATCCAGCAGGGAGCCGTAAACAACAGCCCGCCCAGCTGTCTCATGGGCCTGATGTGGTTCTTTGCCAACCGGGCACCCAGTGCCAGTGCCTGAGGCAAAAGTTGTTGTTGATACTACAGCAAGATAAGCGGCGGCAGTGATAAGATGATAAGATGCGTCCGCATCCGCAGCGTTGCCTTAGTAACTTGTATTAGACAACACGAATTCAAAATGCTTTCCAACCGAGAACATTGTGAGTGCGCTTAGCGCATACGATAATACTGAAATTCCCGTGCCGTTTGAGGCTTACCTTATGATATGTACTGTGTAATATGTAATAAACCCCTGGCCAGCTGTCCGCTCATGAATTCGGTCAAGACGTCTCCCACTTCCAATGTACTTCCACTCCCACCGTTGCAGCCAAGTGCATAAATCGCCTATAAATCAAAATGCCGCAAGACGCTGCTGCTGCAGAAGCTCCAAACGGGTTCCGCTTTTCTCCGATCCCATCCGATCCGATCCGATGCGAAGCGATGGGACCTGGGACCCATGGACCCACGGACCAATGGACCCCATCCCAATCCCGACCCATCCGAACCGAAGCTGTGTGCCGTTTTTGGGGCCCTGTCAGGCAGCGTGTTGCTGGGATCAGGTTACTTATTTATACACGGCCAGGGACTTTAGCTTCCATGAACGCTCCTGGTACTCCTGGGCACAGAGAAAGAAATATTATTATGCCAGGGGGTCATCTTTATTATCATACATTCCATATTAGTTCTTTCACTTTTACTTACAATATATTTAAATAGCATTAATATGCTTATCCCATTGTCATTATTAACCTGTTTTTAAATATTATCATTAACATTTTCTAAAATAAATTATACTATCATTTAGAAAATTTCAAGAAATACTTATTTTCTAGATATTAACAACCCAAACTGAATATCTATGATATGTCTAGATCTATAATATCTTATAGTACACAATATTAATATCATTTACTACATTTTCTATTAGTCATCAAATTATTTTCTGTGTACCAGCATCTATCCATTTTATAGCCTCGTATTCATCCTCCATTTCCATCCATCCCGGTTCAGCGGTCATGGCGAGTGGTGGCGTGGAAATTTATTTACCCCAAAGCCATGATTTGGCAATATTTCAACATTGTAATAGAATTTCTTTCAGCCTTTTCAAACTTGACTTCCTTTTCGGCGTATACTCCTGCCTTTTGCCCCATATCCCCTATTCCTGCTCCAGCTCCAGCTCCAGCTTCCAAACCCACAACCAAAATCCCCTCCTGCATCCTTAGCATGTGCGTGCATTCGATTTGCCGCTGATAATCAAGGCCGGTTCTTTGTTGTTGTCTGCTGTTCGCTTGCGTGTTAACCTCATGTAAATTATGGACCCGAGGCGGAGGAGCCGTCGGCAGCAGAGTCAACAAAAATGCGAGTGTTGAAATTATATTTAATTTGCATATGTTGGCGGACGACCAGGCAGTCCAGGAGGCCCCTCAGAGACTTGGGGATGCAAATGAGTTGAGGGAGTTCCACGTGGATCAGGTGTAATGTCGACAAGAGGGATTTGTCACGACAGCAGTGGCTCTCAAACTGTAGATATTGTAGTTTTGTGAATGGTTGAGGTGCTGACTATTTGATGGTTATAAAGTGAATAAATTATGAAAAAATCATGAAAATTATAAGGTAAATTCTTTTCTTACTAAAGCAAGGCTATCACTAATCACTGATAACTTAAAATTAATTGTGAAATCTGTGAAAAACATTTATAGAGTGTAGTTACAGTTCCCTTGAAACCTCTAATGAATGAAAGCGGTTTCTTTTGCGTTAATTTAATGGCAGTTCCGTATTCCAGAGCGATTTCTTTTGATTTGTCTGGCGACAGTTTCGCAGCAGCAACTTACTGCTGGAATTGCAGTTGCAGTTGCTTCCTCATCACACTGAAACCCATCTGTCGCCTGTCACCTGCTCCCGTTTGAAGTGGTCGCTGTTGCTCCCCAAGGTGCAAATCGACGCCGGCGGAGCCGACTGATTGCTTTTCCACGCAGAAAAATAAGATCATTTTGATTTCGATGTTGGTATATTCCAAATAATTGATTAAGTAAGTTATAAAAAACACAGAAAATATGCCTTGAATTGGATTACTCACAGAATTAATATTAAATATATTTTTAACTTTACCAAATTAGTATTATCTCTTTGATATTTAAATACATTACACTTTGCTTTCTGTGTGGCTTTACCTTTTGGCTTTGCTTAGTTGTGCAAGTCCAAAGTACAGAATTGCAATTATTTCATAATCACGTCCCAATTTATGTGCTGCCGGAGCAGCGGCGGCGATAGGCCAGAGATTGCCATTTCGAATCAAAGCTTCTTTCTATTCCTGCGGACCCAACTGACCTCCAGTGGCTATGGCTAAGAGCTATGGCTCTATGGGGCTCTTGCCTCTGAGAACCCAATCCCAATCGCAAAATGGCGTCCGCACACGAACGGGAGCGAAAAAGTTCCAGGCGAAGATTACGGGGGATTGGTTGGTTTCAATTCTGGGATGGGAAGACGGAAGATCAAGAAATCGCGATCATGAGCTGCTGCGCGGCTCCGTTTCCAGTGCGCATGCGAAAATTAAGTGCAGCCAGCAACAATCATAACAACAACAGCAAAATTACCTGTAAAACAGTTATGGTTTTTGTTGTTGCTGCTGCCGCTGCTGCTGCGGCTGCTGCTGTGGAGCAATAATGAAATTTTTTATCGGATTTGATTATAAGTTGCCCAGCTACAACCCGGCCACCCCGCCGTCGTAATCTGCCAATAAGAAGAAAAGTAAGCAAGGTAGGAGCACTGAGAATATTTTTTAGAATTTATAAAATTCTAAAGATTTTCAAATTTCTAAAAAGATTTTCTTAAGAGTCGTAAATATTTTGACCAATAGAGTTCGATCTATTAAAAATCTAATGTAACAGGCTTAGTATCAATGTTTTAATTTAAATTTTTTTCAGTGCCTTCTGCTGGTAGCTGCCTAGCAGGGAATGGGATTGGGTTGGCTATACGGGGGGTTTCGAGGGAAACTATGCAGCCGCCGCTCATTGATTCCGCCTGCCGTCCATCGGCCGTTGTCCGTCGTGATGCACTTTAATGAAATGAAATCTTATACTATCATGAGGCGCATGAACTGTAAAGCCGCAGCAGCTCAGGCTGAATCTGAAGTCCAAGCCAGAGCCAAAACCAAAACCAAAGACTCCAAACTACAGTCCAAGTCTGCAGCTTTGGCCACTCAAAATGTATAATTATCTGGCGGTTTTATCCGTTTGCCAATATTAAATTTCTCATCACGCCCAGAGAGAGGAAAATGCAGTTGCAGTGGCTGCTCCCGAAGCTGCCGCTTCAACCTGGGTTGGTTCTTGGTTAAGTTTACAGGTGGGAGGAAGAGGCGGAAGGAGAAGAGATCCGAGGAGTGATCGGTGGAGCTGGAGGTGGGGTTGTCCCGCTTCATGGGCACGGGCGCCGTCAAACAATTAATAAAAGGCCAAATGTCTGCAATGAAATTTATGCGGCTGCCTTTGCCATCGAGTTATATATAGGCTTCGGATTTCGGTCTGGCGTTTTGCTTTTCCGCTCCTGACGCGGCAGTGGCCAAAAGGAAAAGGCTTCGATGGCGGCTTTACCGTTTTAATGCTCGGCGGACTTTCTAAAATCGATGCCACCGGCTTCGGGGTCGAGGGCTTCTTGGGGCGTTGTTCCCGCACCTTGCTCTCTGGTTGCCCAGATCCGGAGATATGTGCTCCGCAAGGTGCGGCATCCGACAGATTGGGCACAAGAACTGCCATAAATGTGTGTCAAGTGGTGGCAGCACAGTGCCTGAAAACAACAATCCAACATAATTATGGTTATTAGCCGCGAATCAGTTTAGAATTTATAATTAATGAAGCTCAGTTTTGCACGGCAGTTAGTTCGTGTGGTAAGTCTTTTGATTTGGCGTCTGGCTTGGGAAGAACTTAAGTAGCTTAGTTTTATTATGTTGTAAAATCAGTTCATTTCAGTCATAAGAAATCTAATAATAATAAGAAATCATTTCAGTTTTATCATAATATTGGCCATGGCAGTAATCTTTTGGCCGTTAACCTTTAAATATTGATCCATTTCCCAGCCTCCGCATCACCCGAAACAGTAGGAAAAATTCGGCACTGTCGTTGGCTCTATGCACGTGTTGCCATTTTAATTGCCTTCAAAGTGACAACAAATATTTTTTGCCAAATGCGTATAATTGAAATTAAGTCATAAATGGTTAAAAATGCCGACCAAGCGCGGCACATTGGACATGGCTAGCAAATACTAATGAAGCCGGGCCAAGTCGGGCCAGATGGCGAAAAAATTTCACACTCTTTGCCTTGATTTATGACAGTCCGACATAGCACATAACATAACACGGACAACCTCCATGGAAGGAAACTCGTCGTCCAGTGGCTCCAAAACCGATGCACCTGCCCAACTGATTGATTTGCAGGCCTTTTGCACTCGAAGCCAGCTTTAATTACGCGCACTTTTCGGCCTCTCAACTGGAGTTCTCTCTCTTTTTCCGGTTGAAGCATCTCATCAGTTTCTCTGTTTCCCCTATAGTTTCTCTTGACCTGCTCTTAAGCTTGGATATCTCTTCAAGCCTTGATACTCTCTTAAGCATTCGTTAGACCCGACTTAGATATGTGCTCCGCCCCCTTGGAGCGGAAATCGAGAAACCACAAACCGCAGACTGCGAAATATCCACAAAGAAAGTGCCAAAATGGGGCGATACAAATTTGCTTTGCCATTGGGCTTTAATTAGTAGTCGAAGTTAAACTGTCTGCGGGTTAAATGACTCATTTACTGCCTTTTGTGTGGTCTAAAGTAGTGAAGTTAATTCACAAGGACTGGGACTTGCTTACTTACTTAGAAACTCCTCCTTTGTTAACCCTTTGATTATTTGGCATTTTGTTTAGATTTATGTAAGCATCAGAGCTTAAGTTTAAAATGATTATCAAGATGAACTATTTTTTACTAAAATACATTCCTCTAAAAGATATAAAAGATAAACTTCCAATTAGATTTTATCTGATAACAAAACTCCTATCTATTTTCTAGAATTTCCTTTCGTATAAACCCCAAGACCATTTAAAGGGTTAACAAGCCACCAGAAGGAGCGACCACACAATTAAAAATCATTTGCATATCAAACAATAAAACAAGCACTCCAACAAGAACCGCAGCAGATATATATATATATACATCGATGACTAAGGATGCCTGGGAAGTCGGCGAGGGAAAAGTGAAACTCGGCCTGATCTGGCTGATAAGTCCGAGGGAAGGCCGCCTGCACG